GCTGCACTTAAAATAACCCGGGTGGAGCTTTGATTGCACTATGACAGCTGTCATCTGCACTCCCTGACCACACCTTGCAATCAACCTATTGCCATGGCTGCATTTTGATCCTCTTTGACCCATTCACCAAGAGGCCAGACCCGGATTTCTGTTGGCAGTGGCTTCCCTTCCCCCTCCAGTCTGTGCAGATCAAGTATTCAGTGGCTTAGAATGAGCTATATTTAGCGGCGGCCATTTTAATCAGTGAAACATGAATAAAAGGTGAGATAGGAGAAGCAGCCTGCAAGAAAGAGGGAAAATGAATGAATACAACACACACGCACACAAACATAAATGCTTATGCATTTTGGAATTTGGGGGGATTTTTGGCAAATGAGCTTTGAAATTCTCCTGCTCTGTAGGGGATCAACTGTCATTTTTCCCTCCAAATTCTAAGATCCCAAACAGATCAACACTTTGGCGTGCAACTCTAGCTGAGGAATGGAGACCCATCCACCCACCCACCCCCTTAGAAAAGGCACTTTAAAAGACGCCCTGAAGGTGCTTTTTCAAATGGCAACTGGACTTTCTGGTTTTTCTTTGAAGATGTTTTGCTTCTCAGCCAAGAAGCTTCTTCAGCTGTGACTGGATGGTGGAGAATGGAAGGATTTGGAAAGATCCAGTCAGAGCTGAAGAAGCTTCTTAGATGAAAAGCGAAATGTCTTCAAGGAAGTTGCCTCTTGAAAAAGCACCTTTAGGACAACCATGACCTGGATGACTGAGAATCTTTATAGGGACTTTAAAAGACTTTAAGAGTTTAGTTTTGAAAGCTTGGAAATTTGGAAAATAAAGTTTGGACTATAAAGGTGTAGGAAGTTAGCATCCACCCCTTTCCTAGAAGAATGAAATATTTTAGGAAATATTAAAAAGGCAGAATACTATGTTTCCCTGTGTGAGAAATGGAGAAGCATGTTTTAAAGATGAAGCAGCTCCCATCTTCCTGCCCACCCCCCTTTGTCAATGGGCCAGAGGCAGAAACTCAATCTTTGTCAATGGACCATCATCTGCAACACAATAGGACCCATCTAGCAACAGAAACTAACACAATAGGACCCATCTATCAACAGAAACTCATCACATGGCACCCGGGAAGATTACATCAGCCAGCAAGGCTAGCTAAGACCCCCCACCCCCTGGGAGTCTGACAACCAATCAGGATACTCTTTCTGGGCCCCAGGAAGTTCAAAGCCAGAGAGGGCATAAAACCCGGGGACTCGCTGTATCTCGTCTCTTTGCTGTTCAGAAACTCAAACCATGTGATCCTGTCCACCATTAAACCATCTTTCCAAGCAGTCTCCATGTTTCCAGTGTCTTTTTCCCCACTTGGAGCTGAACCCAGAAGGATATTTCTTCTTACAAAGGCAAAAGGATTAAAAGGGGAAATCTTCCTGCCAGAATGTGAGAAAACAGATGGATCCCAGATCTAAGTTTGTGATGCTTAAGAATTGTAAGCCACACAGAGTCACTTGGCTGAGATGGATGGCTATATAAATTGAATGAATGAATGAATGAATGAATAAGAAGCCTTTGCCCCTCATCCCAGATCTCCTTCTAGCCCTAGACCAGGGACTTGTGGATTTCAACTCCCAGAATTCCCAATACTGGATGGGGAATTCTGGAAATTAAAGTCCACAAATCTAAAAGTTGCCAAGTTTGGAGACCCCTGCCCTAGACTATCTGCCCTACATAGCTAGATGTTGGAGGAAAAACCAGTGCTTCAATTCCCAGCCATTCTTAGAGTTGAAATCCAAGTTGGTATTTTGCAACATACCAATTCATTGCATAAATGTATACAAAATATGCAATAAATAAACTTTGTTAAAGTTTTTTTTTTAGCAAAATCAAAGCAATGCAAATATTACAAAAGAAATAAAAAAATCTAAGAAGGAATTGTGAATACATGAGAAAGAAGAGGAATTCTGGGAGTTGAAGTCCACATGTCTCAAAGCTGCCAAGATGCAGAAACAATGGGGGTGGGGGGTGGGGGGGTGTCTAGGTTGCTGTTGAAACTGATCACTAAAGGGCCTCTGGGATTCTCATTCAATCTAATAGCCTTTCTTCCCTGTAAAAAAAGCTTCAGAGCAGGGGTGAAATCCAGCAGGTTCTGACAGGTTCTGGAGAACTAGTAGCAGAAATTTTGAGTAGTTTGGAGAACCGGCAAATACCACCTCTGGCTGGCCCCAGAGTGGGATAGGAATGGAGATTTTGCAGTATTCTTCCCCTGCCACGCCCACCAAGCCACGCCCACAGAACCGGTAGTAAAAAAAATTGGATTTCACCACTGCTTCAGAGTCCCAAAGGTGCTCTTTTCAAGAGGCAACTGGACTTTCTGGTTTTTGGATGGTGGGGAATGGAAGGATTTGGAAGGATCCAGTCAGAGCTGAAGAAGCTTTTTGGGTGAGAAGCGAAATGTCTTCAAAAAAAAAAAAAAACAGAAAGTCCAATCGCCTCTTGAAGAAGCACCTTTGGGACAACCATGATCTAGATCAGGGGTCTCCAACCTTGGCAACTTTAAGACTTGTGGATTTTAACTCCCAGAGTTCCTCGGCCAACAAAGTTTGCTGAGACAGCAAAGCTGGCTGAGGAATTCTGGGCCTTGAAGTCCACAAGTCTTAAAGTTGCCAAGGTTGGAGACCCCTGATCTAGATGACTGAGAATCTCTATAGACAAAAGGGTGAGTGATTCAAACTAGCATTCTTAAGACCAAAGGCTGGGCACTTTGAGTTTTATGAAATAGGAGCAATCGAGACACCATTTCCCCTCCCTTTGCAAATACATTCCAGGGTAGTAAATGGGGCAACTGGATGATTCTTTATTCTGGACAGTCACATGTCTGAAATGGTATCCTTCTTGAGCAGAGGGTTGCACTAGAAGACCTCCAAGATCCCTTCTAGCTCTATTGTGGTTGATTGATCATAGCTCTCATTAACACATTTTTATGAAGCAGCCTAGACAACTTTAAAGTGAAGCTTAAATTGCATGTCATTCTTGCCACTTTTTTTCCTCACAAGAAACATGCATTGTTTCCATCTCATTTAATAGGCAGTTCAGTTTATATCATTCCTGTGCGATAGATTCCAGGGTTTTCTTATAATCCAAAATAAATGTCTTTCATAGCAACCCAACCAGAGAATGGGGTGTAGATACAGATAGAATAGAAATGCAGAACAAGATTCCAAAAAGATGGTGGTTGCTGAAAACAATAAGGAGTGATAAAATCCTAAAAAAAAGGAGTGGTCTTCCGGGTGCGCTTCAAGGTGTTGGTCGCCACTTTTAAAGCGCTCCATGGCATAGGACCTAGTTATCTTCGAGACCGCCTGCTGCTACCGATGACCTCCCATCGTCCCGTGCGCTCCCACAGAGAGGGCCTCCTCGGGGTGCCATCAGCCAAACAATGTAGGCTGGTGACCCCCAGGGGGAGGGCCTTCTCTGTGGGGGCACCTACCCTCTGGAACCAGCTGCCCCCAGAGATAAGGAGAATCCAAGACCTCGGTGCCTTCCGCCGTGCCCTTAAAACTTTATTTTTCCAGCAAGCCGGGCTGGCTTAATGTAACATTTTTTAAAAAACATTTTTAACTGGTTTGTCATTTTAAATTGGGGCCAAATTAATATATATCCTTTTAATTGTTTTTAATGTTTGTATTGTATGTTTTTATTTGGCTGTACACCGCCCTGAGTCCCTTGGGAGAAGGTGCGGTATATAAATTCGAAATAAAATAAAAATAAAATAAAATAAATAAAATGCTAGTAGGTAAAAAAAAACAGATGATTGTTAGTTGCTCTGACAAATTACTACTGCTTGGCAATCCTATATGCGAATGGAGGATTTCCCCAGGCATCAAGTCTTTGCAGTGAATGCCAGTATCTCTTTGCATCAGCTTGGCCAAACAACACTGGGATTTTATTTTTATTTTTTTTGAAAGAATTTTTATTATTTTTGTAAAACATAAAATACATCTTTTAAGAACGGAGCAGAGATTAGGATTTAAAGATTTAATGTAATGGGTCCTAGGATATGGGTATATAGATAGAATTTAGAGTAATAATTATAATTAAATATTGAGTTGTGTTATTTGGAAATTAAGATGTGTGGTGATATAATAGAAAGGTAAATGTTTAGATTAAGATATTACAATTTGGTTTTTACTTTAAAAGATGTTAAGCGATTGTACCTATTCATGACTGGATCAGTGCTCCGTTCTTAAAAAAAACACTGGGATTTTAGAAAGTGAAAATAAACAGCCATTACATGAACAAAGCAATTTATGCCAAACATGGAAAAATCAAAAAGGCTAGCGTGACATGCACATTTATGTTAAGGCACAGTAATGCTAGAATATCTGGCAAACACCCTCTCAGGCAGGTTTTACAAGCTATCCCCCACCCTGTAACAGAATATCAGAATAAAAGAGTTGGGAGGGACCTTGGAGGTCTTCTAGTCCAACCCTCTATTCAAGCAGGAGACTGTATACCACTTCTGACAAATGGCTCCCCAATCTCTTCTTTTAAAAGCCTCAAATGATGGAGCAACCACAACTTCTGAAGGCAAATTGTTCCATTCATGGTTTTGTCAGGAAATTTCTTCTTAAATTCTAGGTTGCTTCTTTCCATTGCTTCTTGTCTTGCCTTCAGGTGCTTTGGAGAATAGCTTGACTCCCTCTTCTTTGTGGCAGCCCCTGAGATATTGGAACACTGCTTTCATGTCACTCCTAGTCCTTCTTTTCATTAAACTAGACATATCTTATCTGCGGCATTCAAGGAGAACCACTTGAAGATGTTCTACAGATGGCACCTCCCACCGGAAAGGCTTGCTAAGATGTTCCTGAACAGCTCGCCAATATGTTGGAAATGCAACAAGATCTATGGAACATATTACCATCTTTGGTGGACTCCCCGGCTGCAAAAAAGTTTTGGGCTAAAATCAAAAAATGGCTAGGAAAAATAACAGATCAATCGATTGATAGGAAACCAGAGACGTTTTTATTAGGAATATTCACTAGAAAATATACTAAAGAAATAAAATACTTGATTTTACATATTATATCGAATATCATATGCACAAAATTGGAAAAAATAAAAATACACCAACAGAGGAAGAATTGATAAAAAAAAAAAATCTTAGAATGTGCCGAGATGGACAAACTAACAAAAGAACTTGTTTAGTTTAGTTTATTTGATTATTCTTCCTTAAAGAAAAGGAAGATACGGAATACTATGTAGTATGGAATAAATGGTACGACTGGTTGAAGATTAGAAGTAGTGAACAATAAGAACAGGAGAGAAGTTATAAATGTAAAATGTTGATAGGACAAGGTATAAAATGTACAAAATTAATATCATGATTGTTAGGAATTATAATGTAAATAAGAGAAAAAGGAACAAGAAGGAAAAGAACAGTATAACAGGAAATGGGGGAAAGATGTAAATATTAGAAGATGACCATTACAAAACAGTTGTAAAAAGGGAACTTATATTATGTGTTTTGTGTTTTGTGTTTGTTATATTGTGTTGTGTTATAAATAAAAATTAAAATAAAATAAAAATTAACTAGACATATCCAATTCCAGCAACCATTCTTCAGATGTTTTAGCCTCCAGTCATCTTCACTGCTCTTCTCTGCACTTTTTCTAGTCTCAAAATCTTTTTTATAGTTTTTACATCAGTCGTCTTCTTTCTTTCTTTCTTTCTTTCTTTCTTTCTTTCTTTCTTTCTTTCTTTCTTTCTTTCTTTCTTTCTTTTCTTTCTTTCTTTCCTAATGAAACAGTGAGAGCACCTTCCAAACATCAAGCGCTAATTCAATCTTCATACCTGCAAAACAAGTTGTCCAGTCATTCCATAAGCAAATTATATCCATATTTTAACATGTTTTCCAGTTAATCTGTCTGCACCTGCAGCTGTACCATTTTTTAAACATTACCAGACCATTTGTTTCCTTGTTTTTTTCCTTCTTCTATACTAACTTTTGTAACATTGTTTCAGTTCCAATCTTCAATATATCCATCAACATTGTCCTGCATTTTCTCTAGCTCTTTTAACAGGTCCTTGCTGTCTTGGACTAGATTCCTGACCTATATTTTTATGCATATAAGTATTAGCATACATATTATTCCCTCATCTTCATTTTTGCAGTAATAATTTTCTTATTTGCATTTGCCCCCTCCACAGCTTACATTTCATCATCCTACCAAGCATCTATTTTGCACCTTCTATTAGAGCAACTCTTCACAAACTCCAGTAACATAATTCTTTTCATTTTGCAAGCATCTTCCAACAACCCCTTTCCTTACATCTGCTTGATTTATCCATGTATTTATTTGTCAACTTGATATGGCCTTCCTGATGGCTTACAATGAAACATTTTACAAATCTTTTAAAGGCTCCCTATTAAATTTGGCTCTGCAACCCAACAAGACAGACACAGACTTCAGAGGATAATTAGAACTGCAGAAAAAACAATTACTACCAACCTGCCTTCCATTGAGGATCTGTATACTGCATGAGTCAAAAAGAGGGCTGTGAAAATATTTACAGACCCCTCACATCCTGGACATAAACTGTTTCAACTCCTACCCTCAAAACGACGCTATAGAGCACAGCACGCCAAAACAACTAGACACAAGGACAGTTATTTCCCGAATGCCATCACTCTGCTAAACAAATAATTCCCTCAATGCCGTCAAACTATTTACTAAGTCTGCACTACTATTAATCTTCTCATCGTTCCCACCACCCATCTCCTCCCACTTATGACTGCATGACTGTAACCTTGTTGCTGGTATCCTCACGATTTATATTGATATTGTTTCCTGATTGCTTATTTGTAACCTATGACTATAATTAAATGTTGTACCTTATGATTCTTATATATCTTTTCTTTTAGGTACACTGAGAGCATATGCACAAAAGACAAATTCCTTGTGTATCCAATCACACTTGGCCAATAAAAATTCTATTCTATTCTATTCTATTCTATTCTATTCTATTCTATTCTATTCTATTCTATTCTATTCTATTCTATTCTATTCTATTCTATTCTATTCTATTCTATTCCCCAGGCATCCACACAGGCTTACTGGAAGAAAAAAACACATGTTTTGACAGCTTTATGGAAGGCCATAATGGTTGGGGCTAACATCACCTGGGGAAGGATGATTGTTGCCAAGGCGAAAAGGACCATCTTCCCAATCCTGTTGGATAGAACTCTGGCAGGTGGTACCTTAGCATGCCTGCTTCTCCCGCCACTGATGGGGAAGATAAGATGTGAGGGGGAAAAAGCAGTCCCTCAAATAACTTGGACTGCACAGAATCACTTTCCATTGATCCTATTGGGAGATGACCCTTACTCCTCCTCCTCCGCTGTTTAATTCTTGCCTAGTTCAGGTATTTATTTATATTTATGACCCTTGCTGTGTCCAAAGGTCACCGGATCCCCTTTGGTGACCTTTTGACAAGCAAAGACAATGAGGAAGTCAGATTCATTTAACAACTCGGTTGCTAACTTATCAACTGCAGTGATGCACTTAACAACGGTGGCTAGAATGGTTGCAAAATTGGGGCAAAACTCACTTAACAAATGTTTCGCTTAACAAGAAGAAATTTTGGGCTCCATTGTGGTCGTAAATAGGTTAGATTAGATTAACAAAGTTGGAAAGGACCTTGTAGGTCATTTAGTCCAACCCCCCCACCCAAGCAGGAGACCCTACACCCGTGATGGCGAACCTATGGCACGCGTGCCACAGGTGGCACGCGGAACCATATCGGTGGGCACGTGAGCTCAGCTCCAGCGCACATGCGCACGCCGGCCAGTTGACTTTCGGGCCTTCTGGGCTCACCGGAAGTCAGGAAGCAGGTTGTTTTCGGCCTCGGGGGGGATGGGGAAGGCCTGTTTTTTTCTCTCCCCAAGCTCCAGAGCCTTTCTAGGAGCCTGGGGAGGGTGAAAACGGCCTTCCCCAACCCCCCAGAGGCCCTCCGGAGGCTGGAAATAGCCCATCCAGGGGGCTGGGAAAGGCCATTTTCGCCCTCCCCAGGCTCCTAGAAAGGCTCTGGAGCCTGGGGAGAAAGAAAAAAGGGCTTACTGGGCCCACCATGCCATCCCGTGCAAAAAGCAGGGGAGTCACGTGCGCGCAACCCCCCTGCGCTCCTCCCGCTTTTGGCACGCAATGGCAAAAAGGTTAGCCATCACTGCCCTACACCATTTCTGACAGATGACAGTCCAGTTTCTCCTTGAAAGCCTCCAGTGATGAAGCTCCCACAACTTCTGAAGGCAACTTCTGTTCCATTGGTTGATTGTTCTCACTGTCAGGAAATTTCTCCTTATTTCTAGGTTGAATCTCTCCTTGGTCAGCTTCCATCCATTATTCCTTGTCTGGCCTTCAGGTGCCTTGGAAAATAGTTTGACCCCCCTCCTCTCTGTGACAGCCCCTCAAATATTGGAAGACTGCTATCATGTCTCCCCTGGTCCTTCTCTTCACTAGACTAGCCATGCCCAGTTCCTGCAAACGTTCATCATATGTTTTAGCCTCCAGTCCCCTAATCATCTTGGTTGCTGTTCTCTGCACTCTTTCTAGAGTCTCAACATCTTTTTTATAGTGTGGTGACCAAAACTAGATGCAGTATTCTACGTGTGGTTTTACTAAGGCTTTCTAGAGTGGTATTAGTACCTCACTTTATCTTGATTGTATCCCTCTGTTAATGCAGTTTAGGATTGCGTTGACTTTTTTGGCTGCCATTGCATACTGCTGGCTCATATTTAGCCGATTGTTCACTAAGACTCCCAGATCCCTCTCACAGTTACTGCTATTAAGCCTGGTTTCACCCAGTCTATATGTGTACTTTTGGTTTTTCTTGCCCAAGTGTAGGACTTTACTTTTCTCTACATTGAATTTCATTTTGTTAGATAGGGCTGTGTTCAAGTCTGTCAAGATCCATCTGGATCTTGAGCCTATCTTCTAGGGTGTTAGCTATTCCTGCCAGTTTAGTGTCATCTGCAAATTTGCTAAGTTTCCTCATCTAAGTCGTTTATAAAGATATTGAAGAGTACTGGGCCTAAGATGAACCTTGTGGTACCCCACTGCTTACTTCTCTCCATGTAGATGTAGACCCATTAAGGACTTCTCGTTGAGTACGGTTTGTTAGCCAGTTATGAATCCATCTGGTGGTGATGCTATCTATCCCACTTTTTCCTAGCTTACCAAAAAGTAAGTTGTGGTCTACTTTGTCGAATGCCTTGCTGAAGTCTAAGTATATTATGTCCACAGTATTTCACTGATCTACTAATTTAGTCACTATGTTGAAGAATGAAATAAGACTGGTTTGGCATGATCTGTTTTTAACAAACCCATGCTGACTGCTAGTTATTACTTTACTTGTTTCTAGATGTTGACAGATCTGTTTTTTTATTATCTTTTCCAGTATCTTCCTGGGTATTAATGTTAGGCTGATTGGTCTGTAGTTTCCAGGGCCTGGTTTTCCCCCCCACTTTTTTGAAGATGGGAACCACATCAGCTCTTTTTCAGTCCTCTGGTAGTTCTCTGATGCTCCAGGATTTTTGAAAGATGTGGTGCAGTGGTTCTGAGATGACTTCTGCCAGCTCCTTTAGAACTCTTGAGATGTAATCCATCAGGTCCCAGCGATTTGTATTCATCAAGCTCAGACAAGTGTTCTCTTACTATTTTTTTGCTTATTTTAATTTTTATTTCTAGTCTGTCTTTTAGTGTTATGTTTTTGGTAGGTTGGACTATAGTTTCTTTTTGTGTGAAGACCGATGCAAAGAATGAGTTAAGCAGCTTTCTGCTTTCTCTCTGTTGCCTGGTACTTCCTTGCTGTCTTCTCTCTTTAGTGGATTGACTGTTTCCTTGATTTTTTTCTTGTTATTTATATGTTGGAAGAAACTTTTTTTGTTATCTTTGACTTTTGCTGCAAGTCTTTGTTCATTCTGAGCCTTTGCTTCCCTGACTTCATCTTTGCAGATTCTGGCTATCTGCTGATATTCTGCCTTAGTTGTGTGTCCCTCTTTCCATTTTTTGTACTTGTCCTTTTTGTAAAGGACTACCTGTACAATGGACCAGCACATCCAGAAGGTATGGAGTGGTGGGTTAATCACCTTTATAGGCAACCCTATTTGATTTTATGCACTTCTGTTTGTAATGGCCGTGAGGCTCAAGTGGGCACTATGGCTGCATCTGGTTGTTGTCACCCATTTAGCAACACCCTGGGACCATGTGTAGCTTAAGTAAGGAATGCTACCTACGGCTATTGCTCCCCTTGTACGCTAAAAAAATAACATAGTTATCCCTGAATAAAGGTGTGTGTGTGGAGGATGAATCTCTGCGCTCCCTGCTCTCATTTGACCAGTGGGTTTCCTTCAGGTCGGCAATTTCCAGAGTTCAGCCACAAGATAAGGAGGAGAGATTCAATCTAGAAATAAGGAAAAATTTTCTGACAGCGAGAACGATCAACCAGTGGAACAGCTGACCTTCAGAAGTTGTGGGAGCTTCATCGCTGGAAGCTTTCAATTCACCATTTCAGAAATGGTGTAGGTAGGGTCTCCATCTTGAGGGGGGGGTTGGATTAGATGACCCACAAGGTCATCAGGAGCCTGGTGGCGCAGCAGACTAAACTACTGTTAAAAGTAGCATTTAGCTGCCAGCTGCCTGCAATTACTGCGAGTTCAATTCTCACCAGGCTCAAGGTTGACTCAACCTTCCATCCTTTCAAGGTAGGTAAAATGAGGACCCGGTTTGTGGGGGGCAATAAGCTGACTTTGTATAAAATAGAACACCGCTCTGGGGGGCCCAAAAAAAGCCTTACTAAGCAGGTATATACAAAAGTATGAAGGCTATTGCTTAACACATTGTAAGCCGCCCTGAGTCTCCGGAAAAGGGCGGCATATAAATCAAACTAATAAATAAACTAATAAATAAGGTCCCTTCCAAGTCTTAAATCTGTTCAATTCAATTTTAGAACCACAAGGCTTTTTGATGTGCGCAAAGTAGCTTTCCGTTCCCCAGGGGAAAAGGAAAAGGAGGAGGAGGGGAAGAAGAAGAAGAAGAAGAAGAAGGAAAACAAAAACGAGGAGGGGAAGAAGAAGAAGAAGAAGGAGGAGGAGGAGGAGGAGGAGGAGGAGGAGGAGGAGAAGGAGAAGAAGAAGAAGAAGAAGAAGAAGATAAGGCGGGTAACTCTCGCTTGAAAACTTAACCCGCCGTTTTCCTTTCCCGCGATCGCAGCTGCAGGTGCGGCGTGGATTAGCCACCGCACGGAGCCACGTGGACACTGCGGCGTCCCGCTCCTCCCCCCACCCCCCTTCGCCAGATCCCGGGGGGGGGGGAGAGAGCGAGAGAGGGAGAGGGAGAGCTGGCGCGCCAACCGGGTGGCTGATCTTCCGCCAGTCCCATAAGCCGATCTCTGCCGGCCGCCTCCCATCCCCAGCTTTGCGCTTTGCACGCGATCGTGCAGACGAAGCGGGGGAGCCCAATCGGGGGGGTCCTTCCGAAGCGCCTCTGAGCCGGGGGCCGTCCTTGGCGCCTTTTCGGCCCCGAGTGCGAATCCGGCGCGGAAAGGGCGGCAGCCGGTGCTCTTCTTTCTTCTTCTTGCTCTGTCCCAAAGCAAACCCTCCCACCCCATCCCCACCCCCGGGGAGGGCGTCGGCGGACGGATCATCCGAGGCGGGTGCTAGCGGGACGGGACGGTAGCCGGGGCTGGACCTGCTGCCCCCCCCCACTCCCACTCCACCCTGTCAGCTGTTGCGTGCTTGGCTGCCCTCGGCACCGCTGCCCCGGTTGCCTCCCCGCAGCTCCTCGATCGGGAGGCCCGCCGCTGAAGGGTTCGCGGCTCAAGGACGCGCCGTTGCGCAGGGTTACCTTCCCGGGGCAGGCGCGGCGCCAGGAGGAGCCCCGTTCGAGGTGGCCGCAGCGCTTTTCCACCGCCTGGAACCATCCCGCGCCGAGGGTGGGTGCCAACCTCCCCCGCCCCCACTCCCCGCGGCCACCGGGCTCTCGCACAGATGCGACGTGCCCTGCTTGATGAATGAATGAATGAATGAATGAATGAATGAGCCTTGCCCGGCCGGGACGCTTAGCCCGCCCTGTCCGTTGCCGGCCTTGGAGGCGGAGACGCCCCGGCTCTGGCTAAGATTGGCTGCGCCCAGGCAGGAGGTCCCGGGCTTGTCCGCTTCTTCGCTTCCCTCCCGCTCACTCCCCCGGCGGTCCCGGAGCCGGGCAGAAGCTTTAAATCTGCTGTGTTTTTCGCTTCCTCCCCGCGAAGATCAGCCTCGGGCTGGCCCAGATCGGAGACGGAGATCTGCTGCGCCAAGATCCCAGGTGGGTTTCAAAAGCACAGGGGAAGATCCCTTCTTGGCAGGGAGGAAAGGGGTGCCCTTGAATTTGCTACCCGGCCTTGACCTTTGCAGGGTTAGGATTGTGTGAAGCTTGGGGGAGGGTGAAAGGGCTGTTTTGCAAAATAATAATAATAATAATAATAATAATAATAATAATAATAATAATAATAATAATAATAATAATAATAATAATAATAATAATAATAATAATGATGATGATGATGATGGTCAGTGGTATTTGTGATGCATTTTTGAATGTTCAGTTGACTGAGTTCATATTTAATTAAAGTAAATCATCATCATCATCCCACTTTACTAGGATCTGCTCGCATAATCTGCCAATACATCATGCAGTCCTGAACGCTTGGGAAGTGTTTGACTAGTGATTTGAGATATGAAATCCAGCATGGTTATCTTGTTTGCTGTGTATACTGTCAAGTTTGTGTATATTAATATTATTATTATTATTATTATTAATAATAATAATAATAATAATAATAATAATAATAATAAAGACTCGAGCTGCTGAGCTATTAACCAGCCTCAAAGGCTGTGAATCTCACTAAAGATTAAATAATAATAATAATAATAATAATAATAATAATAATAATAATAATAATAATAAAGACTCGAGCTGCTGAGCTATTAACCAGCCTCAAAGGCTGTGAATCTCACTAAAGATTAACTAATAATAATAATAATAATAATAATAATAATAATAATATAAAAAAGAGTGGCTGGTTTGCCCTTTGCAAACATGACTCGATGAAGATAAGATATGACTCACCAGCAGGTGGGTGAATTGACCTCCAAAAAACGATGAATTTTATCAAGGGCAACATTCTCACCAAGTCACTCAGATTAGCCATTTTTATCCCCATTTGACAGATTTTAATTGTAAATCACCTGGAATCCATGGAAGATAGATTGCTTATAAATTGTATCAATAAGTGTGAATTTCCACTGGTGGCCGGTTGGGTTCAAGTTCAAAGAGAGACTGTAATCCTGATTTGGATCCTGCTGGCCTTCTTGCGTAAGGATGGGTTGTGCCAACTTAAAGCCATCCAGGAACAGTGGCTGCCTCTGAGAGAGAAAACAACTTTTCCCAAGCTGTGCAGATGGGCTTGGCAAGAATCCTAAATCATGCAGCTCTTCAGTTGCAAGGGGTTAAGTGTTGCAGGATTCCAGGCACCAATCAGGGATGCAGGGCTCGGCTAGCTTGGTCTGAGCATCCCCATCCTCAAGCCGGGTTGGGATGGGATACTGACATTCAAGGTGAACTTGTGAGTGGGCCGAGGTCCTGCAAGATTTAGGGGCCCAGATAATGCAGGGGGTGATTGTTGGAAAATGAGATGTTTGGTTGCCTTGTAGGATGGTCTGACGTCTCTGGAATACATCTTAGGTTTACAGTCTTCCTTGCAGATTCAGTTCTTTGCATTTTAGTAGTTAAATTGTTAAATAGCCTTAGCAGGGAAGGAAAAAAACTCAGAGGCTCTCATCAGCTGGAGTGGAAAGTACTGGCTAACATGGATCAGGCAGTTCCTTATGTAACTGTGTTGTTTCACTGCTGCAGGCAAAGGGCAGTGAAAAGAAGGCATTTTTTTTGAGATGCCGGCACAGAGCAGAGAGAGAGAGAGAGACTCAAGGCTGTGAACCTTGAGAGTCATTTTCTTTCTGCTCAGGGTGATGCCACCAAGAATTTCCACATTGTTGCTTAGGGGCTCAGGGTCTTGCTCCAGCTGCTCTGTCAAAAGCCTCAGGGTAGGAGTTGCTGAGATCGGCCACTTCCATGCGGGGGGGCCCCCATCAATGCTTGGCATAAAGAAAGGGGGAAGAATGAAATGCTCTCAGCTATGTGAGGGAGGAATGGTGTATGCACAAGACTCCCTTTTCATGTTTGCATCCATGTGCCTCATGGATGAATGCACATGGTGCAGCCGTGAACTATTGTACACTCATCCTTGCTTGCATCTTCCTTCCTCCCTCCCTCCCTCCCTCCCTCCCTCCCATTGCATCCGGCTCCCCCCTTTTCTATACCCTTCCCAGCAAACTGGCTGCTGTAATCTTTGTCATTGGACTGTTTCCCTTGCCTAATGTTATTCCATTTCCTGGCTTCAGATGGGCCTCTTACTTCTTCATTCTCACAATCACAAACGTTCCTATCCACAGGATGAAGCATGAGCAGCCGTGACCACGCTGGATCTTGAGTGACCTGCTGTCTGTCGTTAAGGATGGCTGCCTTGGGGTTATTCCTTGTCTGGAGCCTGCTCTTACCTGCCTTACTCCTGGCTTTGTACCTCCCGACTCCAGAGAACTCTACTTGGCACTTGCCTCTGAATTCTGTCCCACAGTCACCTCTGTTGGAAGTCCCCTCTAAAAAGCCTACTCAAAGGGCCCTGCCAGTCATTCCCCACTCAGATTCCTCTGGCCATGAGTTCTCTAGTGGTGACGGGGAATTGAAGAATGAGAACAGCCAAGGTGCCAGTCCAGTTGGCCACCCTAGAGTTACAAAATCCAAGAGGAGGTTCAAGCTCCTTGCAAAGGGGGTACCAGCTGGTTCTTCTGGTGGAAGTTTAGCTCCCCACTTGACTGAGGAGAGTCTTGTTCTGCCAACCGAAGGCTTGCTCAGTGTTCAGGGAGAGGTTGAGGATACTGGTGGTATAATTCGGGAACGAAGTCCGAAACAGAGGAGGAAAAAGCTCCCTCTTCCTTCTTTTGGCATATCAAAGAGAAACATGTCCACCTCTGTGGCGGCCCCTCTTCCCACTTCACCCAGACTAGTGGCCTCAGAACTACCTGTCTCCCAGGAGGGATCCTTGCCCAACCTCCACCAAGCAGGGTTCAAACATGGCCTCCCAGCAACTACCTTAAGCCCCAGGCCCACCGTGTCCACCATTCCTTTGGCAACATTCCCTGTTAACAGATCTCTTGTCAAATGGGAGGTGGTGGAGGATGCCGAACCTAAGGTTGGTGCTTCAAGAGGATGGTTGGAAAACAGCGTGTCAGAGCAGGAACTGCTGGGCCGGAATCTAACCACAGTAAAATATTTGGCTTCATACAAGAGTAGACAGGTCTCCAGTGGCCTCCTTGGCCAGGAAGAGCTTTCTACGTCTCCGCTAAGGCCTGTGGTTCAGGCAGCTGGAGATGCTCAGAATCTCCCTGGGCAAGATAGAGATGTACCACCGGTGACTTCCCCTTCTCAGGAAGGAATAGTTACCCCACTGATTGGGAAGGGGCATAGGCAAAGCCCAGCAAGCTTCCATCCGCCTGTTTCGGATGACCACTTCCCTGTCCCTTTCACCCCTTCACTGTTAGGGGTGACCCCCCAAGAACCAAATCCTCATCTAAGAAGCACTCATTGGAACCTGATCATTGATACCACCCAGCAGCCAGGACTTTGGGACACGGCTGGAATGGAAACCACTATCTTTCAAGGCAGCTCTGCTTCCCCAGGTAGGTTTAGATTTGCCTTTGGTCTATGTACTTAAAGGAATCTTCTGCCATTGAAAATTCTCACCCAGTCCCACATACCTGTGTCCTGGGTACAGGAGGAGGATGGAACAGGAGAGGACAGGAGGTGGCAACAACTCTAAGGGAAGACACACACCAAGTGCCATGGGGAGCAGGGAGCTGGCCCGATGACAGGGAAGGAAGAAAAGGTTGGGAGTTAAGGAGAAAACCTGGTTAAAGGACTCTTGAAGGGCACACATTACATTAAAGGGGGAGAATTGTGATACAGGTGGTCCTCAGCTTACAACCATTATTTTAGCAATTATTCAAACTTACACTGGCAGAAAAAAAGTGACTTAAGAACTGATCCTCACACAACCATCGCAAGCATCCCCATGGTCATGTGATAAAAATTCAGGCGCTTGTTGGCAACTAGCATGTAATTTACCACGGTTGCAGCATCCTGGGGTCACATGATCGCCATTTGCAACTAACTCCCAACTAACTTCTGACAAGTGAAGTCAATGGGGGAAGCTGGATTTACTTAACTGCTCTGTGATTCAAGTAACAATTGCAGCGTTTCGCTTAACAACCCTGGCAAAAAAAAAAGAAAGAAAGAAAAAGATCATAATATTCACTTAACAACTGCCTTGTTTAGCAATGGAAATTCTGGTCCCAGTTGTGGTTTGTAAATCGAGGACTGCCTGTGATAGAAATGCATCTTTCACTTCCAAGAATAGCATCCCAGCAACCAGATTATAACAATCAAAATTGGCAGGGAAAGGATTAACTAATTTAGAAGACGCTGTCAGGAGCCTGGATGCATTCTTTTCTGACTACCAAATGGTATTAAAAAGCAGAAGCTGAGCTGAGCTCACCAAAGCTTTTGCCTTTTAATTAAATTTGTTTCTGTCAGAAAAGGTGCTATCGGAGTCGTCCTAACCTACAAGGTAAATGCCTTTCTAATAAACTTCTTTACTGGTTACAAATTGCTAGAGATAAGAAGGGTCTATTATTTTTATAAAATAAACATTCTGGACTTTGTTAGCCCAGAGTACTGAATACTATCCCACTTCACTATCGGTTTGAATCTTCCTCCTCCTCCTCCTCCTCCTCCTCCTCCCCCTCCTCCTCCTTCTCCTCCTGCTGTAAGCTTCTCTTTACTTCTTGGTGGTGTCTGGCCATTTCCTGAAACATGATCATCCTTATTGTGATCATAAGTAACAACCTCCAATAACAACACAGCCAGATGTGGAGCCTAAAAACAAAATGCCAGCCTGATTTCCACACCAACCCACCCGTTTTTCATAAGAGGAACAATTAACCAAGGAACCCCCTTTGTAGGCTAGAAAAAAAGGCTGGAAAAATAAGTCCAGCAGTAGGCAGAGATGAAATTCGGAAAAGAAAATGGAGCTCAGAGAAGTGAAGAGGGCCCAGCTGGTTGGTTAACATCCAAACAAGACCAATTTTTGTTGTTGAAGATCACATCTATTTCAAGTGTCATTCTTTGTTACTTGGTTTAGTACGAGAAGAAGAAAAACACCACTACCACAAACTGGTGTGATGGTTGTGAATGTTGAATGCATCTGGAAGGGAGGGGTGTGTACAGGGAAGCTGCATTCAACTTGACCCTGCATACAAATATGTGTACAGCTGGCAGGCTGGCCTATGATTAAGTGACTCCTTTCATTAGGATGCCAGCATATTTGGTGGCGATGAAAGAAACATGGGATGGGCTGGCAGATGGGAATAATAGGAAGAGCTGGTAGAAATATTTCAGGGTGGGGTGTGGGTTTTTTTTTTTTGGGAGCTGGTGATGGATTTATAGGAGCGGGAGGTGATCTGTAAACCTGTATGAGGTAATTTAATGGTGGTTTGTAACCTGATCATGGGTTGTATTTGTTACTACAAAGCAATTAGTTGATCTTGAAAAACCTAAGTAGGATAAGCTGGTTTGTATTAGGCTGGGAAGTTTTTTTAAAAAAACCAACTCCTGCCTTTGATGTGATGTTTCAAAGAGCTGCTAGAAGAATCTCCTTCTTCCTCTGTTCGGACTGACCTTCCTTGAGAACAGAACTTCTGAGAGGAACTAGGGCAGAAGGAGGCGGTCAAAGCGGAGAGATCTCCTTTGGTGCAGAAGCAGATGGAGACGCTAAAGGACAGCCTTATCATTAGATGTCCCAAGTCTCAGATTTGAGGTGTAATGCCAAGGAAGCCAACTATTTAATTATTTAGGAGTGATGGGAAAGATACCAGCAAGCTTTTCTATTGTGGGGGGCAAACTAACTTGGGGGAGATTTTTGCACTTTGGAAAATCTTGCTGTTCCACCTCAGCCAAGACAACATTGTAGGCCAATCTTTGAGACCATCAATTTTTGGTTCCACTGAAGGCCTTTTCCTTTTTTTCCAGGGACTGGAGAAATGCCTGATATTGCAGAGCCCCAACGAGTCAGGGGAGCTGTGAACCCCAAAGTCTCTCTCACATATTTTGACTCTTCTACCCCTGGACAGAGCCCCTCCAAATTGCAGGATGATGCAGGAATCAAGCATTCAGGTGAGTAAGAACACCGTGAGATTTTTCTAACGTGGAGAGAACCTTGCTAGATCAGACCAAAGTCTGCCTAGGTCAGCATCTTGTTCCCACCAAGTGCATACACAGTATGTGTAAGAGAGTCTGTGTATGCGTGTGTGTGTCTAGAATCCCCTTGTTCAGTCCCATGGAATTAGAGATCAGCTGAAACATGCAGTTGCATGGAATTCCTGTTAACAGCCACAGTTCATTTTAAGATGTGGGAGTGCCATGGTTGAATACCAGAGTAGGCCTTGAGAACTGGGTTCAGGCCTACAGGCTTCTGCATTCAGTTGTGATTTTCACTGGGAGTCTTGGTTATTCACTATTTCTTAATCCAATGTATTTAAAAAGCCTGTTGAACGAGTGAAAAGAAAGAACCTTATATCAATCAATCAGAACAGAGCTGGATTGGGCCTTGGAGGTCTTGCTCAAGCAGGAGATCATATACCATTTCAGACAAGTGACTGTCCAGTCTCTTCTTAAAAACCTCCAGTGATGAAGCACCCACCACTTCTGAAGGCAGGCTGTTCCACTGGTTAATTGTCCTCACTGTTTCTCTTTAATTCCAGACTGCTTCTCTCCTTGATTAGTTTCTAACCATTGTTTTTTGTTTTGCCCTCTGGTGCTTTGTAAAATAAGTTGATCCCCCCTCCTCTTTGTGGCAACCTCTCAGATACTGGAATACTACTATCGTGTCCCCCCAGGCCTTCTTTTCTCTAGACTAGCCAAACCCAAATCCTGCAACCGTTCTTCATACGTTTTTGTCTCCAGGCCTTTACTCATCTTAGTTGCTCTTTGCACTTTCTCCAAAGTCTCAACATCTTTTTTGTAATGTGGTGATCAAAACCGGATGTAGTATTCTAGGTTTGGCCTTATTAATGCTTTATAACTAGAATTACTAAAATTACTATATAATAAAAATAAAATAGTAAGAGTTGATCTTTTTAAATCAATATTAAATACAAATTCCAGATTGGGCACTAGATTTATTCTCAATTATTTCTTCCTTCTTCTCTGTGCTCTTCAGAAATTGCATCTACAGTCTTCTGCCATTGTTCAATTTCGGATTAAAAATGAAGAGCAATGTCATGGCTCTCAGTATGCTAAAAAGTGCCGTTTTTCCTGTCAGTGCCCTATAAATAATCCATTTTAATAATAGAGTGGAAATGCTATTGAAGGAGCTGAATCGCATTATTGGTGGAGCAGAGTTCCAGAGCAATTGTTAAGCTTGCTGTGGTGGGAAAAAGCTGAATTGGCTGATATTTTGATGTTGACGGTGATGAATGCTGCCTGAGTTATTCTGCCTCTGCAAAAACAGGAGGAGAGATTTTTGATTTGGAGAGATACTGTGTTGTGCATCAGAATGGCTACAGGCCTCAGATGAACGCTTCCATTTCCCCTCAGTGAGATGCTCCGATTTCTGAGTAGATGGTTGAATTCATATCCCGCTGCTGATGGAGTTCAGTAAACCAGGATTTGATTTGTAGTAACTTTGTATTCAGACCATCTGGTATATTGTTGCTAGCAGGGCTCGATTCCAGATAGGGGCATCTAAGCAACTCACATTTCTGGGCTGTTTCTGGTTTCCCCATGAAGCTAAAACTGAGGAGGAATCAGGAATCAATTTATTGTTTAATAAATAAATGTGTTCTGTTGCCACCATACTGCTGGCGGGGGAAGGAGTATGGGTTTTTATGTTGTGGGGTTTTATGCAGGGGTGAAATCCAACAGGTTCTGACAGGTTCTGAAGAACCGGTAGCGGAAATTTTGAGTAGTTCAGAGAAGCGGCAAATACCACCTCTGGCTGGTCCCAGAGTTGGGTGGGAATGGAGATTTTGCAATATCCTTCCCCCAGGAGTGGGGAAGGAATGGGGATTTTGCAGTATTCTTCCCCTGTAGTGGGGTGGGAATGGAGATTTTGCAGTATCCTTTCTTTGCCATGCCCACCAAGCCCACAGAACCGGTAGTAAAAAAATATGGATTTCACCACTGGTTTTATGTTGTGGATTTTAATGTTGTAAGTCACTTGGAGGCCCCTCTGTGATTTATATAGGCAGCCATACTAAACTCGTTTAATAAATAATGTAAATAAATAAGTATATTTACTATAAAGAGCTATGAGAGAGAGAGAGAGAGAGAGAGAGAGAGAGAGAGAGAGAGAGAGAGAGAGAGAGAGAGGAAAATACTAATCTAGGTAACCTACATCCACATCCACAGCTTCTCTCCATAATCCATTGTATATTCAAACTCTGCCTCCTAGACACTACAAAGCTGATTCAGCAACTCCTCTGGCATCTCATGAGATACTGTTTTTGTGCATTGCATGGGAGGATCCTTGCAATGGACCAGTTCCTCCATTGCTGATTCAGGTCCAATTATTCACAACTAAGTCATGAATCCAATTATTCACAACCAAGCTGTTACACAACTGGGAGCGTGATTATCATCTTATTTTCTTGGAAGGTGTTTGTTATTCTTTTCCTCTTTAACAATAATAATACCTTTTCTCCTGGCTTCAGTTGGAGCCTCAGTACTGAACAGATGAGATAGAACAACTATATTTCAAAAGAGGGCAGTAACTGTAGAGCAGAATTAATAATGAAAGGGGTAATGTAGATTTAGAACAAGCTTTTTAAATATGTCTTTAGGTTTCACTTTTTAAAATAGAAATCACAAAAAAATTGAGAAAACACCTAAAATGCACTTAAAACAATCCATACAATTAAACGAAACTCTGTGACAATGGGAAATAAAATCCACAGGAAAGAAAAGAAAATTTAAAAATCTAAACTGGCTAAAGAAAAGGGAAAAAAAGTGATTATATATTCAACATGTCAATAGTCACTGGTTTATTCATTAATACTGTAGCGTGCTATAATATAAATATATATATTTTAAATATTATAAAATATCACAAAAATCTCTGCTACAGCAGCATATACTCCATTTTTGATTGGTAGAAAATATTGTCTTTTCCATAACAGATAAGTCACACATTTCCAAAAACCGTTCTTTACAATCTGGAATAATATGAATTTTCCAGTGTAATTTTTTTTAGCTAACCCTGTAGCCTCATGCTTGATACAGCCATAATTTCTGATAAACAGATTCCAAAGCTTTGGTATATTATTCAGCAGCACATTAACATATTTTAACATTTAAGGATTTCCTCACAGATCTATTTATATGCATTAAAACACTATTCCAAAAAGTTGCCAGTTGATGACTCAACCATATTCTATGTGTCAGTTGAATCTTCCAGTGTCTGCATCTTCAACAAAATCTAGAACAGTCTTAAATTTCCTAGTGCCTTTCAAATGTGCTTTGGTTTCAATTGCCAGCCAGCCTGAGAACTGAAGTAAGATATGCCTGGGAGACACAAGCTTGCAAGTCTGATCATATTAATGTTTGTATTCTACCTATATTACACCATGAAATTCAAAAGTGTTCGTTCATTCATTCATTCATTCATTCATTCATTCATTCATTCATTCAGGCTTCTGTGTTGCTCAACATATCAAAAGCTTTGAGCAGCTTACATTCAGCAATACAAAAGATTAAATCAATAACCTCAATATGTGGTTATAAACATCCACTAACTATCATACACAACTAGCCCTCATTGACCTTACTTCCTTTCCTGAGATTCCATCTGTTCAAGCATTCTGGTAGACCCATAGAGAAGGGGTGGACTGTAACACAAAGGGGCAATCTGTAACACAGAGGGGAGGGGATTACTGAGAAGGGTTGACATAGGGTCCCCATCGTTGGAATCCTCTTAGTAAAGGAAATTTTAACAGCCTTTCTCTCCTAATCTGAGTGGGCAGATTCAAAACGGAGAGGATAATCTTGAAGATACCTTATATTCCCTCATGTTCATGGAAAGCCCAAGATACTTATTGCCTCTTAATTTAGGGCCAGAGCCAGTTTGGTTCAGTGGTTAAGGCATCAGACTAGAAACCAGGAGACCATGAGTTCCAATCCCGTCTTGGGCCAGGTGGGTGATCTTGGTTAATTACTTTCTCTAGCAATGGTAAACCACTTGTGGAAAATCTTGCCAAGAAAACTGCTGGGACTTGTCCAGGCAGTCCTCCAAGAATTGGACACGACTGAACAGGAGAAAAAGAAAATTAGGCTCAAACAGATTGAATAAGCCTCTTCCTGCCCCCAAAATAAGGTGTAATTGTTAAGGCTGGTAGGAAATCTGAGCTCCAGAGAAGAGTGGAAAACAAGTACAGATTGCTAGAAGCTGAGGGGATAAACTGGCTTTGGCATTTAGATTTGAGAAAACCCATGTTTTAAAACTAGATTCAGAAATTCCTATAAACCTTATACCCTTGCAATGTATTTACTTAATGTACTTCATTTCAAGGTATTAATGAGTAAACCAGTGACTATCAATATGTTGAATAGCAATAACACTTAGACTTAAATACTCTCTAAGTGGTTTACAGAGTCAACCTATTGCTCCCAACAATCTGGGTCCTCATTTTACCCACCTCGGAAGGATGGAAGGCTGAGTCAACCTTGAATTGGTGAGATTTGAACTGCTACGTTGCAGGCAGCCGGCAGGCAGCAGAAGAAGCCTGCAGTACTGCACTCTAACCACTGCGCCACCGCGGCTCAATGTACAAAGTCTTTTTTTTTTTCTTTTTTTTTTTCTTTAGAAAGTTTGGATTTTAAAAATCTCTTTTCTTTCCTGTGGGCTTTTTTCTCCATTTTCACACGGTTTCATTTAATGGTATGGATTGTTTTTAGTGCATTTAGGTGTTTTCTCAATTTTCTTGTGATTTCTATTTTGAAAAGTAAAACCTAGATACATATTTAAAAAGCTTGTTCTGAATCTACACTACTACTTTCATTATTAATTAATTAATTATTAATAGATACAATATATGACAGATCTATAGATGTGTATCAATGAAACAGAAACCAAAACAATGACTAGCTGAATCAACTCAAATAGAAATCAAATTAAAACAATTAAATTAAAACACATAGATTATAATTGCATGATTTACTGTAGTACAAAATAGCCAATCAGGTTTTAGACCCTTTTATGATGTGCAAATCCATCCTCTCTGGTTATATGGTCCAGTGAACTTTATGAGCTGAGGAATTTGGACTAATTAACTCAATTGTAGTTTAATTAATGAGCCTGGATAAATGTCTCCTATGAACCCAGCCAATCTGCCTATAAACCATGCCTGCTTAAAAAATTGCCAAAGATAATGCTGAGGGGATATGTTCAAGGGGATGGCAGCCCTTTGAGAAAGTCCATCCAAGAAGCATCAACCATGAATAGTAACACTATCTTTATTGTTAAGTTATGCTCCAGGTTTTTAATTAATGGGGGTAATTGGGTCCGGCAATTCTGTCACCAAGAGGCACAGATGTAAAGTAAGGTGCCACATGACCACACCAATTTGGCAGTTCCAATTGAGATTATTAAGTAGATCCCGGATGGTCATTTAGCATGATATTCCACGATCACCATACGTGACATCCTAACAGCTTCCCTATTGGTTTTGCTTGTCAAAAACTGCACACTAAGGTTGCAAAAGTCGATCACATGACCTGTGTCTGTCGTAATTGTGAGCCAGCTGCCAGGTGCCTGAATCCCAATCATGTGACCATGGGAACATTGCAACGGCTGCAAATACAAGGACAGGTTCTAAATCTCCTCGTTCAGCACCATTGTAGCTTTTTAATGGCCACTGAACAAATGGTATTAACCAAGGATTACCTGTAACAGAATCATCTGCAATCTGAAATTATCTCTCTACTCCCTTACTTTTACTCTCGCGAAAACCGGAGAAGAACTCTTGTGAGGCACTTTCTCCACCCCATCCATCTTCAAACTCAGGTTTAGTTTATCCGACCATTATCTAGGCCAGGGATCTTCAAATTTGGTAATTTTAAGATTGGTGGACTTCAACTCCCAGAATTCCCCAGCCAGTAAGTTTGGAGACCTCTGATCTAGGCTGCGACTCTTCCTCCTTCCTCCTCAAGTCATTCCCACATATCATTACAGGGGACACTCCTGCAAAGGCCCAATTTTTAATATTTGTAAATAGACCTCTGATAGTACTTGAAGGCAGCTCAATGAGCAGAACAGGCACATTTTCAATTTAGCTTCAAATCTGTGCTTTAAAAAAATCTATGAAATTTACTAAATTCTACATCACACCAAATTCTTCAACTATGTATTTTTATGTATATATATTTTTTTGAAAGAAAAAATAAGTGGGAGCAAGAATCATACAGACCTCTGAAACTGCTCCAGTAGTTGGGAAATATATTCAGTTTCCCAGCTTGCCCTGCCCTTCTGGCTCGGAGAGGTCTGGCAACTCTTAAAAAGAGCCGAGGTGGCGCAGTGGTTAGAGTGCAGTACTGCAGCTACTTCAGCTGACTGCTAGTTCAGCAGATCAGCAGATCAAATCTCACCGGCTCAAGGTTGACTCAGCCTTCCATCCTTCCGAGGTGGGTAAAATGAGGACCCAGATTGTTGGGGGCAATATGCTATTTAGTATACTGTCTTTGGTATAAGCCGCCCAGAGTCCTCGAAGGGTGGGTGGCATAGAAATATGAATAATTAATTAATTAATAAATAAATAAATAAATAAATAAATAAATAAATAAATAAATAAATAATTTGTTGCTGCCTATTTAAAGAAGAAGATTAAACTTTGGGATAAAATAAAAGTTACATTTATTTCATGATTATCATAGTACTGTATTCTAGACTTGTATTGGACCTCAACATGCTACCCTTATGTTTTGTTATTGTGGGCACAGGTCAGAATGACAAGGAATCAGGAAATTGTGCTGTACTGCAAGCCTGGTGCTTCCTATGTCTTGATCATCCTTTCGCCTCTTTCTTATTTTCAGATCCAGCTTGGAAGCACCCTTTTGGGCAAAGTAGCACTGTGGTCTCCACTACATCTGCTCGTCTTCCAGCTACCCCTCGCCGTGGGTTAATCCAAGTCACCACACAAAGAGTTGTCCAGCATCCTCAGTTGCCTAAGCCGGAGCCAAGCCTGCCTGCCATGCTCCCTGCTTCCAATCCACCTTGCCCCCGTCTTGGAAGCACCTGCCACCAGCTCTTGCCCAACAAGACCCTTCTGCGCTGGGGGGAACTTGAGCAGACACTGAGTTTTGCCTGGGCACTGCACGTCTACGGCGCTGGAGTGCTTTTTCTGCTGCTAAGCCTGTTTAGTTTGGCATGCCTGGGGGTATCCCTTTCTTTGCACAGGACACAGCTTCCCTATGTCTTGGCTGCCAGTGGTCTGCTCCTGGTGTTTGGAGTACTGCGAGCCACGTTCTTCCTGGCTGACCCCTATGGCTCCCTGGGCCGGCTGCCTACCCGTGCTCTGCGACTGCTATACACTGCACCTTTCCCTCTGCTGCTGAGCACTTTCACGGTACTTTTGCTCCGCTTGGTTCATCAGGCCCGGCTGCAGATCTTGCCCCCCAGATGGCAGAGCTTGCCATTTTGGGTTGCACTGAGCTCCCTACACAGCATCGTTCTCTTGGGGGCTGACTTGTTGTCCCCTCCAATGCACTCAGCTGTGTCTGTGGGACTCCACACCCTTTCCTGTACTGCTGGTCTCTGCCTCCTGCCAGCCACCGTGTTTGTGTACTGGCTGCTGCGGCACAGCCACGGGATGGAGGGCACCCTGGAGCCAGGCATATGGCGGGAAGCCTGGGTGTTGTTGGCAAGCAGTGGGTTGGTATTGCCATGCTGTGTCCTGCAGTTCTATGGGGTACTGTGGCTCTCAGGGGCATTGGGACAGCCGGACATTTTCACCTGGGGCTGGTGGTTTGTGCAGTTCTGGTTCCGGATTGGCGAACTGGCACTCTCCTTTATTTTGGTCTCATTAGCTTGGCAGGCACTTTGCCAGCACCACGACACCACCGAGCATTCTTGCTGGGCCAAGCTCCTGAGCTACTTCTGCGCCTACCGCAAGGCTGAGGTGCCGGAGTACCCCAACAATTGCTACGACTGGCCTGGCGGAGTCCTGGAGAAGATACCCAGTCACAACCTCAATAATAACTTGATTCGGAACTCCCCTACCGGTGGGCTACTCTGGGCTCTCAAGGACAGCAACGACCTGCGAGCAAGACCCAGCCAAGGTGCTAGCCCCTCTCCGAGGCGTGCAGGCTACAGCCCCAAGTGCCCCAATGTGGCTGTGGCAGCAGCGATGGGCCGCTCTTACACCAGCATCTGTTTCGAGCGGGAGTCAGTCCTCTCGTTGGCTGACCTGGAGTTCCGCCCACCCTCGCCCATCAACCTGAGCCGCAGCATCGACGAAGCGCTCTTCCGCGAACACTTGGTGCGCGATTCCATCTTTTTGCGCTCTAGCCTGCGTTTCCCAGCACGCCAGGACTCCTGTGCCTCACTGCGTGGTGACTGCTCCACATTGTCACATGCAGCCCAGCCCCTGCTGGCCCAGCCCCGTCGGAGCAGCGATCCCGATTGCCTGTATAGCTTAGCGCGGACCAGCTCAATGGGAGATCTCGTCGGCCGAGGCCTGGCCAGCGAGCCCGCCACAGACACATCCCTGGGCAGCTTCTCGCGCACCTCCTTCTCCCGGGCATCCCTGAAAATCAGCTGGAACCCCTGGCGCCATGGGGTGTCCTCTCCTGAAAGCTTGCCCTCAGAGGAGCTGCCCAGCCAACAGCTCCAGGCGCAGTCAGAGGATCTCCCGCTGGCGCCATCTACCAGCGCACCAAACTCCGAACGTGAGGCCCGGAAGAGCTTTCTGGCGCTCAGCAAGCAGGTGGATTCCCGCAGCCTCTCAAGTGACACTATTGAATTGTAAGATGGGACGGGAGCTAAAAGCCCGTCCACTATCAGGAATGGGTAGCCTGCTGGGGTGTGGGGCTCAGAGCAATTCCACTTCCTTTTTAAAAGCCGCGGGGCTTTTTGCAGCCCCAACCATTTGTGAAATGGGCCTACAGAGGGTGCCAAGCCTCCCTTGTAGTGCCCACCACATAATAATGAGTAAAAGCACACCCTACGCTTGCCGGCCTCCCAGTTGTAAGAGCTGTACTGTAGCAACAGGCAGATCCCTGGAAACTTTGCAGCATGAATACTGAAGGAAGACCTAGTTGTTTCTGGCATTGAGGCCCGAGAAAGATGCCCTTGGAGAGAAGGCAGAGTGGGGCAAGGAAGCATTCAGCAAGGGGATGGGAGAATGGGGGGGCCTAGGGGAGCTTTGCATGCTGAACATCCCCCTTAAGACACTATTGCATAAACCAGCAATCCTCAATCTCACCAACTTTTAAGCTACAGGTAGCCCTTGACTTAAAGCAGTTCATTTAGTAGCCAAAATTACAGTGGCACTGAAAAAAACGAGTTATGACCATTTTTCACACCACCGTTACAGCATTTCCAGTCATGGGATAAAAATTTGGGTGATTGGCAACTGGTTCATATTTATGACGGTTGCAGTATCCCGGGCTCACGGGATCCCCCTTTTGCGACCTTCTGAAAAGCAAAGTCAATGGGGGAAGCCAGATTCACTTAACAACCACGTTCCTAAGTTAGCAACTGCAGTGATTCATTTAACCACCGTGGGAGGTCAAGAAAGGTCGTAAAATGGGGCAAAACTCACTGAACAAATGTCTTGCTTAATAAACAGCAATTTTGGGCTCAATTGTGGTCATAAGTCAAGAACTACCTGTGTTGATATGCTAGCTGGAGAATTTTGGGAGTTGAAGTCCATGCGTAGAAGATGGTGATAACCCAGTAGCAAGGGTGGGAGGGAATTTGACCCAAGTCCTCGTAGTGCCAATGAAGAGGTGATAATCCTGAGCTCATTCGGCAACGGTCAGATAAGATGTCTTCAGGTAGAGCTCTATAACATGCAATTTGTCTTGTGAATCATAGAACATGCTGAGGTTTCTGGTTCAGTATCTGTAGTTCAAAGGGCGGTGATGAATTCCGCTGCTTCACCTTTTTGTTTGGAAGGCTCCTTTGTTAGTCTCATGATTGGGACAATAAATGTGCACTGCAGATAATCTCTCCTTGGCTCCCAAAACAGGTGCGGCCTTTCCCCATTCGGATGCACGGATGCAGATACAAACGTCTAGATGCATTTTAAAATGCTAGAGGGTCGAACTTTTGATCTTCATCTAAAAAAAGAAGTTTTCAGAGCCTCTTCTGGCAGACTATACTGCCTGTGCATCTTTTAATCGGTCCACAGTCTAACAGATAGTCCTCGATTTACAACCATGTATTTAGTGGCTGTTTGAAGCTACAGCGGCACTGAAAAAAGTGACCTATGACCACTTTTTTCCACACTTAATGACCGTTGCAGCATCCCCATGGCCACGTGATCAAAATTCAGATGCTTGACAACTGGCGTGTATTTATGACGGTTGCATAAGTGTCCCGTGTCATGGGATCACCTTTTGCGACCTTCTGACAAGCAGAAGCCAGGTTCACTTAATATCCGTGCTACTAACTTAACAACTGCAGTGATTCACTTACCGCTTAACAACTGTGGCAAGAAAGGTCGTAAAATGGAGCAAAACTCACTTAACTATTCTGCTTAGCAATGGAAATTTTGGGGGTCAATTGTGGTCGTAAGCCGAGGACTTACCTGTATTCCACTGTTTCATTTATTTTTTAATCCAAATCCAAAATTTGAATTCCTGAAATTCAAACCTTGAGCTGGATCCTGGGGGGATGGAGGAGAACAAGAGTTGTACCCTGGAGTGGAAGCTGTAGAGATAATGTTTCTCCTAATAGCACAACTTGTATTTGCCCAGTATTATCTTATCAGTTGCTGCAGTGGCAGAAGAGAAGATGGTTCAAGCTATCCAGGTCTGAAATTGAACAGAGGCTGCTGAATGTTATGTGGTCTACTTGTGCCAAAACAAAATAAAAACTTTTGCTGGAGGATCATATGTCTTGAAGTCTGCTTACTTCTGCTGCCTGCTGGCTGCCTGCAGTTTGGCAGTTCGATTCCCACCGACTCAGCCTTCCATCCTTCCAAGGTTGGTAAAATGAGGACCCCAGATTGTTGGGGGCAATATGCTGACTGTAAACCACCTAGAAAGGCTGTAAAGCACTGGGAAGTGGTATATAAGTCTAAGTGCTATTGCTATTGCTATTGCTATATTTGATCGTCATTTTAGCCATTGTTTAGCTACTGCAGGATGAAGGCCTCTTCCGCATGTTTCCAACCAATACGGTCCTGAGCTTTCTTTTGCCAATTGGGCCCACAATACTTGCTGATGTCGTCGATCCATCTTGTTTTAGGTCTGTTTTGTGGATGCTTTTTATCAAATAGGATCCATTCTATGACTGCCTTGGTCCACCTGCCATCAGTTCTTCTTGCTATGTGACCAGCCCATTTCCATTTCAGTTATTTTTTACTCTCTTGATGATATCGTATACTTTCGTTTGTTCTCTAGTTCATGTGTAGGTCTTTCTATCTTGTCTTGTAATGCCGAGCATGTATCTTTCCGTGGCTCTTTGCGCCACTCTTAGTTTTTGTATTGATTGTGAGGTTAATGTCCATATTTCAGCGGCATAGATTAGAGCAGGTAGCACACACTGATTGAAAACGTTTCTCTTCAAACATAAGGGGTTGTTCATAATTTTCAAGAACCTCCCCCTATGCCAGAAAATAGATGATTAGATATAGATGATAGATAGATAGATAGATAGATAGATAGATAGATAGATAGATGATAGATAGATAGATGATAGATAGATAGATAGATAGATAGATAGATAGATAGATAGATAGATAGATAGATAGATAGAGAAAGAAAGGGATGGATGGATGGATGGATGACAGTTAGACAGACAGACAGACAGTTGCCTCCTTCCACATAGTATGAATTGATGGCCACTAAAGTGATCATCTGCTTTTGGCTTCTTCCTATATTGTTGCTGCCCAATGTAGGTAGGTACCTGCTTGGTTTAGCTGGGCAGCTGGGATGATCTTCATACTTTTAGTGATCCTGCTGGAAATACATTCTCTGAGCATCTGCTTCCAACAGTTCTCATTTATCCTTTCCAGAAACACACCCCTGCCCTAATGATGTAGCAGGGATTTATTATCTTACAATACTGGTAGTCCTCAGTTTACAACCATTCATTTAGTGACAGTTTGAAATTTCTGAGAAAAGTGACTTATGACCATTTTTCACACTTACGACATTGTACCATCTCCGTGGTCACGGGATCAAAATTTGCACTCTTGGCAATTTATGACGGCTGCAGTGTCTTGGGATCATGTGATCACCTTTGTGACTTCTGATAAGCAAAGTCAATGAGGAAGCCAGATTCACTTAACAATTGTACAACAGTGTGGTACAACTATCTTAACAACCACAGTGATTCACTTAATGATGCAAGAAAGGTGGTAAAATGAAGCAAAACTCACTTAACACTCTCACTTAGCAATGGAAATTGTGGGCTCAATTGTGGTCGTAAGTTGAGGACTACCTGTACGTAAAAACAGTTAAGTGTAAATATGACCTGTGACTTAAGGCTGGAGCTTTATTTCTTCCTTGCTATCTGAAACAAAGAATTGGAAGAAGAGGTATACGGTTTCCTGCCTAAGCAGGGGGTTGGACTAGAAGACCTCCAAGGTTCCTTTCAACTATTCTGTTCTGTTCTGTTCTGTTCTGTTCTGTTCTATTCTATTCTATTCTATTCTATTCTATTCTATTCTATTCTATTCTATTCTATTCTTTCTATTTCTATTTCTATATCTATTTCTATTCTAGATTCTGTCATCCAGGTCATGGTTGTCCCTTTTTTCAAGAGGCAACTGTACTTTCTGGTTTTTCTTTGAAGATGTTTTGCTTCTCATCCAAAGAGCTTCTTCAGCTTTGACTGGATGGTGGGGAATGGAAGGATTATTCTAGATGTGTTTATCTTCCTTTCTGGCAAGAAGAATCCTAGTTTGGAATCTGCTCGGCACTCCTGGAAAGGAACAGCAGAAGATATTTGCCAGTTCACCTTCTTCCAGTCTTCTCCAGTAATTCTTCGACCCCCCCAAGCATTCAAGGATAGCAAAGGAGGGGGAGGTCCAGGATGTGAGTTCTGCTCCATTGAACGCTGACAAAATTGCCCATTAAATTATTTCCATGAAGTCAATTTATCCTTTCCTTCCTTTTGGAAAGATACCCCAAGCAGTAGCACCACCTTATCTAATGTGTCAGAAGGTTGAATCCTGACAACTGGCTTAATCTTTGTTAGCTTGAGAGGATTTGTTGCTCATCCAAGCAGCTTCATCGGTCAGAGTGAGTCAGTTAGGCAGAGAGTCGTTGGACTGTACCAACTCCTGCTGTACCAACCTCAGGGGTTTCCACCTCAAAATGTGTTGCAATATGTCGATGAAGACTCTCAGTCATCCAGCCAAAGGTGTCCGAAGGTTGAATCACGGCAACTGCACTCATTTTTGTTAAGCTCGAGACGTCTCGCTGCTCATCCAAGCAGCTTCATCTGCATTTTGGGGAGGAAACCCCTGAGGATGGTGTGGCAAGAGTTGGTACATTCCAACGACTCTCTGCCTAACTGATTTGCTCTGGATTGAGGAACTTCTTAGATAAGCAGTGAAACCTCTCAGGCTAACAAAAATTAGTCCAGTTGTCACAATTCAACCTTCTGGCACCTTTGCCTGGGTGACTGATAGTCTTCAACGACAGATCTTATCTAATATTGACATCAGGGAGAGCTCTTTCGTCAGCAAAGCCACAGATTCATGTTTTAGTGATGATTGCTAAAGTGCTTGCCTAGCTCTACATAACATAACAGATGAATATCAGTGAATTTGTCTGAAATTCAGGGCCGTGATGGCGAACCTATGGCACGCGTGCCACAAGTGGCACACAGAGCCATATGAGTGGGCATGTGAGCTCAGCTCCGGCGCCTGATTTTTGGGCCTTCTTAGCCCCCTGGAAGTCGGGAAACAGGCTGTTTCCAGCCTCCAGAGGGCCTCTGGGGGTGGGTGGGGAGGGCCCGTTTTTCGCTCTCCCCAAACTCCTAGAAAGCCTCTGGAGCCTGGGGAGGGTGATTTTTTTTTTTAAATTTGATTTATATGCCGCCCTTCTCCGGAGACTCAGGACGGCTTACAATGCGTTAAGCAATAGCCTTCATTCTTTTGTATATTTTTTATACAAAGTCAGTTTATTGCCCCCACAAACTGGGTCCTCATTTCACCTACCTTAGAAAGGATGGAAGGCTGAGTCAACCTTGAGCCTTGGAGAGATTCGAACCAGCAGAAATTGCAGGCAGCTGTGTTAATAACAGGGTGCATTAAACCACTGTACTATCAAGGCTCTTGGTAAAAAATGGGCCTACCATGCCATCACATGCCAAAAGTGGGGGGAGTATGCGCGCATGTGCAGGGGGGCAAGGTGCATAGAATTACGGGTGTGGGCATGCGCGTGCGTGACCCTCCACACTCCCTCCACTTTTGGCACGTGATGGCAAAAAGGTTAGCCATCACTGGTATAGGGTTTCCTGCCTGAGCAGGGGGTTGGACTAGAAGACCTCCAAAGTCTCTTCCAACTCTGTTATTCTATTTGTCTGAATATCTATGACCCCATTTTTGTCTAAGACAGTCAATGCATCTATCGAGCACAGCATTAATTCTGTATTGATGGAGGCTCGATCTCTATAATCTTGCTATAAGAGACGTGTTAGTTTCAGATGTTGAATCCAAGGCTTTTGAATTACATCAACAAATAACTCTGATCACGAGAACCTTTTCAGATGCCTCCTACAAATTTTCTGGCATGGAAGCCATTTCAGCAGCAGAATCGTTTGTGGTGGAATGACCCTGTGTACAAACTCAAGGACAATTATCTCCTTTTTCATAAAAGTGTTTGCTAAAAAGCCAAGATGAACTTAGAAGTTCTATGCCCAGATTAATTCTTTCTTGCATCCTTACTCGAGTGTAATAAAATGTGTAGATAAAAGAAATTACAAATTTGTAACAATTATACATCAATGCAGTGTGTCAGGATGGAATTTTTATTTCTTTATTTTAAAGTACACTGTACTCTGTTCTACATGAAAGCTAGCACAAGCTTCCCTAGTTTAATCTACTACTGCTGCTGCTGCTGCTGCTGCTGCTGCTACTACTACTACTACTACTACTACTACTACTAATAATAATAATAATAATAATAATAATAAGTAATGATAATGGCAAAAATGAGGGTGGGCAAAGAATCAGCTGTATTAGGGGACTGGAGACTAAAACAAATGAAGAATTGCAGGAATTAGGTATGCTTTGTTTAATGAAAAGAAGCACTCGGGTGACAAGATAGCAGCCTTCCAATATCTCAAGGGTTGCCACAAAGAAGAGGGAGTCAAGCTATTCTCCAAAGCACCTGAGGGCAGGACAAGAAGCAAAGGGTGGAAATTAATCAAGAAGAGAAGCAACTTAGAACTAAGGAGCAATTTCCTGACAGAACAAATAATCAGTGGAACGACTTGCCTCCAGACGTTTTGGTTACTCCAACACTGGAGGTTTTAAAGAAGAGATTGGACAACCATTTGCCTGAAATGGTATAGGGTTTCCTACCAGAGCAGGCGGCTGGACTAGGCTATCTCCAAGGTGCCTTCCAACTCTGTTATTCTGAAGTGACACATTTAACGTTTGCACTGCTGCATTTTAAGAGAAGCTTTGCACAATCTAGTTTCCTTACTAAAAGAATTACATCTGATTTGCAATTCAAAGATAATTATCAAGGATCAAGATGCATAATCAGCCAAAAATATCAGGAACATCAAGTCTCTGGAGTTCTTATGAAGTGGATTGGGAGGGGAGGGAAATTGCTAGAAACACAACTGTGCAATTAGATCATAATTTAAAAAAAAACAACAAAAAATCCTACAAGATTCTCAAGTGATTATGCATCCATTTACATATAAAAGACTTTCAATGAAACAATTTGATTAGGATTTTTAATAATTCTCCTAGCAACCTTAAGATCTGAACAGTTGCATTGAATTTATAAATATGAATTTTCTACCATGTAAACATTTATATATCTTCCCAGGAGATTATGTATATGGAATCAAAGTAAAATATCTATTTCCTATTAATAGTTGTAGTCCAATATTGTCTGACAAATGAGCCTTTGATTGCAGTTCTTTCTCTCTCTCATGTCTGTCAATCATCTATCAGTCATCTGTATTTATCATCTATCCTTTCTTATCATCTCTCCAGCTATTATCTATCATCTATTACATCATCTATCTGTCAAGTCATGTAATAATGTCATGTCATGTCTGCATGCCTATCATCCATCCATCCATCCATCCATCCACTCTGCTGCAAAGTGAACTTGGAAACTTAGCATGAACAAGACAGAGTTGTTACTGATTTCAGAGGCTAGACTTCTGGAGAGTGCTGCACACTTCTTCAGGTTTGCATTTTAAGGGAGTTCCTGGATCAAGCATTGATACTGAACAGCCAGATAAATATTATTGGCAAACTGAAAGAGACCCAGCTTGGGTCACCTACAGTCAAGAAAGTATACCCTCTTGAGTTCTATGGTTTTACATTTTACATATTGCTGATTCTTAACAACAGTTTAAATATTTGTTCTAAAATAACATTCTATGGTTTGCTTTACCTGTGGTTTAGCCATTTTCCTTTTATTGCTATAAGCTATTCAGAGTTAATAAGGAAATGAGTGACCTACAAGCACAAGCAAGCAAACAAGTTAATCTTAGGAGAGGATTGAAGCTAGTTGAAATTCCACTCATTCCTATCTGATGGTCCAAGGACCAAACTTTTATGCATAAAAGACCCATAAAAAAATTGAATAAGGCAAATGCGGTTGTGGAAAAGAGAGAGAGAGAGAGGGGGGGGGGAGGGGGGAACATTTTCAGTGATTTCATGTCAAAAGTCTTTTGACGTGAAGGCTGAAGTGAAATTGCAAGTTTCGAACTTTGTACAAGTCTGGTAGAACAGAAATCTCTGGCACGTGAAAGAGAGAGGGTGCAACAGTAAGAACTGGGTGGATTTAGACACATTTATTTTTCCTGAGATACAGAATTGCAAAGCAAAAAAAGTGGACATGCAGGCCTCTTTTAATTTCCTTTGCCTTCCGAGCTGCCCCAGCAGCGTAAGAGCAAGTCCGTATACGTTATATAGATGAGAATTGTTTTTGAAAAGTATCACTTCTGACCACACAAATAAATGTATATATTATTATTTATTAAATTATTTATTTATTATTTATTAAATTTATATTATGCTCTCTCTCTTATGATACTGATTGATTCAATACAAGGGTGATTTTGAGGTCAGGGATCAACCCAAACACTGAATCCTACCCGAAGCAGAACCCTCTAAAAATGTATTGCCACCATTTCTCACTTCCTTCAATGCGATGTGTAGGCCAACTCTTGGCCAAAGGACAAATTCCCAACGAGCCAGCAGGGAACCACCCCATATCAGCACAGGCCCAAAGAGCGCAGCTTTTTTTCCAGTTACCTTTGGAAGCCCCAAGTGGGAGAGATCATAGCTTATTGGGATGAACTCTTCCAGGATCATCCAACATGCATGGAGAGCGGGTGAGCTGGACAATAATAGGGGTGGTTTCATCTGAACCTTAAACTTCCTGAGGTGTAATTCAGTCCCTTCTAATACCTGTCAGGACCGCTCAGTGAATAGGCCTGCAGAGCACATACGATTTCCTGGCTCCTATTTGTCCCTCCAGCATATCTTCAGAAAGTCAAGGCTTCCTTTAGCCCAGATGGGGATGCAGGTTGTGTTTTCCACCTCTAGGCTTCAAACCTGCTAAGGTAAGGGGAAAGGGGTAGGGGTCGAGGTATTCCTGACCCCCACCCCCAAGCTGGCTCTCTGAGGCAGGAAGCAGAAGGGAGTGATCCCTGCCTAAGTCCTATCTCCCTTTCATGAAGCCATCGAGAACGCGGTCACTACGCTCTGACATCCAGTAGCCGGCCATCGCAGCCACCGCGCCTATGAAAATGGCAGTGAAGACCATGTCTCCTTTGGCAGCCAAGGTGGCCAGCGCGCAGATGATAGCCCCGAAGAACATCTGCTGCAGCACAACCACTTCGTCATCTGTAATGTCGTCAAAGAATCCTTTCTCAGGAGCATCTGCAAGACAACAAAGAGGCCATCGGCAATGGCAAAGGGCAGTCAGTTTTTAACCTCTGGAGCAGTTTGACTGTCTAGGACAGAGGTCTTCAAACTTGGCAGCTTTAAGACTTGTGGACTTCAACTCCCAGAATTCTCCAGCCAGCATTCTGGAAGTTGAAGTCCACAAGTCTTAAAAGCTGCCAAGTTTGGGAACCCCTGGTCTAGGAGGTCAGTGTTTCTCAACCTCGCCAAGGCTGTCTAGGGAATTCTGGGAGTTGAAGTCCACACATCTGAAACTTGCCAAGGTTGAGAAATTGTGCTCTAGGTTCACCCTTCCCCTGCCCGGTGTGTAAAAACTGGGTCTTGGCTTGATTCACAAATATATTTAAACAGTAAAGAAAACAATGATTTTGCAATTCATTTACTCCAAAACAAATCGAAATTTGTGTCTGATTTGGAATATCACTCCGATTGGGATGATTGTGTTTAACTCAATTATAGACTCTTAACTATTCCTAAAAGAGCCGGTTTGTGAGGAAACGTCTGCAGAATGAAGGGAGCCAGAGAATAACAAAGAAGGTGGATCCCAAAGCTGATCCTAGACAGAATTATGGCTACCCCATAGAAAGAACCTGTGAGCTGTCAAGGATGTCGGACTGGTCTAGTGGTTAAGGCACCTGGCTAGAAACCGGAAGACTGTGAGTTCTAGTCCCGCCTTAGGCATGAAAGCCAGCTGGGTGACTTTGTGCCAATCCCCAGGAGACTGTGAGTTCTAGTCCCGCCTTAGGCATGAAAGCCAGCTGGGTGACTTTGTGCCAATCTCCAGGAGACTGTGAGTTCTAGTCCCGCTTTAGGCATGAAAGCCAGCTGGGTGACTTTGTGCCAGTCCCTCTCTCTCAGCCCAACCTGCCTCACTGGCTTGTTGTGGGGAAAACAGCAGGAAGAAGGAGTATTTTATATATATATATATATATATGTCACCTTATTTGTAAAAAATAATAAAGGCGGGATATAAAATGCACCTGCTGACTTTTACCTGGGGGCTTATCTTCCACACAGATCCCCTCTTTGCGTAGATGTCCCTCAGCGCAAACACAGCGATAGCTACCCTCTGTGTTCTCACAAACCTCGTTGGCTTCCGTACACACCGGCTCCTCCATTACACCCGCACATTCGTTCACATCTGACGAGGAAGGGGAGCGTTAAGTTCAAAGAAACATAAACAACATTGGCTAAAAACTCGTCCATTTCGTATCTCCCATTTTCATCCCCAAATGCAACAGCCACGCTTTCCCAGCTCTCTGCTGTGTCATCTGCTCAACTGCTGCGCCTCACCCACCATATCTAAGCCAGTAAATCCTTACTTTTCCAGACCTTGATTCAGCAGATTTCAAGCCTCAAGGACAAATCTAAATTCGGGCTTTGCTCCAAACGAGGGAAAAAGTCCGTTGCCCAGCAAATCAATCCAGATAATGTTTGCATATTTTATATGCATTAGGCTACATCTTACACGCACTTGGCTCTCAAGCCTCTCCTTCCATTAGTTTGTTGCATTTTGAATTTACTATTGGAGAAAAGATGCAGTGTTTCTGAGGGCTGAAAAGCCATGACAATTTACGGGTAGTCCTGGACTTATGATCACACTTGAGCCCAACATTTCTGCTGCTAAGTGAGACATTTGTTAAGTGAACTTGGCCCCATTTTAGAAACTTCCTTAACACAGTTGTTAAGTGGATGGTTGCAGTTGTTCAGTTAGTAACAAGGTTGTTAAGTGAACCTGGCTTCCCCATTGGCTTTGCTTGACAGAAAGTCGTAAAAGGTGATCACATGACTGCAACCGTCATAAATGTGAATCAGTTGCCCTGCAGCCAAATTTCGATCACATGACCATGAGAATGCTGCAACCGTTGTAAGTGTGGATAGTGGGCATAAGTCACTTTTTTCAGTGCCATTGTAACTTTGAATGGTCACTAAACGAACTGTTGTAAGTCAAGGACTACCCTTAACAGATAGCCAACTATGATCCACCTCTTTATTTAACTCTATGTATTTGAAAGGCTGAGTGCCAAAGAATTGAAACCTTTGAACTATGGTGCTGGAGAAGACTCCTGCGAGTCCCTTGGACTGCAAGGCAATCAAACTGGTCAGTCCTAGAGGAGATCAACCCTGACTGCTCTTTAGAAGGCCAGATCCTGAAGATGAAACTCAAATACTTTGGCCACCTAATGAGAAGGAAGGACTCACTGGAGAAGAGCCTAATGCTGGGAACGATTGAGGGCTAAAGAAGAAGGGGACAGCAGAGAATGAGGTGGCTGGATGGAGTCACTGAAGCAGTCGGCATGAGCTTAAATGGACTCCAGAGGATGGTAGAGGACAGGAAGTTGGCAAACTGGTTGTTGGAAGTAATCATTAGGGCAGAGAACCAGTTGTTAAATTGCTTGAATCCCATCACTGGTTGGGGGCCAATTTAGAGTCTTTTCGGGGATAGAGCCAACCACCCCAGCAACATCTGGAGTCCAAGGAAAACAGATTGCAACAATTCAGTAGCTCCCCAAGTTAAAATTGAAGGAGTCTCTGCTACTTTAACAGGCTTACTGACAGGACGAAAGCACTGTAGCGTTAGAGAACTCTTCTAGGCTGCCCAGAAGATTGGCTGCCTCCCAGTTATGCAGGAATAGGAACTTCCAGCCAAGGAACTGCCAGCCAAGGCAACAGTAAACAGCCCAACAAAAGAAACTCTAAAACCACCCCCACCAACACTGACAGGGCAAGCCACTAGAATATAAATTGAGAGCAAACATCCCCTCCCCCCCCCAGCACTGATGATGTTACCTAGTTTGGATAATGAAACTGGGCAGGAGCTGTGGTGGCACAATGGTTAAAAATGCTGTATTGTAGATTGACTCTGCCCACTGCCAGGAATTCGATCCTCACCGGCTCAAGGTGGTCTCAGCCTTCCATCCTTCCGAGCTTGGTAAAATGAGGATTCAGATTGTTGGGGGGCATAGGCTGGCTCTGTAACCTGCTTGGAGAGGGCCGTAAAGCAGGGGTCCCCAACCTCTGGGCCCACTACCAGGCCTTGAGCTATTCGGAACCAGGCCATGGAAATGGCGGGTGAACACGTGCGTGCGTGTGCATCCCCACTTGCAGGAGCAGTGGGCAAGCCTGTGCATGCATGTTCCAATTGTGTGAACATGCTCCATTTGTGCCTGCCGCTTGTGCAAATGGAGCTGCGCACGCATGCGCTTGCCCACCACTCGTGCAGAACCATCCCTCTCCCACCCCCACTGCTGGTCCACAAAGCCTGAAACATTGGGGAAACCCTGCTGTAAAGTACCATGAAGCGGTATATAAGTCTAAGTGCTATTGCTACTGCTCAGGAAACATTTGCATGAAAGCAAGCAAACTCAAGAGAGCGCCAAGGACTCCACATAGGAACACTCGCATAGGTGACGGTTGAACTTACCAAGGCATTTGACACCATCTCGCTGGTAGCCCTTGTTGCATTTCTTGCAGCGGGAAGGCCCAGCACCCATGCAGCCAATACAAGCCTTGGCACAGTCTAAAGAGAAAGTAGAGGGTGAAATGAAGAGATGGGCATAGGCATTGACCCCCTAGGGCAGTGATGGCTAACCTTTTTGCCATCATGTGCCAAAAGCAGGGGGGGTTGCGGGGGGGTCACGCACGAGCGTGCCCACACCCATAATTATATACACCACGCCCCTTGTGCATGCGCGCATGACCCCCCCCCCACGCTTCCCACGCTTTTGGCACGCGATGGCATGGTAGGCCCAGAAGTTGGCAAAGGGGCCGTTTCCAGCCTTCGGAGGGCCTCCGGGAGGGATGGGGAAGGCCGTTTTCGCCCTCCTCAGGCTCCTAGAGAGGCTCTGGAGCCTGAGGAAAGCAAAAAACGGGACTTCCGGTCCCACCAGAAGTTGGCAAACAGGCTGTTCCGGAGGGCCTCCTGGGGGCTGGGGAAGGCCGCTTTCGCCCTCCCCAGGCTCCTAGAGAGGCTCTGGAGCCTAGGGAGAGCAAAAAATGGGCCTCCCTCCCCCACACCCTCTGGAGGCAGGAAACAGCCTGTTTCCCTATTTCTAGTGGGCCCAGAAGGCCCGAAAATTAGCTGGCCAGAGCGTGCATGCACGCCGGAGCTGAGCTCACGTGCCCACCGATATGGTTCCGTGTGCCACCTGTGGCATGCGTGCCATAGATTTGCCATCACGGCCCTAGGGATAAGTCAGCCCCTGGGTAGCTGGCTGAATGAAAAGGTAAGGGAAAAATATTAGAACATTATTTGTGTATAAACCATAGCTAGTTTGGTGTAGCAGTTAAGGTATCAGGTTAGATACCAGGAGATTGTGAATTCTATCCCTTCCTTGGGGCAAAGCCAGCTGGGTGATCTCGGGCCAGTCCTTCTCTCCCAGCCCTAGGAAGGAGAAAGAGGCAAAGGCAAATCCCTTCCAAAAAACCTTGCCAAGAAAACCACAGGGATTGGTCCAAGAAATTGCCAGCAATCAGAAAGTGCCTTGGTAGTACAGTGGTCTAAAGCACCCTGTTATTAAGACCAGCTGCCTGCAATTACTGCAGGTTCGAATCTTGCCAGGCTCAAGGTTGACTCAGCCTTCCATCCTTTCTAAGGTAGGTAAATTGAGGACCCAGTTTGTGGGGGCAATAAGCTGACTTTGTATAAATATACAAAAGGATGAAGGCTATTGCTTAGCGCATTGTAAGCTGCCCTGAGTCTCCGGAGAAGGGCAGCATATAAATTAAATTTTTTTTTAAAAAAGCACACATACACACACACAAATAAATGCAGTAAGCCTAGCATGAAGCATCAAACCATTTGCTGCTTCCTGCTTACGATTGAAACATAGAGGGGCTCTCATAGGAGTAAACCTACCCACCTGCCTAAATATATATAAGAATGTCTATCTAAGGGAGATGGAAAAAAAATAATGTTCTCAGCTGATAGACTATGCCATTTTTGCTTCCCTGAAGAACTTCAGCAACGGGATCTATAGTGGGATTCATTCCCCAAAGCAAGAGAAACGAGGGTTGATATGCTCATAGCATGACTTCCCACATCTGCTGAAGACCTGTTTCCCCAGCAGAAGCAGATCTGCTTCTTGGATCCTGTGGGTTCCAAGCGGGACCCACAGGGGTGCAAAGCGACAGATGGCTCATTTTGGAAGCTTTAATCTCTTACCTCGGCATTCGTAGGAGCCTTCTGTATTGACACAAAACTGATTGTTGCGACAGTGTGCCATATCAGTGCCACATTCATCTATGTCTGTAAGAGAGATGGAGAGATCAAGATACTGTAGGGGCAGCCGGATATTTTGTCTCCCTCTTTCCTCCCCTCTCTCAATTCTCATGAAGGAATCTTAGTTCATCCTTAGATTGAGCTTCTGTGTTGCGGCTGTTGCTCTTGCTATTATTTATTACATTTATTATGGCCACCCATTCTAAAAGACTCTAGGTGGCTTATAACATCCCAATATACAACTGAAACAGTTAAAAACAGGATACAGCAGGGGTGAAATGCTCCTGGTTCGGACTGGCTTGGGCGAGTAGGTAGCAATGGCGGCAGGCAGTTCGGAGAACCGGTAGCAAAAATCCCTGCCCCCGCCCCCCCATGCCCAGCTGAGACGTGTAATCATCAGAGCCTTTTTTTTTCTTTTAAATGGCTCTGATGATCCAAGCTCTGACGATCCCAGCTGAGTTGCCTGCTAACCGCTAGCAAAAATCCCTCCCCCCCCCCAGCCTCCAGCTTGCTTACCTTAGCTGCTGGTCTCAACGCCTGCCTTACTTCGCTTGCTGTAATACCTGCCATCCATTGCATCAGCAAGCAACTGAATCTCCCTGCCTGCAATCAAGCTCATCGGTGAGCAGCTCTATCTGCCTGCCTTGTACCTTCTACTGCAGGGGTCTCCAACCTTGGCAACTTTAAGACTTGTGGACTTCAACTCCCAGCAAAGCTGGCTGAGGAATTCTGGGAGTTGAAGTCCACAAGTCTTAAAGTTGCCAAGGTTGGAGACCCCTGTTCTATTGGGTAAGTTTTTTTCCCCTTTGGGAGCTTTAAAAAAAATAGTTAATTGGGGTTTTTTTTAGTTGTTCTTTTTTAAGACCTAGCCATTTAAAGTTTAGGAAGTTTTAAATTTAGCTGCTTTTATATAAAAAATAAAAATAAAATAAAATAAAATAATATTTGTGCAGCTTTATGAGATTTAGTGTGTTTCTGTAGTGTTTCACTCTAACTACACAAACACACAAAATCTCACAAAGCTGTATGTGGAATTTTGTGTGTGTAAAGTGTGAAAGTTGGGTTTTGGGGCTTTTTGTGGCTGTGTGAGGTTCCTGCTTGTTGCAGGGGCCATTTTGGATCTAGCACAGCTGCTTTTACATTGTGGGTGAGCCAGTTGTGTTGTGTTGTGTTTTGTAGGTTAAAAAAAGGCAAAGAAGTGACATTGACTTGGCTACGCCCACCCAGTCACCTTACCACCAAGCTCCGCCCACTAATTAAGCCACGCCCACAGAACCAGTAGCAAAAAATTTTAGATTTCACCCCTGGGATACAGGTAACCCTCAACTTAGAACCATTCGTTTAGTGAATGTTCAAAGTCACAATGGCACTGAAAGAAGTGACTTAAGATAATTTTTCGTACTTATAACCGTAGCAGCATCCCCATGGTCATGTGATCAAACTTCGGATGCTTGGTTCATATTTATGATTGTTACAAATTCCCAGGGTCATGTGATTCCCTTTTGCGACCTTCTGACAAGCAAAGTCAATGGGAAAGCCAGATTCATTTAACAATTGTGTCAGGGTTCCAAGTAACACCCCCAACAGAATCAAAACTCTGAGGCAGGCATATTCCTCAAAGTATAAATTTATTAGGGGTGTCATATTGGCACATCTGGGGAAAACCCAATTCTGAAAGCTTGTTCTAGTCCGCTGGCGGCCTGCAGAGCTGGCAGCAGAGTCGGACAGTGAGGAGGTTGGGGAAGAACGTGGGCCAGTCCTGGAGTCTGGGGAAGGCTCGGACGAGGGCTCTGCATCAGAGACAGAGAAAGGGCCATCTGGGAGGTATGTGCTGCCTCCAGAGCCTCCAGAGTCGGACTTTAGCGAGGCAGAGGAACAGGGGGAGCCTATTCCCAGTGCGCGCATGCGCAGAGCTGCCAGAAGGCATGAACAGTTAAAACAAAAGGGACGACTTGGGAGTAGGGCTTGGAGATGATTGGCCCCTCCCATAAGACTTAAAAGAGGAACAAAGGCACGTGGGTCTTTGCAGGAAGCAACATCGTTAATTCTGTTCAATTTAAAGTCTGAAGCTCTGTTTGATTCTGGATTCCGTGTGGCTTTGCCAATTAGGTCAAGGGAGATAAAGGTGGGTGATTATCAGCCTTATCCCAAAGGACTCTTTGCAACTATTTGGGACTCGTCTGTGAATGAACAGAATTCACAGCTGTTGCAATAAAAGAGGTTTTTGGGATTACTCGTGTGTTTTACTGACTCAGGAAGCCTAGGTCAGAACAAAGCCCCGCGTTTCCCCCACCCAAATTAAAGTCAAAGTTCTTTCCCCCCCCAATCCACATGTCCGTCACATGGTCCAATCTGGTCACTGTCCCAACTCCAGTTGGTCTCCGTCCACGCCTCCCCAGCACCTGGCGAGACGTCCTTGGTTCCCAGGGGAAAGAATTTTATTATGGTTACAAAACCCTTGTTATTTCTACCTCCCCCCTCGTGTTCCCACAGCTCGTCCAGCCACCGCTGTGGCAGCCCTGAAGACGCCAAGGAAAACTGGCTCTAGGGCTGACACACTGCAGTGATTCACTTAATAACTGTGGCAAGAAAGGTCATAAAATGGAACAAAACTCATTTGACAACTGTCTTGGCTTAATAACAAATGTTGGGCTCAATTGTGGTCCCAGGTTGTGGACTACCTATCTTCATGATTATTTACTGAATGCATTATAGGTAGCCCTTGACTTCGGATCTTAACGGAGCCTGCCAATTATTCTCGTAAGTCATGACACTCATCAAGTGACCGATTCAATTTTGTGACCATTTTTTTTTTTTTGCAGCACTCATTAAGCAAATGGGACTTTTGTTAAGTGAACCTTTTGTTCCCTATGGAACATTTTCAGCAAAAATGTCATAAATCGTGGTCACAGGACTGCCGAACACTGCAAACAGCCATCAATGCTGGCCAGTTGCCAAGTGCCCAAAATTCAGTCATGTGTCTGCGGGTGGAGGAACTGGCTTGTAAACACCTTTTAGAGGGTGTGTTGTAATTTTGAACAGTCACTTATGACATCACTGGTCATAAATCAAGGACTACCTGTACCCTGTCCAAAAGAATCAGGTCTTTGAAGGAATTCTGCCTTTTCAAACATCACCAAGCCAACTCCAGACAATATCAGGGCCACAGGCTCACCAATGCATCGTTGGTTGTGCAGCATCCAGCCTCTCTTGCAGCGCAGACAGCTGGTATCCTCGGGGCCTGAACAGCGCCCACAGGCCCGGTAGCACTCTGGGTGGGTGAGAGAATTGGGTGAAAAGGAACAGTTTACAAGTGAGGTGAGGTGGAAGTTTGAGAAGAAAAAGCAATACAGGGCCGAATACAATACAACTGTCCCCAGTTGTATGCCTTCCAGCCAACCTGCCACATAAACTAAAGTTTGTTTTTTTTTAACTTTGCTTTCAGATGGGTAGACTGCAAATCTGTTGTGTTGAGCTTTATTTATAGAGGAGGGGTGTCAAACTCAAGGCCCAGGGGCCGGATCTGGCCCGGGGGTGGTGGTACTTAGATCTGGCCCGTGGGGCCGCCCTGGAAACAGCGAAGGACCAGCCCACAGTGCTTCTGCCAGCGAAAACGGGCTCCCGAGCTCTGTTTTCAGTTGCTACGGCCTCCTGCAACCCTCTGGCAGTGAAAATGGAGCTTGGGAGTTTTCATTGGCAGAGGGTTGCAGGAGGCCGTGGCAACCAAAAAACGGAGCTCGGGAGCCCATTTTCGCTGGCACTCGGGCCACCACAGGTGCCCCCGAGGTCAAACACAACCCTGATGCAGCCCTCAATGAAATCGAGTTTGACACTCCTGTTATTGACAGATAATACGAAGTATGTGTGTGGGGCATACTCTTTTCACACATAAATGCTGTTACGGTGCTATAAACGTAACTGTAAATATAGTATTGGAATACAGAATAACAGAGTGCCTAAAAGGCTGGGGGCCGCTGGTCTACAGAAAACCACCATCTACAGTAGTATTAGCCTACAAGAGGCTTTATTGATTCCTGGCAACTGCCAGGACTACAGCCTTAACTTTTCTTGGCCAGATTTCAGAAGTGATTTGCCGTTGCTTCCTTCCTAGGGCTCAGAAAAATGACTAGACCAAGGATACCCAGCTGGCTTTGTGCCTAAGGCAGGACTAGAATTCACCATCTCCTGGTTTCTAGTCTGATGCCTTCTCCACTAACTCCCAATTGGCTCTGTAGGAAGTTAGCACCCACCCCTTTCCTGGAAGAATGAAATATTTTAGGAAATATTAAAAAGGCAGAATATTATATTTCCCTGGATGAGAAATGGAGAAACATATTTTAAAGACAAAGCAGCTTCCTGCCTCCCCCCCTCCACACCTTTGTTAATGGGCCAGAAGCAGAAACTCAATCTTTGTCAATGGACCATCATCTGCAACACAATAGCAATTGAAACTAACACAATGGGACCCATCTAGGACAGAAACTCACCACATGGCACCTGGGAAGATTACATCAGCCAGCAAGGCTAGCTAAGACCCCCACCGCCTGGGAGTCTGACAACCAATCAGGATACTCTTTCTGGGCCCCAGGAAGTTCAAAGCCAGAGAAAGCATAAAACCCGGGGACTCGCTATATCTCGTCCCTTTTTCCTGTTCAGGAACTCAAACCATGTGATCCTGTCCACCATTAAACCATCTTTCCAAGCAGTCTCCATGTTTCCAGTGTCTTTTTCCCCACTTGGAGCTGAACCCAGAAGGATATTTCTTCCTTCAGCTCATAGCAAGAGATTACAGAAGGACAATTCCCCGACCTTCCCCAGCCCAGCAAAAACACTCTACATACCCGCACATACCAGGTGGCTGTCATTGCGAGCAGCTTCATAGTAGCCATCTCCACACTCTGAACAAAAGGGACCACCGTAGCCAGTGTGACACATGCAAAGACCAGTGCCCCCACGTGTGCCTTCACCATCACATTGCCCGTATCCGCTGCAAGGCTTCTCGGTACCTCCAGGGCAGGCTGCAGAGAGATGGACATCAGATGTGGAAACCAACATGCCACTTGGCTCTACCCTGCAGTGCTCAGATTTCTTAACTCACTTCGTCTCTTCTTCCCATTCCAGATACCTACGTTTTGCAATCTTAAGGATTTTCTTTACTTTTAAACACTTCAGTCTTGGAAAGAAAGGGATTGCAAGAGAGTAAGCAGGCACCCAATGAGGAATACCCAGGCTGTCTATGGAAGCACATTCATGACTGCCATCTGTATCGCTTTCAATGTGTATTCCTCATTGTTGTGGCTGCTTATTCTCTTGTAATCCCTTCCTATCCAATTAATGTAAATGCAAATATTAATTCCCTTCTTTAGTGCAGGGATAATTACTGTATTTTTCGGAGTATAAGACGCACCTTTTTCCTCCCTAAAAGAGACTGAAAATTTGGGTGCGTCTTATACTCCGAATGTAGCTTTTTCAAAGCTTTTTTTCAGCCCTAACGAGGTGCTAGCGAGTGAAGCCATCTTCCCAGCTTTGCCTGCTCCCTCGACTCTCCGCTATGCTTCAACAAGGCGCTACCGAGTGCTGCTGTGCTTTAATGAGGCACTAGTGAGTGAAGCAATCTCCATGCTTTGCTTTGCTCTGACTCTCAGCTGTTCTTTAGAAGCTTTTTTTCAGCCCTAACTAGATGCTAGCTGAGTGAATCGATCTCCCTGTGCTTTGCCTGCTTTTCTCATTGCTGCTTCCTCTCAGCTGTGCCTTAGAAGCTGTTTTTTATCCCCAAGCAGGGGATAAAAAACCAGCAAACTAATGTGCTAAAGCTGACCAGACTAAGGACGCTAGCCAGATGAATACCTGATAGGCAGATTCCCCCCCCCATTTTCCTCCCCAAAAACTAAGCTGCATCTTATACTCTGGTGCGTCTTATACTCCGAAAAATATGATAAGCCAAACAGTGGAAGAATGGGGAAAAAGAAAGCAGTTGCAGCCATGTGATTTTCCACTTTAGCAACCGCTTCACTTAATGTCAGATGTGCTGCTCAGTTGCGGTTGCTAAATGAGGACTATCTGTATTAAAAAAAACAAGCCATCTCAGATGTTTATTAGACTTCCATGATCCTTTCCCCCATCTGCTGCCTTCTAGAAATGTTGGAACTCGCCTCATCTCCAGCCAGGTAGCCAAGAGAAATGCTGCCAAGCTATAGAATCAGCGGAAGGCCTTTGAAAATATATGCTCCTAAGCAATTAAATCAGGGAGAATAACTGGAATCTTTGCTCCAGCCAAGTTCTGGAGGATCCACATATGAGATGCACAAAGACTGTTGGAACAATCCCCTCCAGGAAACCCCATAGGTCTTAGAAATACTCACTCTGGCAATCAGGGCCATAGGTGCCAGATGGACAGCATAACTTCAGGGTATCCATGCACAACCATTGGAAAAGGTCTGGGTGCGGCTGCTGCCTAAGGGGAAAAAAACCATATCTTCTGGTTATTGCTGCTCCTCATTCCACCATGCTGCAATTTATCAATGATACAAGCTCTGCCCAACTCCCAAGAATGAAACAGCCATAGAGTATTTGGGCCAGAGAGGGACACAGATACAAAGTGAGATCATTGGTCCACATAACACAAGGCTGTCTACGCACTGACTAGTGGTGGTATTTGCGGTTTCCCAGCCTACCTGGGAATTGAACTAGGGAATTGAGCAGGTAAAGCAGGTATTTTTTCTCTGAATTTTTTTTTTTTTAAATTTACCATATTTTTCAGAGTATAAGACGCTCCGGACTATAAGATGCACCTACCTTTTTTGATGAGGAAAACAAGAAAAAGAAATCTGCCTCTGCCTCCCAGCTATTTTGCCTCGTTGCAGCAAACAGCAAACAGCCTGCTTTACTTTCCTTTTCCTTTTCAGCATAGCTTGATTAGCACAAGAAAAAAAAATCTGCTCCCAGCAATTTACCTCCTTGCAGCAAGCAGCAGAGGCCCACGCAGCAATAGGCAATGGCAATCCCTGCAGCCTGAAACAGCTGAGAGTCAGGAGGCCGATCCACCCGACAATCAACTTGTGCTAATTAGGTTGTGCTGAAGCTAAAACGGGATGTTTCTTCTTGCTGCTTGCTGCAAAGAGGTAAATTGCTGGGAGGCAGAGGCCAAAGGGTGGGGGCCAGTGGGTGGGCGGGGCTACATTCGGTGTATAAAACACATCCAAATTTTCACCCCCTTTTAGGGGGGAGGAAGTGCGTCTTATACTCTGAAAAATACGGTAACTTTGCCTACTGAATGATACAGTTCATTGAAGTTCCTCGGTTCAACTCCATAGCTTGAGTTTTCCTCCTGCTAACATAGGGAATACTGGTATGATCTGTAGTAAATAGGGCCCCAGATTGGGCTTGTTCCACACCAAGTAAGTTAAAGCATCCTGTGATGCCCTAGTCTTCTTGTTTTTAACTCACTCATGGAACCACCAATGCTCTACGTGGTCTTCGCTTTGCTCCAGCAGCTGGTGGCAGGCAAAATCTGACGTAGAACACACACTTTCCAATACTTCCAACAGACGTGTTTCACTGGGAGGGGGAGAAAGAGACAGCATGAGAATTGAGGGAGTTGGAGAAGTCGAGGCAGAGTTCTGTCCTAGAAAGTCTGCCCTGCCAGCTTGATCAAAATAGCCCTCTGTTATCTCTCTAAGCCAGTGTTATTCAACTTTGGCAGCCAGAAGATAGGTGGACTTTAAATCCAAGAATTCCCCAGTCAGGAAAGCTGACTAGGGAATTCTGGGAGTTGAAGTCCATCCATCTTCAAGCTGCCAATTTTGAATAACACTGCTCTAAGGTATCTTTTGTCCAACTAACCATTCAGAAATCTCTCTCTTGACCTTTCACACAGGAACCTTAAATAAACTTCATATTCTTTCTCAAAATTTCATCCAGATATTCTTTCGGCAAGCAGCTAGTCCCTAATGCTTTCCTTCCTCCCCAGAGTCAAGTTAGGAGCTGGCAAAATGATAGGCAAGTGACTCTGGGGAGAACAGTGAACAACAGCTGTGAAACCATGGAACAAACATGAAAGGTGTTTGTCACACTGGCGACCATTTCCTTAACCAATTAACTGTTGCAGCAATCAGCTTCACACTGCAGACCTACTGTATGAAGAAAAAAAAAAGGATAAAAGGATGTAATGTATCTTTATTAGTTGTTTCTTTTTAAATGTAAGCTTTCAAGTTCACCAAAACTCACACAACGGGTAATTAAAATGGAGAAAAGGATAACAAACTTGGTCTATCCATAGAGGAGGCATGGGGAATGTCACAGTAAAAAAGAGGGCACATGAAGAATTCCAGATTTGATTGTGTATCTATATAGGAAACAGCCCAGCTAATTAATGATGATATCACAGAGAAAAATTACATCCCAGCTGTATGCTCGTTTTTCAATTTAAGTCTGAAATGAAATCAACCTACATCGGTACAATCGAATCTATTAATACAGCTCGATACCATGTTTCTAAAAGTGTTAGAATGACAGCTCCCATAATTCCTAACCAGCTACCTCAGTTCATATGCTCTTCCTATCTGGGAATTCTAGTAAATACTGGAGGGTATAAATTTGAAGATAATCGACAAAATCGACAAGCACAGCGTCTTAGCCCCTGAGTCACCGTGTCCCTCATCTCATCACTATACAACCATATATATATTTACATAGAGATAACTTTTAGGTTCACTGACATTTCATTTGAGCTAAATGAGGACAACATCCCATGAATGTGCTGAATTTAAAACTTGCTCATTCTTTATATAACTCTTTAAGCTATCCCCAAATGGTCCGATATTTTTAATGAGATAACAGACTTAACTATCCCTTAAGGGAGAAAAAGTAATTTTTCATTTTTTTTCATTCCACCCACACATTTCATGATTAGCTAATGTAAATCCTTAATGGCCTACTGAGGTGACAATCCCTGACAGAATTCAAAATCATATGGAATGTTGGGAGCTGTTGTCCAATAATATTTGGAAAGATTCCCCATTTCTGATCTAAAATGAAGGATTTAATCACTCCATATTTCCTTGACATTATTACTTGCTTTACTTTTTTCCTACTCATCCTCATCTCTCTCAAGGAGAAAATACATGACTTGTACTGTCTGCATTCTGGATCTGAAAAGGCACAATTCTGCACTCAGAATTAAAATATAGATGAGTTTTTCCCCCTGCGGACAAGGAGTGGAAAACTCCTAAAGCAGAGAAATACATCTCAGCAGATAGTCCTTGACTTACTACCATTCGTTTAGGGACCGTTCGAAGTTACAATGGCACTGAAAAAAGTGATTGATGACCGTTTTTCAGACTTTCACACTTTTTCACACTTATAACCACTGCAGCATTCCCATGGTCACATGATTAAAATTCAGATGCTTGGCAACTGGTTCATATCTATGAAGGTTGCAGTGTCCTGGGGCCATGTGATCAGTTTTTGCAAACTTCTGACAAGCAAAGACAATGAGAAAACCAGATTCACTTAACAACTGTTTTACTAATTTAACAACTGCAGTGATTCACTTAAGCAAGAAAGGTTGTAAAATGGGGCAAAACTCACTTAACTACTATCTCGCTTAGCAATAGAAATTTTGAGCTCAATTATGGTCATAAGTCGAGGACTACCTGTACAGACATGAAACAGGCCAAGTGCTACCAAGACTCAGAGCCATTAAAAGTTGCCTTACTTTATCATCTAATGAAAACTCCGTTTAGAGTGAAAGCTTGTTTTATAACCATCGGCCTTATTATAAACTCAATATTAAGAACTGCTCTGGTGTACAATAAGGATGAAGACCGAATTAATAGCTCAAAGATTGAATTATTGAATATCCTCACCCAGATTGTGGGTCAGAGTCAGAGCTCAAATGATGCAAATAAATAAAATGCTGGAATTGAGTTCCTGCATCTATTTGTTAAATTTATATGCCACCCATCTTGCCGTCCATGCTTAAGAACATATGCATATGGACATATCCAACATATGGATATGCATTCATTTCTTTGCTCGTTTGTTATTGTTATTAACAGTAAAAAAGAAAGTTCTATGAACATTTTATAGTTTTTAAACATTAGTTTAAAAAAACTAATAAATGTAAAAGACACAGGAAAGTATCTTGATGACAAAGGAGAGGAACTCAATCAATATTTGCAAAAACGTTTTTTATGGCCCCCTGACAAAATGTAGCTTTCTCAGCTAATAGACTAGACCAGGGGTGGGCAACTGTGGCCCTTTTACAACCTGTGGACTTCAACTCAGCTTGGCTGTCTCAGGAATTCCGGGAGTTGAAGTCCACAGGTTGTAAAAGGGCCACAGTTGCCCACCTCTGGACTAGACCCAATGACTTCTGTTCAGGTTTTCCTCATTAGAACTGCCTTCCCTCTAAGACAAGACTTCCCAATCTTGGCAATTTTAAGACACGTGGACTTCAACTCCCAGAATTCCTCAGTCAGCCATGCTGGCTGAGGAATTCTGAGAACTGAAGTCCACATGTACACTATTCGTCAGCCTCCAACTGCAATAAAGATTCTGGCAATTGGAATATTGTCAGAATTTCCACAATAATGTTTAAAATCAAGCAATTATCCAAGTTATCATAGCTTTTTTTTTTTTTTAAAGAGACTTTGTCTTGGGTGTCGAGGCTCATCTTGTTGGACTTTATGCGATCAGGGTGCTAGTAAGAGGTTGCTACTTCCCAACAAGGATACTGGTATGGCCCGGGGTCTACAGTATCAGCATCTCACCAATGGCCTGTTGCAGCCCAGCCTTCAAATCACCTGTTGGCGTATTTGGCAAGCTTCTCTTCTTCCCAGGCGGTGTTCCCGCCCCCGAAGTTCTCTCGCTGTGTCCGCTCCAGACCCTGAGAAGGCAGGACAAGCCTCACAGCAAAGCCAGAGCTGATCTCGCCCCATCCCAGCACAGCAGCCCTCAACCCCATGCAATACAAACTGACCCTCTCCATTGCTGCTTTCTGCCCCTCTTCATCCTCTACACATCTCCATCTCTCTCTCAACAGCATTTGGTCCAGAGTACTGCCCTCCCCACCACCACAAACCCTCTTCTGAGACTGGGGGGAGGGGGCAGATGAATGCCTAGCAATCCCAGCTAAATGGGATGTCCACTTTGCATTAATCAAAATTACAGACACCCAGTCCATTTTGGAGATCCTTTCTAGCCTCCCACCTTATTGAAATTGTTGACAAGATCCCGACAGGTCTGGCAGGTATCTTGCTGGGAACCACCAGAGTTTGGCATCCAATGGAATAGCAAGAGGAAGAAGAGCAGAACAGATGGGATTTTCATCCTGGAAAAAGCCATTTTCAGGCCAGGAACAAGACTGGAAGAAAGAGGAAGGTTGGTGAGACCAATACGAGTATATGAGAATAGAATAGAATAGAATTCTTTATTGGCCAAGTGTGATTGGACACACAAGGAATTTGTCTTTGGTGCATATGCTCTCAGTGTACATAAAATAAACAAAAATACATTCATCAAGAATCATAAGATACAACACTTAGTCATAGGTTACTAAATAAGCAATCAAATCATACTAGGAAACAAATAAAACAATATAAATCATAAAAATACAAGTGACATGGTTAAAGTCATAAGTGGGAGGAGATAGGTAATAGGAAGGATGAGAAGAATAATAGCAATACAGTCTTAGTAAATAATAAAGCAAATAATAATACATAATACAGTTTCTTAATAAAGAAACTAATGGGAGCAACAGACTCCTAGGCAGTGGATATGTGGCAACACAGGTTAAAGATTATTCTGCATAAGCTCCACATCTGTTTTCTTGATATGCAGGGTGACAATCCAAATCTTAACCCCAAGAATTTGGGATTTAAAAATTTCATGCTATAAGTGATGTATTGCAAACAACTGGACAAGATTAAAAAAAATCATTTATTTGCTACATTTATATCCCACCTTTCCCCCCCAGGAACTCAAGGTCGCATACCTAGACATATATTCAACTGTCCCCAAATTACTCCACAAGGTAGCTTAGAGATTGGAGAGACCCAAAGTTAACCACTCAGTCTCCATGCCTGAAAGCACCTTTCGGCCTCAGTTTCTCTAGTCTTAGTCCAATATCTCAATTGTTCCTCTACCTCACAATATTAAGTAAGAAAGGAGGAAGATAGGAAAAAGAAACAGGCATTCAAGCCAGGGGTGAAATGTTCCCGGTTCGGACCAGATCGCCCGATCCGGTAGCGATGGAGGCGGATGGTTCGGAGAACCAGTAGCAAAAATCCCCGCCAACCCCCCCCATGCCCAGCTGAGCCGCACAATCATCTGAGGCTTTTTTTACTTTTAAAAGCATTTTTTCTACAACCTCTTCGGCTGAAAAAATGCTTTTAAAAGTAAAAAAAAAAGCCTCTGATGATCACACGGCTCAGCTGGGATCATCAAAGGCTTTTAAAAGAAAAAAACCTTTTTTTTCTTTTAAATGCCTCTGACGGTCCAAGCTGAGTTGCTTGATCGGCAGAGGCATTTAAAAGAAAAAAAAGCCTCTGCCGATCAGGCAACTCAGCTGGGATCGTCAGAGCCTTTTGAAAGCATTTTTTTACAACCTCTTCGCTGAAGAGGTTGCTAAAAAAATGCTTTTAAAAGTAAAAAAAAAAATTGGCCACACCCACCCAGTCACATTACTCCCCCACCAAGCCATGCCCAATTTTACCCCTGATTCAACCCTATTGAAATTGTAAGGAAAAAAATCTTGCTTGGGAACTCATTAAAAAAAAATGTTAATATATACTTGAGCCCATCTAGTCAAGCATCCCTAAATGTCTTTAGGAAGTGCGTTAGTGTTATTAATAATTAGTGTTAGTGTTATTAATAATTTACATTCAGAGGGATTCTGTATGATTTTGAAATGTGAGCTACATTTCTCAGAAATGAAGACTATTCTATGTAGTAAATGGACATTAAGCTTTCTAGTTGCCACTATTAGTCATTATTAAATGAAAAACCTTCTATAACCAACTATAACAGAGTTGGAAGGGACCTTAAAGGTCTTCTAGTCCAGAGGTGTCAAACTCACGGCCCGTGGGCCGGATGCATCACACACTAGCTACGCCCACACCCAGTTTAGCGAAGGAGGAAAAAGTCATTATACATCACATGATGCCACTGTGACAATGCAAGTTTGACACCCCTGTTCTAGTCCAATCTCCTACTCAAACAAGAGATCCTATACCATTCTGGACAAATGGCTGTGCAATCTCTTCTTAAAAACCCCAAGCGATGGATCACCCAAAACTTCTGAAGGCAACCATTCCACTGATGAATTGTTCTGTCAGGAAATTTCTCCTCAGTTCTAGGTTGCTTCTCTCCTTGATTACTTTCATCCATTGCTTCTTGTCCTGCCTGCACGTGCCTTGAAGAATAGGTTGTCCTCCTCTTCTTTGTGGCAGCCCCTTAGATATTGGAACACTAAAGGCATTTTTGGAAAGTAAGTGGATAACTGTAATCTCCTTCCCAAGAGCCATTTAGCTGTCAGATAGCTGCTCTGACAAAGTGTATGGTTTCTGTGCACCTCCAACATTGTTCTCTCTATATTCCCATGCTTGGGAATGGAGAAACCTAAGCTTTGTGTGGCAAAAGAATCTGAAAAACAGGAGCTGTGTTAATCCCAATTACCCAGTGATATAATGCCCATTTAAGCATGCTCATGAATATACAGTAAACTACTAACAAGTCATATAAGCTGATAAGCCACAAATAACGGATCCAATTTATACATAAATTAGTAAGTCGCATCAAGAAGAAAAGACTCACTCAATCTGGTAGTACCCTGTTTTCCCCAAAATAAGACATCCCCTGATAATAAGCCCAATTGGGCTTTTGAGCACATGGCAATAAGGCCAAGTGCTTATTTCAGGGTTCAAAAAAAAAATAAAAAATAAGACAGGCAGGGTCTTATTTTCGGGGAAACACGGTATCCAAAATCTAATAAATATGCATTACGCTTTCGAATGAGGTTTGGCCTTGGACTTCTGCCACTTCCCTGTAGCATCAAAGGTATATAGAAACCTAATTCGATAGCTCAAAACACATTTTAGGCAGACACTGATCACAAATATAAAAGTCACAGATACTGGATGCAGCCAGTAACAGCCAGATCAAGCTGCTTGATCTAAAAAAAAAAACCCCAGTCTCCCAGTGTCATTCATGAATAGATGATGAATCTCATTCTTTTAACGAATTACTAAATTCTAACAATTTGAAGTAAACTGCAAAAATCTGAATGACCAAGAGATACCAGAAATATTAAAGCTGCTGTAGGTATGGGGTATCCTAATCTCCAGTAGATGGCATCAAATCTACCTTCCCAGCATTGGACTACCCTCCACAAGCATTGGACTACAACTCCCACCATTCCTCAGCCTATACATAACCAATAGTCATTCTGTTGGCCTTACTTGATGGAGGTTATAGGCAAACTAAGACACCAAGCTGTGGAAAATATGTGTTGCAAGCTGGTCCCCTACTGTTCAGAATATAGCCGCAAGCCACCACAGCACAATAGGGACATCATCTGATGGCCACTTCCTTAAAAAGGCAATTATGAATTTAGCAGGACTTACTTCAGTGATCTAAGGAATCATTGAACAAATCAATCCAGAGTTCTCACTGGAGGCACACAATGACCAGGCTCAAAATGATCCCTACGTCGGAGACATTATGTGAGGAGGATCTGGATCGCTGGAGAAGGCTGTACTATTGAGAGAGGTGGAAGGAAAGAAAAGAAGAGGGTGACCAACAGCAAAGTGGATAGCCATGGGTCGGTTCAACGTTGGAAGATCCTCCTATGTGGTTGCTGGAGTCAAAAAAAAAAAAAAAAAACACGACTTGATGGCACATCATGGATCCAGAATCGGCCCACGCTAGAGAACCAGGGAACGTGTAAACGGGATGACACGGGATTCCACTTGCTCCGATCTCTCTGCATAGCAGCTGCACATCCAAAGGAGGGATGCAGCGAAGATTTTTTTTTTCTCTCCCGGTTCTGGGGCGGCCGGAGGTGACCCTCCCTATTCTGCAGGTAGGAAAAAACAGGAGCCACCCGGTGCCACCGAATGGCCAACCCAGCCCCCGAACACAAACCCAAGAAAAGGTGCTTTCCCTGAACCCACCGCCCTACGCCTCGCTCGGGGCTCCAAACCTACCTTGCCTCTCCCGGCTCGCCCCCTCGGGAGAGCAGCGCGAGCCAACGGGGGAGGCCCGGAAGTGCAGCGCCCACTTTCGCACGCAAATCAAGTCGACTCCCGGGTCCGCCGCAGCTGAGCGCTTCCCCCCCCACCTCGCCGACCGCAAGATCGCCATCAAAGGATGGGGGCAAACCCTTCCTCTCTCCGCCAATGACATCGGGCCCTGTGCGATGACATCATCCCCTCCTCCTTCCAGCGACCAATAGGCGGGCTCCGTCCGGTTTCCCGTTTCCCCCCCCCTCGGAACAGCACCTGTCAAGACGCTTAAAGAGGCCGCGGAGGCGTTGGGTCAGGCTCTTCTGCAGTCGCCAGAGCAAGGGGTCCTGCCGGAGCGAGATTATATTTCATCCTCCATTAAAAAATGTCCGGACAAAATAAAATCCTGTGGCTGTTCAACACAGTCTTCTCCTTCTGAGCCCAAAACGCCTCTTAATCCGGTCTTTCCCACTATGTTTGCCCTGCAGATTCGTTGTAATAATAATAATAATAATAATAATAATAATAATAATAATAATAATAATAATAATAATAATAATAATAATAATAATAATAATAATAATAATAATAATAATAATAATAATGACTCTACAAAAAATCACTTTACTCGGAACAGCTTACATCCTCCGACGATACCTTAACAGTTCCTAGGTCCTTAACAGTTCCTAGGTCCTTGGTTAGGACTTGAGCTGCTGAGCTATTAACCAGCCTCAAAGGCCGTGAATCTCACTTAAGATTAAATAATAATAATAATAATAATAATAATAATAATAATAATAATAATAATAATAATAATAAAAATAATAAAGTAAAGCAGACTGTGGAAGAAGAAAAACGCAGCTTGAATGATTACATCCAGAAAAGTGAAGAACCAATGATTAAGGAAGTAAATAAAGGAGGCCTTTTAAAGACAACTAAAACAAAAGCAGAATATAAGAAAGAAGTAATTGAGCAGCGAGCTGAAAATTGGAAAAGCAAAGCTCTGCATGGCCAATACTTGAAAAGTATTGAAGGCAAAGCTGACCAGAAACTAACTTGGAACTGGTTAAGATCAGGAGTACTGAAAAAAGAAACAGAAAGCTTTATTTTGGCAGCTCAAGAACAAGCCCTAGCCACAAACTGCATGAAGGCAAAAATTCAACATGTTACCACCAACATCAAATGCCGCCTCTGTAATGAGAAAGATGAGACAGTCAACCACCTGATCAGTGGGTGCAGCAAAATTTCACAAACTGACTATCTACAACACCATGACCGCGTTGCTAAGATCATTCACTGGAAATTGTGCCAGAAGTTTGGATTTGAGTACAGCAAAAACCGCTGGGAACATCAGGTTGAGAAAGTTTTAGAGAATGAGAAACTCAAGATCTTGTGGGACTTCAGGATTCAGACTGACAGGCACTTAGTCCACAACACACCTGACATAACAATAGTTGAAAAGAAAAAAGTATGGTTCATTGACATTGCAATACCTGGTGATGCACGGATTGAAGATAAACAGCAAGAAAAAAATCACAAAGTACCGGGACTTGCAAATTGAAGTTGAGCGACTGTGGAAAAAGAAATTGTGTGTTGTCCCGATTGTAATTGGAGCCCTTGGAGCAATACCCAAAGGGCTACCCCGCTATTTAGAAATTCTAAATTTACCGGACCTGAATATTTTGACTACAAAAAACCACCTTACTCGGAACAGCTTACATCCTCCGATGATACCTTAACAGTTCCTAGGTCCTTGGTTAGGACTCAAGCTGCTGAGCTATTAACCAGCCTCAAAGGCTGTGAATCTCACCAAAGATTAACCAATAATAATAATTATTATTATTATTTAATTCTGTGCCTGACTGGGAAAATGTAGATTGTAGAGGAAAGAAGTTTGAGTAAGAGTGCATAAACACTGTCGCCAGCAGCCTTTGCTTAAATTAACATCTCATGCATTTGAAAGTAAAATCTGCATTTTGCGGTTACTGCCAAATAAACCTTTGCTTGACATGGAGCAGCTGTACAAACATTAAGTTTGAGTTATGTAAATATGAATTTGGGCCTCAATTTCAATAGCAGAAACATCTTCCTAATTGTAAAAAATGGGCAGGGGAGAATCCCATTCAGAGCAGTTACTGAGAAACCTCTGGGAAAAAAAAACTTTTAAAAAGTGAAGGTAGATCAGAAATTGTATCACTTCTAGAGGTAGAATCCTGTGAACAAGGAGGAGGCTACATTCGGAGGCTTTTAAAGCCCTCCAAATTCAGGTCAGTTTTCTAGCAGAATGAATCAGCCTCCCCAAATTGAGAGGGACATGAAACACTTAAAGTCTACTTTGATGACAAACAAAATACAATTATGAAAAACTGCAAGAAATTGCCTTCTAAAAAAAAAACTAACCTGTCTACAAAAGGGGATAAGACTTCTGATATTCTCCAAATATTTTAGCCTATAATCCTCATTTCCCCAGGCCATATTGGCTAGGAGTGACAATATACTCCAAATCAAGTGGAAATCATCAAATTGTGTACCTCTCTTTGACTTGCCTCAATGTTTCTCAGGTTAGCAACTTTCAGATCAGGGGTGGGTTCTACTTACCTTTACTACCAGTTCACAACAGGGCCACACGCTCTTCTGTGCATGCACAGAAGCGTTCTGATGACCTTGGGGTTGGTAGGCAGAGCCTCCTGCTGGTTTTACTACCAGTTCTACAGGACCGGTGCGAACCGGGGGCAACCCACTACTGTTTCAGATGTGTGGACTTCAATTTCACAGGATTCCCCCAAGTTGGCTCCATGCATTTGAAAGTTGCTGAAGTTGCGAAACACTGATTTAGCCAATAGTTTCCTAGTTTAACATTTTTTTATTGAGTTATAAAATATTGTAAAATACTGTAGGAAGTTAGCATCCACCCCTTTCCTAGAGGAATGAAATATTTGGGGAAATATTAAAAAGGCAGAATATTATGTTTCCCTGGATGAGAAATGGAGAAGCATGTTTTAAAGACGAAGCAGCTCCCACCTTCCTGCCCCCACCCTTTGTCAATGGGCCAGAGGCAGAAACTCAATCTTTGTCAATGGACCATCATCTGCAACACAATGGGACCCATCTAGCAACAGAAACTTACCACATGGCACCCGGGAAGATTACATCAGCCAGCAAGGCTAGCTAAGACCCCCACCCCCTGGGAGTCTGACAACCAATCAGGATACTCTTTCTGGGCCCCAGGAAGTTCAAAGCCAGAGAGGGCATAAAACCCAGGGACTCACTGCGTCTCGCCCCTTTTTTTCTGTTCAGGAACTAAAGCCATGTGATCCTATCCACCATTAAACCATCTTTCCAAGCAGTCTCCATGTTTCCAGTGTCTTTTTCCCCACTTGGAGCTGAACCCAGAAGGATATTTCTTCTAACAATGCAAAATATAAAAGTAAATAGAAAAGCAGTAGGAGGGAAAAGGGGGAAGAGAAGTGAGGAAAGATAAGAAGCATTGACTCCTGACTCTGTTACAGTAAAAAAAGGCATTAACATCAAGTCACAGCTTTTTGCTTTTTCATAAAAATATGAACAAGCCATTTCTGTAAAGATCTATCGATCTACTTGGTAAAACCCAAAATCAAAGTTTCATTCTTTTCCACATCACACACGACGTTCAGAAGGGGTCTCCATGTGGAAACAAAAGTACTTATGTTCTTTTCTTTAATCAAAGTAGTCAATTTTGCTATTTCAGCCAACTCCATCAATTTCTGCAACCATTTGTCCATAAATCAAAGTGTCCTTCCATTTTTGTGCATACAATAGTTTTCAAACACAGATACACCATTCCCTACTTTTCACCTGACAATGCAAAGTACAAACTGAGGTCTTCAGAAAGAAAAAAAAGTATACAAAGCAATCAAAAAGATTTCCATCATTAAACAGATACAAATTGTCTCCAGTTCATATCTACATATTCAGTGAGTGTGTATACACCAGTGTGTTTGAAGAGCTCCAACATGAAGTACTGTTCTTTTGGCAGTAGTACAATAGTACATTTATAAGCATCAGAGAGCGAGAGTATGTAAGACATCCTGATTGAAAAGGGAAGTGGGGGGGCATTATGGGCCCTGGGCAAAGCAGTGTACTAGGGCCCCTACAAGAACTACACACAGGAATAAAAATGTAAATGGTCGATAAAATTAAACATATTTATTTTATTGGCATATTAGTATTAATAAAAAAATGCAGTAAAATGTAATAAATATATTGCTGTATTTATATGATACAAGGTGCATTGAAGGGTTAACATACACAGATTAGTATGGGGCCCCTATGCTCGTGGGGCCCACAGCCAAGTTCCCATCAGGCCCATGCATTAAGACAGCCCTGGGGAGGGGGGACACACACAACTGAAGCTTGTGGTATTTTAAAGATTGACACAACTATTGTGTCAAAAGTGGAACAGAAGATTCTATCAGTTGAATAACAAAGCAAAGAATATAATATTTGCTCATATTTTGTGCCACCCAAACCTATTACAACATGAACGGAATAATTCTTCTGGAAAATAGACTGAAGAGATGCCCTTCCTTGTTCTGGTATTTGAATGTGGTAAGAATAAGCGTTTCACATTAATAAAAAGAAAACATGAGAAACAGGAACGTAATCAAACAGAGACTGGATAGGGCCCCTTGAGTGTTTCCTTCATCCAAACTGTTGACATGGAAACACTTGGCTTATTAAAGGGTGTTTCTAATTAAAACTTGCATTTCTTTTTAATTCATTGGGATGATTGTTGGAGTGGTGTACAAAAAGACAACAAAGGCTTATATTTTTAAAATATAGTAAACAATTGAAGAGAAAGGCAATGAAAAGAGAAACATTTCAAAGTAGATATTTCAGCAACCACTCAGAGAGCCACACGTCTCCAATCCTGGTAACATTCTGAAAGGTATCAAAAATCTGGCTATATTCCCAGCCTTTGGGATAGGGCACATAGTGAGCCCTGTAACACTTGATTGGGTTTTATGGTTTTTGTTATTCTTGTTCCTGTTTTTATAGAACATCACGTGTCCAGCATCTTTGGGAATAAAGCATTCTTCAATTTATGTAAAAGAAATAACTAAATGCTCATTTGGTTCAATTTGATAGTGAAACAGTTCGGCCCACACCTCACTTTGGAAAAGCCCCATCGGTCTTACAGTTTCTCATTCATGTTTCCAGGGGATGAGGAAGTTAAAATAAGTCACCTCCACCTGAGTTTTCAAACGATTTTATTTAAAATAATTAAATGAAAGAGCACCTGGCATGTCCTAAAAACGAACTCTGACTCAAGCAAATAGAACTTCTTTTCAACTATGCTTTTGGGTCCCATAAATGCTTTAGAGGCATCCTCAAGAAATAAGAAGGGCAAATTTTGTTTGAAAATAGTTCTCCGAAGAAAAAGTCCAGGATTAAGAGAAGACTGTAGAGCAGGGGTCTCCAACCTTGGCAGCTTTAAGACTTGTGGACTTCAATTCCCAGAGTTCCTCAGCCAGCTTTGCTTTGCTGGCTGAGGAACTCTGGGAGTTGAAGTCCACAAGTCTTAAAGTTGCCTCAGCCAGCCAGCTTTGAAGTCCACAAGTCTTAAAGTTGCCAAGGTTGGAGACCCCTCCTGTAGAGCACCCTGGAAAGCTACCAAGACAGCAGCAAGCTTACCAATTTGTTTTCACATAAACAAGTGTTTTGTGACTATCCACACCCATCTCTCTTGTCATTTTATGAGAGCATCTATGATATGAATAAGTTACCCTTTGCCAATGTATGTATTTAGTATTGATTGTTCTTATTTGCAGTATGTTTCTTCTGAGAGGACTACAGTATTGTCCTCTTGAATCAATCGTCTGCATCTGCAGGAATTTGGCTCTAGATGGCAATGTTATTAATGTGTTTCATAGGGCCATTCATCTGTAAAGAGCAATAGAAGAAAGTACAGGTAGTCCTTGCCATACGACCACAATTGAACCCAAAATCTCTGTTGCTAAGCGAGACAGTTGTTAAGTGAGTTTTGCCCCATTTTACAACTTTTCTTGCCACAGTTGTTAAGTGAATCACTGCAGTTGTTAAATTAGTAATATGGTTGTTAAAACTCAAATACTTTGGCCACCTAATGAGAAGGAAGGACTCAGTGGAGAAGAGCCTAATGCTGGGAATGATTGAGGGCAAAAGAAGAAAGGGATGACAGAGAATGAGGTGGCTGGATGGAGTCACTGAAGCAGTCGGCATGAGCTTAAATGGACTCCAGAGGATGGTAGAGGACAGGAAGGCCTGGAGGATTGATGTCCATGGGGTCGCGACAGATCGGACAATGAATGAATCTGGCTTCCCCATTGACTTTGCTTGTCAGAAGGTCACAAAAGGATGATCCCGGGACACTGCAACCGTCATAAATACGAGCCAGTTGCCAAGCACCCGAATGTTGATCATGTGACCATGGGAATGCTGCAATGGTTGTGTGAAAAACAATCAAAAGTCACTTTTTTTCAATTGCCATTGCGACTTCAAACAGCCATTAAACGAATGTTTGTAAGTCAAGGGCTACTGTAGAACATCTTCTGTCAAAGAAACAGAGGCTCAATATACCTGTGTCAATTCTCCCTCTTCACCCAAAAGTCTGCTTAAATGAGCAAAAGAGCTAATTTGAAATACGAAGGCAGAAACCAGGGAATTCTCAGTGCTATTGTGCCTCTGGGACTTGCTTTCCTTTCTCCCTCTTGAGGGAAACTTCGTTTGTTTGTTTCATTCAATTTCTATAGCCGCCCAACTCAACCACGTGAATCTGGGTGGCTTACAATTCTAAAATTCTGAGACAATTAATACAATTGAAAAGACTTTAAAACAATAACAACATCCACAAAATAAATAAAAGAAAGCCTTCCCCACAGAGACCAAGTGTCTAGTCTGTCCTCCAACCAAAGACAAAATGGCCAGTACAGTGGAGGTACGGGGCCCAGTTATTGGGCAGGGAAGGAGTCGACTTGCCAAGACAGCTAGAGCTGAGCAAATCACTCTCATTGACTCATTGTCTCTAACCTATTCCCTGATACATCCTAAATTGTCCTCATGGAAAGTTTTGTGTCAGGAGAAGAAGGGAAACACCACTTCCAAACTGGAACAACCAAAGATGATTCTAGGCCACCTCACCTCAGTAGTCTGTGGCAGAGGTCTCTCAAAAACATTTAGTAATGCAGACATTATGGCAAGCAGGATGTGCAGATGAGATCCTGATAAAAAGGCGGAGAATGTATCCAAAGCCCTTTTCATTTTTAAATAAAGGCTGTGCGAACCATCTGAAGGAACCTTCTGGAAACCAACAAACACATCCTTCCTTCCAAACTTGCTGAGGTAGCCGTATCAATCCAAAGTTCAGTGTCACCATTCTGAGATGTTTTCCTAAGCTTCTGAGATACAAGTGCACATCCTGAAGACACCTCCATCAAAACCAAGCCATGCCGAGCCTTCACAGGACATGGCTCCCTTGATGCTCTGAGCAGCTATATTTCATAAAGTGCTCTGCATCACTCTAATCTGAGTATTTCTAGTTTTTTATCATTATTGCATTTTGCTGGCCAAGCAGTTGCTTCAAGGGAGCTTCAAAGCAAGGCATGAAGGTGAGAAGTCCACACCTTTGGAGATCCTCCATTCTGGATCTACTGATGGTCTCCCTTCATATTATTGGCTGGTTTGTTTGTTTTTTTATTTGATTTATATGCCGCCCTTCTCCGGAGACTCAGGGCGTTAAGCACTAGCCTTAATACTTTTGTATATTTATACAAAGTCAGCTTATTGCCCCCACAAACTGGGTCCTCAATTTACCCACCTTAGAAAGGATGGAAGGCTGAGTCGACCTTGATCCTGGTGAGAATTGAACTCGCAGTAATTGCAGGCAGCTGGATGTTAAATGCTGCCTTAGTAGGAGGCATTAGCCTCCTACGCCACTCAGGCTCAGGTTACCATTCAGTTATATGATGACAGCTCATTATCTCCACCAGCCACTTATACAGGTACCTTATCACTTGAACTGCTATGCAAAACAAGTTCCCATCCATGATTCAGTCTTGTTACACTATCACACGCCTCTTTCCAAATTACAGGAACAGACTGGCCACTCTGACTTGTTGGAAAAACTATATGTCAGTACACTCAGATGCCCTTTTACCAGCTCACTTCTGAAAGTCTTATTTCTCAAGGATGGTGACAGAATGCATTTACTCTGTTTATCCTCCTGCTGAGAAAGCAGCAATTACAGGTTCTACTAGCTGGGGTACTTTTGCTGGCATTCATGCACTGCCCGTTCCAGGCTCTTGTGGATGCCCTCTGCATGTCTCCTGAGGCTGTTCTTCTGTTTGTGTCCTACCCTGGGGCCAGCCAAGGTCAGCAGGAAGCTAAAGAGCTGAGAGGGCAGAGGATAGACAGGCACTGAATGGAAGAGGTCAGGGATCTCATTGACTGGAAGAAGCTTCTCAAAGCAGCCGACAATGTATGTGGCCCTGGCTTCACCAGCCAGGAAATCAGGCAAGACGCAGTTGAGGGAAGCCAAGAATGTGCTGTCTGGTTTGAAGGTGGACCGAGGGAAGTTCTGTTTCCAGCCCAGCCATTCTGCACAACTGGCCACAGAACCGTGGGAAAACAGCAGCACAATAACTCCGCCTTCTTGAAGTACCAAGCGTCGCTGGGCGTGGAACCACTGCATGGGTCCCAGAGACCCCAACTCCCCACGGCTCCACAACTCCAGGGATACAGATACTTGCAGCTGAGTCAGCGCATCTGCCAGGATGCCCACCACACGCTCATAGCCTTCATGATCTGGAGAGTAGAGAATGAGGACCCGTCGTCCCTGAAGCATTCCTGCGGTGAGAAAGAGAGAGAGAGAGAGATGAGATGTTCCATAAACAATAACAAATCTTCTTACCCCATGTCTCTCTTCTTTGCTTTCTCATCCAGCACCTTCACAAGTGGCTCTCTCATGTTTAGATGCATCGTTGCAAATTCTATATGCTGAAGTTCAATTTTTTCATCTTATCTGAAATGGTGTAGGGTTTCCTGCCTGAGCAGGGAACCAAGGTCCCTTCCAACTCTGTTGTTGTTGTTATCTTCCAAACCCTCCTCTTTTTCTTTGCACTTTCTCTTTATCTATTGCTGGTTTTCCAAAATGTGACCAGGAAATTTGCAATCCAAACCAACAAAAGTTTGGGATGGATCTTAATGACTGATACATACCATATTTTTCGGAATATAAGGTGCACCAGAGTATAAAACGCACCTACCTTTTTTGGTGAGGAAAAGAAGAAAAAGAAATCTGACTCTGCCTCTGAGCAATTTTGCCTCATTGCAGCAAACAGCAAACAGCTTGCTTTACTTTCATTTTTGTTTTCAGCATAGCTTGATTAGCACAAGGAAAAAAAAATCTGCTCCAGCAATTTACCTCCTTGCAGCAAGCAGCAGAGCCCTGCGCAAAACAGCTGAGAGCAAACCAGCTGAGAGTCGGGAGATTGATCCAATCAACTTGTGCTAATTAGGCTGTGCTGAAGCTGAAAGGAGCTGTTTTTTCTTGCTGTTTGCTTGCAAGGAGGTAACTGCTGCGAGGCAGAGGCCAAAGAGTGGGGACCAGTGAGTGGGCGTGGCTACATTTGGTGTATAAGACACACCTAAATTTTCACCCCCTTTTAAAGGGGAAAAAGGTGAGTCTTATATTCCGAAATATATGGTAAGTCATTCATAAAAACTTGTAATGATATAATTGTTAGGGGCCTTTCAGCCAATTCACCTCTCAAACCTTCTGAATTCAATTCAAACACAGAGAAAATGAATTGACTGTTTTGAGTATTTGCAGATCTATATGTATGAAAGTCCAGCACATCTGGGAAGCACCAACTAATTTATACCTGCTTTTTCTAGCCACAACTCAGCGCAAAAGTCTCTTTAGCTAATCAGTGCTTGCTTTTTGGCTGGTAACTGAATACAGCATCCATTCCACTTACAACTATGCTGAACACCTGTGCCTTCCACCTCTTCTCAAAAAAATTAAAGAGAGTATAGGTAGTCTTTGCTTAACGACAATGTATAGGATCAGAAATCCCATTGCTAAGCAACGCGATTGTAAACAGAAAAATCACATGATCTCGTTGACTTACAATGGCAGTTCCAGCAGTTCTGGTTGCTGTTGTTAAGTGCATCACAATAAGCAAGGACTTCATGTGACCATGATTTGCAACTTCCTGCAGGCTTCCCAACTGACCTTGCTTGTTGGAAGCCAGCAGGGAGCATCAGTAATTGTGATCATTTGACCATGGGATGCTGTAATAGCCATTACTTTCAGGACCAGTCATAAGTCCCCATCATTCAGTGCTGTCATAATTTCAAGTGGTCACTGAATGAATCGTTGTTAAACAAGGATCAGCCAGTCCTTGCAAATACCGGTTCAGCGAACCGATTGGAATCAGCTGAATCCCACCCCTGGCATTTACCCCTTAGAAATGACATTTTCCCATTCACAGATATCCACGGCCTAGAGGATTGTTTGTAACAATGTATATTCAGCAGGGATTTCTTCTCACCCCACTTCTGGGATTATGACCGTCTCCTGGAACTTTAGTTTGGAAAGATTTCTGTCTATAAGTAAGGAATAATAACATAAACTGCTCTTAAGTAACTCGACATATCCTTCTTGAGTTTTGGATCCCAGCATCAATCTTGTCAATCTAAAGCAAATCACTTGCATCACTAAAGATATACTCCAAGAACTCCTAGAGAGGAGCTTTCTTGACCGTCTTCCTCTCAACAAACTATCTAAACTTCGCTGTCTCTTGCTCCTCTGGAATGCAACCCCTCCCTCCTGGGAATCCAGACTACGTTCCACCACAGTAAATTCTATTTCTGGATAGAAATGAAAGGCTGAGAATTAGAAAAGATACAGAAGAATTTGAGGGTTCAAGAGACTGATGACAGGAGATTCCCCAAAGAAGAATTATTGCCATAGTTTTATCTTCCAAATGCTACAAGAGCCTCTGTTGCCTTTACCTCTGGAACTGTAATTTTCTTTCAGGATCTTGAACCAGCCTGTAAATAGAGAAAAGCATTAATGGGGTGGTGGAAGCCCACTAACTGTCAGGTCGAATGTGTCCTGTGGGTGAATTCTGAGTTGGAATAATGAAGTGTGGCTTCTGTAGCAAATGGGCAAATTCACACACACTGAGGCTTGGCAGGGCAGATCCTTCCCTTCTTCTATTTGAATCAGACAATAAATGTACATATCCCAAGGGTCTGAGTAAACGGACAGGAAAAGTCACCATGACTTCAAATGCAAATGCGCAGATGGGGGATGATCCATAGCTCCTCCACCATATTGAACTTAAACTTGAATGTGTTGAGCGAGGATGAAAGAATAATTAAATAGCAATGAAGTCTGTGAACTCCTTTCAGAGCAGAAATTAAAGACTAAAGAAAATAAAGGTTCTGGTTTTGTGAGATTTGCCTTTCTTGTGGGAATCTGGCTTCTAGAAGAAGGAAAAAGTCCACTAGAACAAAACTAAGAGATTATTCTCTTGATCTTCCTCTTCTGCCTTAAGTAAGATTCTTTAGTGGGAAAGGTGGAAGGGTAATATGAAAAGAATCAGATCACCTGGGGAAAAACCAAGGGGAAAGAACATGTGGAAGAAAGAGATGTTGCTGGAATAAATGAGTGAGATGGAGACTGCGTACCCAATCAAAATATCAGAATCCATAAAGCACATTTTTGATGCCTTCAAGTCATTGTTGACTCCTGGCGAATGCCTGGACAAGTCCCTGTAGTTTTCTCAGCAGGATTTCAGAAGTGGATTGCCCTTGCTGCCTTCTTTCTAAGGTTGAGAGAAGGGGATTGGCCCAAGGTCATCCAGCTGGCTTTGTGGCTAAGGTGAGACTAGAACTCACCATCTCCTGGTTTCTAGCCTGATGCCTTAATTGCTACACCAAACTAGCTCTCTCTATATATATTTACTCTATTAAAAATTAAAATTGATGCATATGCAGCCACTACTACTTCTCACGATTCTTTGATGGGATTTGAGCAATGTTATTTTTCAACATAGGCTGGCAAATAATTTTAATTTCACAGACCCCTGAGAAAGTCACACTGTGCTGGCTATTAATGACAGGGCTGCTACATTGCCAGTTTTCTAGGATCTTGGAACCAAAGCAAATCTTTAAGCTTGGCTTGATTGCCAAATAGCAGGCAGTGCAAATTGCTTGGGCAGAAACACAACACATGCAAGACAGTAGAAAGGCATTCATGGAAATACAATACAATGCAAAAGTTCTAAGTGAAGGAAGGCAAATGAATTAGAGATGTGGCAGAATTTTTAGCCAAGGCTAGGATGAAAGGGGTCATGAAAAGAGCAAGGGAATAAGTAGCCGAGGCAATATTTATTGAGTATGGCAGTGTAGGAAGTTAAAACCCAGCCTGGACTGAGGGGTTTTTTGATTATTTTAATGGGTTTTAATATATGTTTAAATTATATATTTATACATTTATGTATTTTATGTTTTATTGGGTTTGTTTTTATTTGTTGTGAGCCGCCCTGAGTCCTACGGAGATAGGGCGGCATACAAATTATATTAAATAAATTAAATAAATAAATAAATAAAACCCACCCGTCTCCTAGAAAAATGAAATATTTTAGGAAATATTAAAAGGGCAGAATATTACCCCTAAAAGGGAGGCAGAAACTCAGCCCCCCACACCTTTGTTAATGGGCCATTAAGGCCTGGGCCAGTCTATTCTACACAACAAAGATCTACCTCCTTCAAGCAGAGCCATAATAGGAACTGCCCAAAGCCATTACATCATCACTAGCAAGGCTCAACCAAGCCTGGGACAAAGACAACCTACAAAGGTACCCCTGCATGGCCCCATGGGAGTCTGACAACCAATCAGAATACAAGCTCAAATTCAAAGCCCAAGGGAGGGTATAAATATCTCTCTCTCTCTCACCCATATGCCTTTTTGCCCAGGATCTCAAACCATGTGATCCTGCCCACCATTAAAAACCATCTTTCCATACAGCCACCATGTTTCCAGTGTCTTTCTTCCCCACTTTGAACTGAACCCAGATGGACATTTCTTCCAACAGCAGCATAGGACTAGATTTGGGGTTTGAGAAACAAGAAGGGTACCTTTTACTGCTTCTTTCTTGAAGAGGAGCATGAGCAGAACACAGCAGCTCCCTAGGAGAGTGACCAACCAGATCAGCACCCAGTAGGTCCGGGGATCTGCATCAAAGTACAGAGAGCAGGAATTCAGTACTTGGGTCCCAGCCCAATTTGCATGGACCACCCCTATCTCTTCCTGTCATTTTCCCATTGGCTAAGGCTGAAGGCAAAGTGTTGGGCTGGCTTCACTTTAAGGTAGACTTCTTTGGGTGTGTGTCCAGGACCCGGAGAGTTGCCATCTTTAACTCTTGATGGGTTCTCATTTCGCCCAACGGAGTTAATAAAACTATTTTGGGATTCTTCTTAGAGTGGTAGCTCCTGTTGGAGGAGAAGTGGCAGCTGTGGCTTTTGCACAAATTTATTTTGTGTGTCATTTGGGCCCATTCCTGGATCAGGAGGCCCAGCTCATAGTCACTGATTTCTTAGTCACTTCCTGACTGGACAACTGCAATGCACTCTATGTGGGGCTATTGTTAGAGATCGCCCAGAAGTTTCAGCTGGTCCAGAACACAGTTTTGGAAACCTTGTACAAGCAGTTTTAGATGCCCATCTGTTGGCTCCCAGTTTCCTTCCAGATGCAATTCAAGGTGCTGGTTTTCACTTTTAAAGCCCTACATGGCATGGGGCAAGGTTATGTGAGATATCACCTCTCCCCAAGGGAGATTGTCCCACCAAATCAGATAGGGTGAATGAGTTTCGGGTCTTCTCCTTTAAACAGTGTTATTTGATAGGACCTAGGATATAGGCCTTCTCAGTAGAAGCATCTGCTCCAGGGAACAGCCAGAAAATCCAGAGGGCCTCTGTCCTCCTAGCTTTATGGAAAACAGTGGATTTCTGTCTTTTCCCCAGGCAGCAGTCAGGATGGGAGTTGATCCAGTGTATACCAAGCAGTCCAATTGTTTTCTATGTAACAGCTACCCTAGTTTTTTGGTGAGGTGGGTTTCTAAATAGCATTCCTAGTCCTTAATCTCAAACACAAGACACTCACAATGCTCCGCTGAACATGCCCAGAGTATAGTAGCATTGGTCCCTTCTTCTTGCCATATCTGCAGAAAACAATAAAGAACAACTGTCTAGTAAAAAATATTCACCTGTCCACATAAGACAAAGACATAAGGCAAGATTTAGATGAAGTCCCTTTAATATTCACCTGGACTAAATGCAGAATCTTGGAAGCTACAGGAACACTGTCCAAGTTACCAAAAGAATCTTCATTTATAGTGCAGCTCATGGAATACTTCAAGAAATTTCCAAATCTCTCCCTGGCTGGGCTGAAGGGCTATTTATGAGCCAAGGGTCTCCAAATATGCTAATTTTTAAGATGAGTAGACTTCAACTCTCAGAATTTCCTAGCTAGCATGGCTCTTCGGCAGGGGTGGGTTCTAAAAGTTTTTACTACCGGTTCTATGGGCGTGGCTTATTTTGTGGGCGTGGTTTGATGGTCATGTGACAATTCTTTAGGATTTAGCAGAGGTACTGGTCTACCAGGTTTTTAACTGCTTGCAGAGCTGTACCGGTCTACCCATTTGTTCTTGGAGCGTTCCGGTCTACCAATTTGTTTTTGGAGGCACCGGTCTACCCATTTGTTTTTGGAGCGCATTGGTCTACCACCACACTGCCTTTTAACACTGATCAGCTTTAGGGCGGCCCTTTGAAGCCCTGCGGTAAGAGTTTAAACAGTTTTTTTCCTTCTAGCCGATCAGCTGGCACTCGGGAGGCAGCAAATAGATTGGGGGTGGGGCCAAATAAAAGGTAAGAATAATGCAGGGGCAGGCAGCTCCCGAACAAAGAGAACCGGTTCGGTGACGTCATATCATCACCGCTACCGGCTCGGCTGAACTGGGCCGAACCGGGAGGAACCCACCACTGCTCTTCGGCTGAAGACGTTGTACAAAATGCTTTTAAAAGTTAAAAAAAAAAAAAAGTTGGCCACGCCCATCCAGTCACATTACCCCCCCATCAAGCTACACCCACAGAACTGGTAGTAACATTTTTTATATTTTACCATTGCTTCCAGCCCTCATTTTACTACTCACCTGCATGCACTTCCCTAACTGCATACTGTTCCTCAGGTCTTCCTCCAATGTTGTTCTTCTCTGTAAAGAAAGAAAAGGAGGGGGGAGGAATGAAAGGATCACTGGATTGCCCACTCACAGAGGGAGGAAGAGAAAGGCTGGATGGAGAAAGGCCTTACCGTATTGAAGACCTGAGCAGTGGAGATCCAGGTGCCTTGCTCCATAATTTGAACTAAAGAATTCCCCTGGGAATCCTGAATCTCCTGAAACAGTAAGTATTTCTGGCTTCTTGTGACATCTAGGCGAAAAGAAAAGCAGCAGCGTAAATGATTAATCTCAGCCCAGCGATCTCATGGATTTATAGAGTCAGTTCTTGCATTCAGACAGACATTTTAAATCAGAGAGGATTCTGGACAGACTCTGTTTTTCCTAAGCATCTTTTGGAACCAGGAATGGTAGGTTTTGAGAGAGCTTTTTTTGTTGTGGCCCGCCAGCGGCCAGCAGAGCTGGCAGCAGATTCAGACAGCGAGGAGATTGGGGAGGAACATGGGCCAGTCCTGGAGTTTGGGAAAGGCTCTGACGCGTGCTGTGCGTCAGAGGCAGAGATGGGGCCAGGGCCGTATGACTGTTATCAGCTGCCTTTGGAGGCAGACAAAGTGAACCAAACACAATGACTTCAGCAACAGAGTGGTCAATGCCTGGAATACACTACCTGACTCTGTGGTTTCATCCCAAAACCCCCCAAATTTTAACCTAAGACTCTCTACTGTTGACCTCACCCCATTCCTAAGAGGTCTGTAAGGGGCGTGCATAAGAGCACCAGCGTGCCTATCATCCCTGTCCTAATGTTTCCTCTATTTGTATCTATTTTATGTATTCAATTTATTTATTTCGAATTTATATACCGCCCTTCTCCCGAAGGATTCAAGGTGGTGTACAGCCACAAATAAGAAACATAAAATACAAACATTAAAAACAATTAAAAGAATATATATCTATTTGGCCCCATAATTTAAAAAGTGACAAACCAATTAAAACATTAAAAAAAAAAATTTTTTTTAAGCCAGCCCGGCTTGCTGGAAAAAGAAAGTTTAAAGGGCGCGGCGGAAGGCACCGAGCTCTTGGATTCTCCTTACCTCTGGGGGCAGCTGATTCCAGAGGGTAGGTGCCCCCACAGAGAAGGCCCTCCCCCTGGGGGTCACCAGCCTACATTGTTTGGCTGATGGCACCCCGAGGAGGCCCTCTCTGTGGGAGCGCACAGGTCGATGGGAGGTCATTGGTAATTCATGCTTATACATATATATTATCTAATATGTTCTTGACAAATAAATAAAATAAAAAATAATTATAAAATAATTGTGGGAACAGTCTGGCATGCATCTACATCAGCACTTACCATCCTGCAGGCAGCTTTGGAGATAGGTACTTCCATTCCTTCTTACCTGTACAAAGAGGGAAAAATTGGATTGCTGGAATCTGGGGAGATTATCATGATCACGTTCATGATTTGTGGTGAAAGCATCAAAGCGCTTCCGTGCTGAAAGGATTAGCTAGTGACATCACTGATGCCCAGGCGATCCCGGTTGGAGGTTCCTTTCATGTCTCCATTAATGTGTCCACCGAAGCTGTACCTAACTATCTACTCATGATTCCTTGCTTCCAAACTGATAGGTTGGGAGGAGCTGGAGTGAGTTACGGGAGCTCACCCCGTCAAGTAGCAGCACCCAGGTCTTGAACGCGAGCTTGCTGAAAGTCAACTCAGCACCCTAACCATGTGCACCACCACTTATCACATAATCACATAAGAGAACCATTTCTATTTAGTAGTAATATGTATGGCTTTCTTGACCAGGTCTGAATCTGGATACACACTTATGGAAGCGCAGTGTGGAAATAAATTGAAAGAAAAATGTCTCTGGATTTAATTTTTCTGTGGAAGTAAATAAAACAATAGACATTAATTTGGAGTTCGATTATATGCTCTCTGTCTTATTTGTATAAAATGTGGAACATGTAATTTTGCAGAGATTTTGCTCCATGCTGGTTACAGTCATAAAGCAGACTCCCAAGTGGCGATGGTTATTTTATATGACTTGGGCATTTGCTCAGGAAACAGCAGCCAGTTTCACCTTATACATCTAGACAAGGCTTTTCCAACCTTGGCAATTTTAAAATGTGTGGACTTCAACTCCCAGAATTCCCCAGCCCTCCTGCCATCTTTAAATTGCCAAAGTTGAAAACCGTGATCTAAATTAAGAGACACACTGTGGATGAAGTTCAATAAAACCACAATAACAGCTCCAAGAAGCAAAAAGTCATTGAAGATGCCTTCTCTGGTCTGGTCTTTTTTTTTTTCCTTCTTTCTCCTGTAAATCAGTCTGAACTCCATTTCAGAGCAATGAGGAAAAAAAAAAGAAGTCAAAAAAGTCTTTTTGACTTTTGATGTCTGCTAAAATAATCCAGCCCTGTGGAGGATCCTTGGAAACTGAAAGTAAGGTTGCCCATTTTTTTTTAAAAAAAAATTCTGTTCCTACCTGCACACACAGGTTGGGATGAGGTCGCAGTCTTGGGAACTCCTGTGGTTCCTATGAAAATTGGGAAAATCAATTCTGTTACAAGAAAACTCGTTGCAGAAAGGCTGGGACACAAAGTTGTGTGTGTGTACTGTATGTCTGCCCCCTCAGCTCATGTGCAAAGCACAACCTTCACCTGACTGCAAGGAGCTACACCTAAAGTCTCCAATGAAATGCTTATAATCCTCTAGCCCAGGGATGTCAACAGGGCCGGATTTTCCTATAGGCTAACTAGGCTTCAGCCTAGGGCCTCAAGATCAAGAGGGGCCTACATTCCCTACATTCAAATTGTTAGCAAAATTAAAATTACACTTTCACTATAGGTGAAAGGGCCTCATAAGTGGAATAGCCTAGGGCCTCTTTTCATCTAAATCCGGCCCTGGATGTCAAACTCAAGGCCGGTGGGCCAAATCTGGCCCACAGGGTACTTAGATCTGGCCCTCTCTAGCCTTCAAGTTCCCTGAGGATGAGATCCGAAAGCTCGGAAGACAAAACCTCTGGTCCCAGTGACCGACCCAGATTGGATCCTAAATTAATTAAATTGAATTGATACATTTGGAACAGAGCCAGCATGGTGTAGTGGTTAAGGTGAGGCCTAGAAACCAGGAGACTGAGTTTTAGTCCTGACGTGGACAGAAAGCCAGCTGGGAGACTTTGGGTTCTCTCTATGTTCAACCTACCTCACAAGGTTGTTGTTGTGGGGAAAAATAGGAGGCAGGAGTATTAAGTAAGTTCACTGGATTGAGTTGACAAAAATGCATCTTAAAAAGTGGGGGAGGGAGGGAAATCTAATAATAATAATTAGAACAATACTCCCATATATTTAACCATTTAAACATGACTATTCCCATTGCTTCCATCACAAAAATATAGTTACGTATTTTGGAGAGAGTGTATATGTGTGCACTAAAATTTGTTAATGGCACAAACTTTTAGAGATGGCATCTCTTTCCACCTATGAGTCTTTTGACCATCTCTTCCATCCAGAGGTGGGCTTCACATAATTTAACAACCGGTTCGTCCAGAATCAAATATGTGAGAGTGTGCGCACTGCATCAAAAACACAGGGATTGTATAGGACGGGATAGCTTGCTTGCATGCACGCCTTAAACACATGTATACTGCGTCAAAAACATGGTGATTGTATAAGATGGGATAGTGCCAGGGTGGGTCAGCGGGCCCAGCCACTGGCCATAACTACCGGTTTCCCCGAACCGGTCCAAACCGGCTGAATCCCACCCTTACTTCCATTTTCTAAAGGTCTTCTGAAGAAATGAAGATGTCAGATGCATCATTTCTCAGCAGGACCCTCAGACTTTCAAAAGAGGAATGAATGAATAAATGAATGAAGGGAAAGAGGGAGGGAGGGAAGACTTCTTAGTGCAAAAATGGAAGAAAGAACAAAAAAGAAACAAGAAGAAAAAAAAGAGAGAGAAATTGGGGAGGGAAGAGAGAAAAGGTTGTAACAATCAGATTTATCTTTTGTAATTCCTAGTGGAAATTTTTACCAGGATCCCTTTTACCTGGCAGTGACAGCACACTGACAAGAGATCTTATTGTTGTTCCAGTTCTCAGCTAGTTCTTCATCTCCTGATTGACATTTCTCTTCCCCCTCCCTCTTTTTGCATTCTCTACTCACATGTGGAATGAGGACCAGATGCAGATGGGGATGAAGAGGTTGGCAGGCAAGCTCTTCCATCCGCCAGCAGGGAACCAGATCTCCTTGAAGGTCACACGGAGCAGAAACGAAGCAGCTCAAACTCCCACCAGAAGTGTGAACTTCCAAGCGGCTGTGTTTCCAGGCCCTGGCCAAAGCTGCTGGGTCTGAAATGAGAGGCTGCACTTACTATCAACGTCTGTAGCGATTCTCAAGTCATCCAGGTCTGAGATGCTTTTTCAGGAGGCAATTGGACTTTCTTGCTTTTTTCTTTGATTTTTTTTTGTTTGTTTTTTCACTTCATATCCAAGAAGCTTCTTCAGCTCTGACTGGATGGTGGGGAATGGAAGGATTTATATTCCTTGCAAGACAGCTGGACACTTGCATCCTTTTAGAGAGTCCTTGAAGCACATGGAGGTTTATCTGTGTCCTTAGGGTCACCTGACTAGTGCTAATGGTTCCTGTAGTCTGCAATTTTTCTGGAAATCTCTTCATATACCCAAACCATTCGAAAAGTGTTCATCCCAAATTGCAGAGCTAAACATCTGTAGCTACAGATGACCAGCTGCCTGCAAGGAATATACAGTACCATAAATCCTTCCATTCCCCACCATCCAGTCAGAGCTGAAAAAGCTTCTTGGATGAGAAGCAAAACGTCTTCAAAGAAAAAAAAAACAAGAAAGTCCAGTTGCCTCCTGAAAAAGCACCTTTGGGACACTTCTATCAAAGAGACTCCATCTTCCCAGCAAGCCCATTCCCCCATATATGCATATATTGACATTTATTTTAGCCAATAGTTATCTGCCTTAAAAACAGAATGAAATGCCATTTTCATACCATTTGCAAAGGGACAGAAATGAGTTCGAGGTGTGTCAGCTTGGTCTTCAATCTTGGGCCAGACCTATGAACGCAATATTTGAGAGGATAAGGAGGGGGAGAGAGGTGGCCTTAAAGAGCAATCCTCATCCATCCATCCATCCATCCATCCATCTGATTTTTATACTTCTGCAATATCTACCTCTGGGAGGAATACCAAGGTTGGGTAACCTCTTCTCAAGGAGAAGCCAAGCCCCTTGGATCCACAGCTACAGCAGCCTTCTCTACCATTTCCATCTCCTCTTGTCTAGACTCAACTCTGACTTGTGGTCTCATTTGTTTTAAGCCACATGACCCAACCCAGTGTAGGGAGTGTCTTGTGAAACTGTGGACCTATTTGATTCGGTCTGTTCATACATCTGATTGGCACAAGGTAGACTGTATATGTATGCCCAAGGCCTCAGTTGCGTAGTTGCAGCTATCATCTTGACTTTTTTGAAACCCCCTGTGCAGAGGTGAAATCCAGCAGGTTCTGACAGGTTCTGGAGAACCGGTAGCGGAAATTTTGAGTAGTTTGGAGAACTGGCAAATACAACCTCTAACTGGCCCCAGAGTGGGGTGGGGATGGAAATTGTGCCATATCCTTCCCCCAGGACTGGGGTGGGAATGGAGATTTTGCAGTATCCTTCCCCTGCCATGCCCACCAAGCCACGCCCACAGAACCAGTAGTAAAAAAATTTGAATTTCACCACTGCCCCTGTGGATGGTCCTGAGAGGGAGGGGCCTATCCTGGCCTCCCATCTTCCATCCATGCATTAACAGCTGGTTAAGGATGACGATATTCCAGTCATGACACAGGGCGTTTGATGTCACTATTCTCAAAGAACGTATCTGGCAGTGGGTGATGCTGTACAACTAGGTGCATAATCAGTGCAGATTGCAGATTGCCATAAATGCACACTAAGCCCAAAAGATGAAGTCTGACATAGAAAAGAGGAAAATCTACCTGAGAATGGCTGCAAACATGAAATAGCTCACCAGATTGTGTCAGGCCCAGTCTAGGGGCCATCTGAAGCTACCTTCCCATTTGGAACAAATCAGATATTCCAGTCAAGCTCAGCTCTTGGTGCTTTGACAGGCACATCTGTACGTTGCATTTGGTCACAGTATGAATATCATGGCCTTGTTCTGGGAAGCTTCTTTAATGCCCCAGACAAGCCTACAACCATGGAAAAGCTTCCTAAATTCCCATCTCAGTACTCACTAGACTCGACATGCCTTTGCTTCTGATCTCCAAATCAGGTTGGCCAGGTGCTGCCATCTGCCAAAACTCATTTGTTACAAATAACTTAGAAATCAGTCCTTGTGTCAAGGTTCTAACTGATGAACCCAACCAATTCAGCACTCCGAGACGGACAGCTTTCTCAAAAGGACTGTTTTATTGAGTACACACCATGCTCTTTGAGAGAAAATCAAGTATAAACCAGGCACTGTTAGAATAGGGATAGATAATGTTTTGATGATGGGGGTTTGCACTAAATTTTTAACAGCCTGGGGCTGGAATGGGTGAGACAATGATGCTAAGATAATAATGGGATTATTTTGATAAAGATAGGCTTGCTTTTTTAAAAAAAACAACAACACTATACCTATGGCAGATTTACAATTTCATTGGAGCGTTTACATGACAGTGAATCCTGGCGTGGTGAGGAAGAGTCACAAATGATATCCTTGCAGGCCTGATTCCATCTGGGGACTAAAGCTTGTCCCTCCCTCAATTAAAATAATCCAGGAGATAATCCTTCTAGATTTCTGCTGATTAGAGGTAAAAACTATCACATCTTGGGATTTACTGCGCCTCCTCGGCGAGTCCCCTGGCACCAGTCCAAGGCCATGCATTTCTACCTAAGGAACCAACCCTCCACAGGAACTCAATTTTTCCATCTATAGAAGCAGTTCTGAGAAATGTCGCAGGTGAGAAAATGGGCTAAAATACCCTAACTGTAACTCTGCCTTAATCTTGTTCTCTGATACCTGCTCTGCAACTGTAGGCAGCAGCTATGCCAAATTTAACTCTGGGCAGGTGGCCTAAAGAAGTATCGGAGAGATTTTGTGAAGCATTGTTCTTACCTGAAAGCAGAGACAAGGAAACACCTGCGCGATTGGTAAACTCACATTCTCCGATCCAGTCTAGGTTAGGAGGAAAAAGAAAACTGTGAGTAAATCAGGGTCTACTACTTCACAGCTGTTTTCAGGATATTAGGATTCCTAATTTGTTTGTTTTTATTTTATTTATTACATCTATATGCCACCCACCTTGACTAAAATGATATTTTATTTATTTATTTCAAATACATATATAGCCACCCATCCTATATTCCCTAATTCTAGGCAGCTCATGCCAACAGTGATTAAAAACATAGAAGAAAAATAAAAGCTAGTATCCAAGGAACATCTTCTAGCAACCCCCCAAAAACACACCCCACTATATAAATATCGCGATCACTGAGTCCAGCCTCACTTTATCCTAACATTTAGTCTAGAGGGAAAAACCACTTTTTAAGGCCTTAAAAGGAAAGGTGAGCGAACGAAGGTATATATATGTGTCTCAGGATAATGTTGCAGAATCCAATCTGGGTAGGCCACTGAGACCTGAAGTTAAGTCTTTCAAGCTTTCGGACTCATGCTGGAGCCCATCCTCAGAGAATTTTTCTGTCTCCATAATGTGCGCACTGGTCTCTTATATGCGTTGTATTTGCTACCTGGTTTTGTGTGGCTTTTAGTTGTTAATTGATGTGTTGATGGCTGGCTGTTAAATCATTTGTTGTTCTTTCCTTGTGCTGCTGGGTCCTTGGCTTCTAAGTACTTGATCAGCTGGTGGTAAATCAGCACGCCTGTTGACTGACAAGAGGCCAGTTTCCCAGGCTTCAATCAATTCCTGGGCTATTTTTGTCACTGCTCGGCCAACAAACTTAGTAACTGTGAAATTGAATGTATGTCCTTGTTCATTGCAATGTGATGCTAGCAATGAGCTCAGGTGAGTGGCTGCTGATTTCAAGGAGAAGGATGTTCCACAGGACAGAGGCTACTATGGACAAGAAACTGCTTCACAGTTGTGGCGAGATGACAACAATTAAGAGAAAGGACCTGGAGCATTCCATCCTATCTGATCTGATGGAGTGGGCAGCGAGAAGCAGTCCACAGATAACTTTATAGCTGTTACAATAAAAGTAGTCCTGGATGGCATTGGTTTCTTAGTCTGGTCTACCTTATAGGGCTGACGCTTGCTTTTTCTTTAGGCTGAAATATCAACCATTTCTGATTTTCATCTAAGAAGCAACATCTTGTTATCCTTAATAACAACAATGGGAAATCTCTTGATTTTAGTCATTCTTTCCTTGAGTTGGGAATAAAACCCTGGAGATCTGATTTCCCCGAACCTCCATATCATCTTCATTTGGAAGCAGTAACAAAATTATCAAGGTTTATAAGCATCCAAGAAAAAAGGAAATGGGGAAAACAATATGCAGGTAGTCTTCGTTTAACAATAACTTGTTCAGTGACAATTCAAAGTTTCAATGCACTGGTGAAATGCAGCTGGTTCTATCCAGCTCGGGCGAACCAGTAGTGCCAGCGGCGGGAAGCTCCGCCCACCCGCCCAGACGTCATCATGTCCCATTTTTGATGCTATGCGCATGCACAGAAGGTCCTGTGCATGCGCAGAGGTGTCGCGCACGAGTGAAGTGAGTGTGCACGTGCACACTCCCATTTGCGAGCCGGTAGCGAAAGTAAGTGGATTTCACCCCTGTTTCAATGGCACTGAACGAGTGGTACTTTTGACTGCCAGCAATCACAGTGTCTCTGCAGTCATGTGATCACAATCTGGTTCACACCTATGACAGTTGCTATGTTTCATGGTCACATGATGCGCATTGGTGACCTTTCCCTGCCGGCTTCCTGCAAGCAAAGTCAACGGGGCAGCCAGCAGGGAAGGTTGCAAGTTGCTCCAATAGTCACTTGTCAGGTCTGCCATCTTCAGCTTCTTCATTCTGCTGGCCTCCTGCCATAAAATGTGGGAGAGGAGGGGAAAAGGAATTTGGGGAAGTAAAGTTCGGGCATGAGCATGGGAAGACAAACAGAGGGCGGGGAGCCACGCTGACAAGAACCAGAGGTGCCAAACTGGAATGAGCCAGCTGCCAAGGACACACGGCCTGGGAACAGAATGTGAAACTACATCGAGAGGCGGCAAGCATCAAAGCAGTTTCCAAAACTTCAAACTGGCATATTATCGGGCGCTGATGGATTGATCAAAGGGGGAGGAGCAGAGAAAGGGGAAAAGGGTAACCTTTACAAGGGAATGCTCACATCTAGCTTTACTTTAGCTGCAATCATTTAACTTTAGTAAAAAAAAAAAAAAAAAACCCAAAACCTATCACTTCAACCAGATGGAGTTGAGAGTCTTTCTTTCTTAAATGTCTAAGTTGGGGCAGGTCTGACACTCTCCCACCACCCAGCAGCAGTGACTCCCGATCCCATTCAGTGTCTCACCAGCCAATTGTGCACCTTCTCCCACCAAAAGCAGCCACTTACTTGCCTGCCAGCCTGTCTGCGACTCCCCTGGGACTCGCTTAAAGGCCTGTGATCTTCACTTCACAATAGTAATGGAAGTGCCAGGATTGCTCTTGCTAAGCGACGAGGTCATGTGACACCACGTTATGATCACATTGTGTAGCGATAGAAGTTCTGGTTCCAATTGCTGTTGTTAGGCAAGGACTACCTTGATCCTGACAGGAAGGTACTAGGCTTGACAAACATTGGGGAAAAAACTTCACTTACCAGCAACCTGGGAGTCTCCTGATCAAGGCCTTTAAATCCATCCGTCCGATTCAGATACAACCACAGTTTGAAATGCTGTCCCTTAGGGATGTTTCCCACATGTAGAATTGCCGACTGTAGTCCCACAGAACTGGATAAACTTGGTACTGTAAGACAAAATTTGTTATTAGCATTCCACAGCATTGAGGGCTCACATCAGCTGTCTAGCACTGCATAATCCAAATGGGGCTTTTGTTCAGGGGTGGGCTTCAGATCCTTTAGCAACGGGTTCGCTGCCCTGTTGCTGGGTGGGCGTGGCCATGGTGGGCATGGCCTAGTCAGCCGCCTGCACCACAGTGGGCTTTTTCTCCCTCCCCAGGCTCTGGAGGCTTTCCTCAAGCCTCCGGGAGGGCGAAAACACCTTCCCCCGAGGTCTGAAGGCCGGAAACAGACCTGTTTCTGGACTTCCAGAACCTCCGGTAGGCCCATTTTTTTGCCCTCCCAGACCCTCCGCGCTGCTCCTGCACTTACCTGGAATGATGAACGGGCCGCGTGGAGACTGGGAGGGGCAGGGTGGGGTGGGCGTAGCCAGCCAACGGTGGCATTTGGCGGTTCGCCAAACCCTGGCGATCCTTGGCTAGAGGATTGCCCGAACCCTGCCGAATCCCCCGGAGCCCACCACTGCTTTTGTTTCCTGGGAGATCAAAAAGCATCTAATGCTGTTCCCCCTGTTATCATTTTTACTACTTCAATCAGTGGTGGGTTTCAAAAATTTTTTACTACCAGTTCTGTGGGTGTGGCTTGTTAGGTGTGGCATGGTTTGTTGGGCGTTGCTTGCTGGGTGTGGGAGGGGAAGGATACTGTAAAATCTCCATTCCCACCCCACTCCAGGGGAAGAATACTGTAAAATCTCCATTCCCTCCCCATTCCATGGGAAGGTTACTGCAAAATCCCTATTTCCTCCCAATCAGCTGGGACTCGGGAGGCAGAGAATAGATGGGGGCGGGGCCAGTCAGAGGTGGTAGTTACCGGTTCTCCAAACTACTCAAAATTTCTGCTACCGGTTCCCCAGAACTGGTCAGAACCTGCTGAAACCCACAAAATATGTTTTTTTTTAAAGTAAACTGTCCAATATGATGAAATTGATTAATCTCATTAAGTTTGAAGCAAGAAAAATCAGTTTTTTTTAAAAAAATCACCCAGCTGGCTGGATGACCTTGGGCCTTGAGTGATCTTGAGTCACTCTCTCTCAACTAAACTCACCTCACAGGGCTGTAGCTGGGGGGCAAATAGGAGGAGGGAGGATTGTTTGCTGCTTTGAGTTATTTATGAAACTATTAAAAGTGGAATATAAATAAACAAACACAGGTAGTCCTCGAGTTACGACCACAATTCAGCCCCAAATTTCCATGACCAAGCTAGAGAGTTAACTGAACGTTGTCCCATTTTATGATCTTTCTTGCTACGGTTGTTAAACGAATCTGCCTTCCCCATTGACTTTGCTTGTCAGAGAGTCGCGAAAGGGGATCGCATGATCCCAGGATATTGTAACTGTCATAAATACATGCCAGTTGTCAAATGTCCAAATTTTGATCGTGTGACCATGGGGATACGACAGAAGTAATAAAAAACAGTCGTAAGTCAATTTTTCCAGTGATGTTGCAACTTCGAATGGTCATTCATTCTTAAATACCAAGTTTCATGTAATGAATATAATCATCTAATGCCTTGGTAAGACCACACTTGGAATACTGTATCCAGTTTTGGTCATCACGATATAAAAAAGACTCTAGAAAGAGTGCAGAGAAGAGCAACAAAGATGATTAGGGGACTGGAGGCTAAAACATACGAAAAACGGTTGCAGGAACTGGGTATGTCTAGTTTAATGAAAAGAAGGACTAGGGACATGATAGCTGTGTCCCAATATCTCAGGGGCTGCCACAAAGAAGAGGGAGTCAAGCTATTCTCCAAAGCACCTTTGGAGGGCAGGAGAAGAAGCAATGGGTGGAAACTAATCAAGGAGAGAAGCAACTTAGAACTAAGGAGAAATTTCCTGACAGTTAGAACCATTAATCAGTGGAACAACTTGCCTCCAGAAGTTGTGAATGCTCCAACACTGGAAGTTTTAAATAAGAGATTAGATAACCATTTATCTGAAGTGGTGTAGGGTTTCCTGCCTAAGCAGGGGGGTGGACTAGAAGACCTTCAAGGTCCCTTCCAACTCTGTTATTCTGTTTTTTGTTTTTTGTTTTTTCATGTGAATTTTGCAGAGCTGCTAGTAAATTATTTAGGACAATTGGAACTGACTGCATTCTGTAGCCCAGAATTACGTATTATAGATAAGATGACCTGTGCAAATTTTATTTAATATTTCAAATATTCCTCAGGCAGAGAAAGTCAAACTTCACCCTACAGTAATAAGAATATGAAATTTGGTATTTAAGAATGAATGTCAGGGCCTAGACGTCCAGCCTTGCACAATAATCTGACCGTCTTCCTAAAAGAAAATCTGAATTAGGAAAGCTTCTAGCATGTGTCATAACTATATAAAAATTTAAATAATAAATAAAATAATACTGTATTATTATTTAATTATTAATACTGTAATAATCATACATCAGAAGGAATGCGAATGAAATACTTAGTGGATTGAGTCACACAACATAGTCATAATAGGGCTGAATGTGCTGTGTCGATGCAGTTGTTCTAGCTTGTAAGTTATGGCTTATGGTTTAAACTGTGATTTGAAGCCTTGTTTGCCCCTGGATGTTCTGGCTATGGGGTTTGATCCAAGGGGAAAAAAATGTGGTTCTTTTATGCTACAAAAAGGAATTATTGGAGTTGCTTGAATCCCTGCTGATGCATACACTGAGAAGAAAGTATTGATAGGGGAGTCGGCACATTGCAGCATACCTTGACACAGGTGAATGGCATCTGTGGCGTTGGGCCAGGTACAGTCTATGAACAGAACACAGAGAGACATCCAGTGGGCGGGGAGGTTCAGACTGATTTTATCAAATGGATTTATTGCTCCATTTCTTATTTCTGGAGAACTCACCTGGTCCATGGTGCGTGACTTGTAACACACCTGCAGAATGATAGCGAGGCCACGTGAAGACGGTGAGATGCAACTCCCCACTGGGAGCTACTGGGAAGCAGTTGTATTGCAGAGATTCCTAAAAAGGAAGAGGGGGAAAAAAATCAAAGAGCTTTTCTCATCCAGATTGAATTGAATTGAATAAGCTTTATTGTAATTTTCCTGTATACTGTACACGATGGCACACATTAAAATGAAATTCTGATCTACTGCTCTCGAAAATAAGAAAATCACTCACCAATGTCCCCATCCCAAAGGTAATAATAATAATAACAATAATAATATAATTGCAGCAGCATCCAAAAATGCCAAAGTATACAAAAATGACACTAAGACATAAACACATAGTTGTGATTAATACAGTCCATTTTCAATACATAGTGGAAAAAAGAGCCTTGAGACTTTACAAGATTGTAATTTACAAGATTGTAAAAGACCAAGATACATGGTACAACGTTGTTACAGAATCTAGTTTTCTGCTTCAAATACTTATTATGGCATGGTTGGACTATGGTTCCCAATGTCTAGAGCCAGCACAATTGGGAAAATGTTATACAGAATGCAGTACAATAACCAGAATACATCTTCTTCAGCAATCAACACCCAGATAAGCAGGGATTAGCACCAGACAAAAATCAAGCAGAAAACAATACCACAATCAATACAACATAATACTAAAGAGAAAACCAAACAACACGGGCAGAAAAAACTATAAACAGGGGGCAAATCCTATACCCCATACCAGTGGTGAAATCTGAACCGGTTTGCTACCGGTTCACTGGCAGTGCATGCGCGCCATGCGCCAAACACATGCCGGGCACGCACATGTGCAGTGCGCATCAAATGCAAGCTGCACGTGTGCATGCGCAGTGCACGCCAAAAGGAGGCTTGGGAAGGTAAGTAGAACAGCGCGGGGGGGATGTGATCAGCTGTGGCGCGTGATTGTGGGAACCATTTTAAAAACTTTTTTAAAGCATTTTTTACTACCGGTTCGGGCAAATAGGTAGTAAAAAATGCTTTTAAAAAGTAAAAAAAAAGAGATTCTGACAATCACAGCTGTGCCACACGATCGTCGGAGCCTTTTTTTTTTTACTTTCTTAAGACATTTTTTTACTACCTATTCGCCTGAACCGGTAGTAAAAAAAATGCTTTTAAAAGGTTAAAAAAAAAAAAGCTGTGCCGTGCAATCATCGGAACCTTTTTAAAAACTTTTTAAAAGCATTTTTTAACTACCGGTTCAGGCGAACCGGCCTGAACCGGTAGCATTTCACCTCTGCCCCATGCCTTATAGTACTGATAATATTACCTAGTCAGGTAATGAAATACCTGCAAGAAAACAACCAAGCTCCAAAAGCATCAAAGACTATAATTCAATCCTGAGCTACAGATATTCTCTTCTGTTAAAACAGGAGCATGTAAGATAATTGGGAAAGACTGCCTGGATAAATTAGGTGAGACGAATACAATTCACGGTCCATTTATTAAGGGGTGGGGTTCTTAAAATAGCAGCTCTCTGTAATTCTCCACTGCCTGGATGCCAGTTCTAAAGGTACTGGTACTACTGAAGGCATCCCCCAGGCATATCAAGGTGGTGGCCACAACAGTGTGACCAAAGCTCTGTCCTTCTTTATATATATGACAGTTCCATCCCTCTGCATGTGTGTGATGCACAGAAAAGGAGTTCAATCACACTCTTTGATCCATCGTGACATTTGATCCCACCTTGAAAACACCCCTGGGGCAGTGCGGATATTTTGCAACCACATCTTGTAAAGTTTAGCAACATGAAAACCACAAGATTTTTTTAAAATTCAAAATCTAAGTTCCAAAAGCCCTAAAGCAGCTGCTGGCTGGGGGATTCTAGGAGTTGAAGTCCACCCATCTTCAAGCTACCAAGGTTGAGAAACACTGCCCTAAAGACTTTGATAGTCCCTTTGATAGGGAGAGCCCTATCAAATCCTGTACCTGTTAATAGTGGTGTCCCCCAAGGCAGCCTTCTAGGACCAACACTCTTCATACTATACATAAATGACCTTGGCGATCATATTACAACTGCGTTCTCTTCGCCGATGATGTCAAACTATTTAACACCACTGACAATGCTGTTACCCTTCAAAAAAGACCTTGACTTTGTGTCAGAATGGCAATTGGCAACTCCAAATCTCAACCAACAAATGCTCTGTCCTACATGCTGGCAAAAAGAGGCAGAACACAAAATACAAGCTGAGTGGACATGACCTTGTAGATGAACCTCACTCTGTCAAGGACCTTGGAGTACTCACATCTAATGATCTAAGTGCCAAAGCCCACTGTAATAACATCGCCAAAAAGGCATTAAGAGTTGTAAACCTAATCTTGCATAGCTTCTCTGGTAATATCGCACTACTAACCAGAGCATACAAAACATTTGCTAGACCGATTCTCGAATACAGCTCATCTGTCTGGAACTCGCACTACATATCGAACATTAATACAACTGAACGTGTCCAGAAATATTTCACAAGAAGAGTCCTCCACTCCTCTGCTCGCAACAAAATACCTTATGCTACCAGACTTGAAATTCTAGGCTTAGAAAACTTAGAACTACGCCATCTTCAGTATGACCTAAGCATAGCTCATAAAATTATCTGCTACAATGTTCTACCTGTCAAAGACTACTTCAGCTTCAACCACAACAGTACACGAGCACACAACAGATACAAACTTAAGGTAAACCGCTCCAAACTCGATAGCAGAAAATATGACTTCAGCAACAGAGTGGTCAATGCCTGGAATGCAGTACTTGACTCTGTGGTTTCATCCCAACCCCCCCCAAATTTTAACCTAAGACTTTCTACTGTTGACCTCACCCCATTCCTAAGAGGCCTGTAAGGGGCATGCATAAGAGCACCAGCGTGCCTACCATCCCTGTCCTAATGTTTCCTCCATTCGTATCTATTTTATGTATTCAATTCATACTTATATATATTACCTAATACATTCTTGACTTGGGAAGTCTGAATAGGCAACAATTGGTGACCTTTTGAGAGGCCAGAAGTTATGCAGTAAAAATGAGATGCCTTCAGTGAGGATTTCTTTATCTCTCCAGTAAATGGGATGTAGGAAGTGAAATCATTACACTAGGGCCAAGGAGACCCAATTTCAAATCTCCATCCAGCCACGAAGCTGTACAGATGCCACTAACGGGTAAAGTAAAGAGAGGGAAAGACTTGGCTGTGCCTAGATATATATACTTTATGTTAAACCTAAACATGGTTTGCTTATAGTTGAGTGTTGTGTGAAAACAGCCATCACAGTTTGGAAACCATGCTGTATATGTCAGCTGATTTTATTTATTTATATTTCTATCCCACCTTTGTTACTTTATGAATAACCCAAGGTGGCAAATATATCCAACACACTTTCCACCTATTGTCCCCACAACAACTCTGTGAGGTGGCTTGGGCTGAGAGAGAGGGACTAGCCCAAAATCACCCAAGCTATCTTTCATGAATGAGGCGAGACTAAAACTCCTGGTTTCTAGGCCAGCCTCTTAACCATTTAACCATTGATTGCAGTTTATTCGGTAAATTTGTTGTGGCCAACCAGAGGCCAGCGGAGCTGGTGGCAGACTCTGACAGTGAGGAGGTTGGAGAGGAACATGGGCCAGTCCTGGAGTCTGGGAAAGGCTCTGATAAGTGCTCTGCGTCGGAGGCAGAGATGGGGCCAGGGCTGTCCGACAGTTGTCAGCTGCCTTCAGAGTCGGACATCAGTGGGGCAGAAGAACAGCTGGAGCCTGTTCCCAGTGTGCGCATGCGCAGAGCTGCCAGGAGAAGGGAACAAGGGTCGACTCGGGAGTAAAGCCACAGGTGGACGGTGAATGGCCCCTCCCATAGGGAATAAAGAGGAGCAAAAGGGGAGTGGAGTTTGCAGGAGACAATTAGTTTGCTTAATTGGTTCATGACTCTCAGAGACTCCTTGCCAAGTTTTGAAGATATCGGCCTGGCAGCTCTCCAAGCCAGATAAAGTCTGTGACTATACATTCTCCCCTGAAAGACTTTGCTGGATGTGAATGAGAGGAATTCACAGTAACTTAATAAAAAGGGGTTTTTGTCGGGACAAGGAGTCTGCTTCATGCTCTTGGGAAGCCTAGGTCAGAACAAAATCTTAGCCTAATGTATTGCAAGAATGATAGCCTGCGCTCTTTGGAAGAAAGGTAACATTTCTATGTAAATAAATCAATCATAAGTTAATATTTGGTGAGAGAAATGCAAACAAAGGTATATGATTACCAGCATGCCTTCCTTTTCAGCTTTCCAAATAGATCAGATAGCCTGTCAGTCTGGAGAAGGCCAGCCATTTTACCCTACCTAATTCAGTTTGTGTACATTATAATAAACAAATAGAGCACAAAACAAAGTACACAGAATAAGCACGCATGTATATTAGTATAGTCATGGAATCCATTTTTTAAGGGACAAAGGACTCCATGGCAACATTGGTAGGTTATTATTGGTTGGGAGCTCCACCTGGGGTCAAAAAATACATGCTGGCTGGGGAATTCTGGGAGTTGAAGTCAGCACATCTTCAGTTGCCAAGGCTGAGAAACATGACTCTGGAGGCTCAAGTGAAGGGCCTTCTCAACTTTGGAATTCACTGGGTGACTGTAGACTGGTTGTTTCTCTTCACCCCACCTACTTTGCAGGATAAAATGAGGGGAGACCCCCATGTGCACCATTGTCCTTTGTTTTGGTGAGCTCGGATGAAATGACTGACAATGCGCAACCTGCTTCAGGATTACTGGATGAACTATTGCCTCAGGAATGGCAAACACCTGAGGCAGAGACATCAGGTAATCAACAGAAGCAGCCACTGTGTCTGAAGATGAGGACCTGCCACCCAGTGGTGGGATTCAAGTAATTTAACAACCGGTTCTCTGCCCTAATGATTTCTTCCAACAACCACTTTGCCAAACTGCTCAGAAAGTTAACAACTGGTTCTCCCGAAGTGGTGCGAACTGGCTGAATCCCACCACTGCTGCCACCTCCACCCAGAGCAAGGACTTGTCGTGTGTAGAAGAGAGCAGGGCAAAGGTGCTCTACAAAGGCTTCTTGAGAGAAAGGAGTTGTGTTCTCCTTTAATGGTGACCCTGGCACTGGATGTGGTGGTATCTCCAGCTAGACTGGAGGGGAGAGTTAAGAGGAGCTCAAGTTTGGGGTTACTGCATTACAGGAAGCAGCACACCCCTAACCTCCCCCCCCTAATCCTTGAAGCCTTAGCCTGCTGTTTCCAGGGAAATGAGGTCAGTCAGGTGACATTCTTGTAAACATAGTTGATTAGCAACAAACTAGTGTTGAGATGCTTCACAAGTGGTTCTGGTTGCTTTCACTTATCTGGTTGCTCTACTTTGCAAAATAGCAAAACCCAAGTCTCTCGGTTGGCAACAACCCTCTGCTAATCCAGATAGTAATAGCAATAGTAATGTGAATGATGTAGGAATAGTACAGGGTCAGCTATATGAACACTGAAGGACCCTCTTTATTCACATTATTATAAGAAAGAAATGTGCTGGTTTAGAGATCACACTAAATCAGCTAAATTCCATTCTTGGTAATATATATCTTCTGAGGGGCCTAGTTGTCAAGAATGCAAGGACATCCATATGAAACAAAAGTTACTTATTATCCAAAGCAGCCATGAATCTATGCATCAGCAATCACAGAACTGAGGAAGGTTGTTTAGCTAAGATAATCTTATGAACTAGAAAATAATGTAGGAATTTAGTAATTTAGAAAGTATCAATTATCATGTAACAAATGTATGTTAACCATATATGGAAAACTGCTGTGCTCACAAAATCCTTTGTCTTGGATATGTATAAAAGCAGTTGTATCAGAACTCTTCTTTGTTCAGAATTGCAGATACAAATCTGATTCTGAAACTGCGCAATAAACTGTCTCTGGCTGACCAGGAATGTTGTTTGGTCTCATAATTCCATAACAATAGCCCTTAGACTTATATACGGCTTCACAGAGCTTTACAGCCCTCTTTGAGCAGTTTCCAGAGTCAGCATATTGCCCCCAACAATCTGGGTCCTCGTTTTACTGATCTCAAAAGTATGGAAGGCTGAGTCAACCTTGAGCCGGTGAGAATCGAACTGCTGGCAGTTGGCAAAATTAGCCTACAATACTGCATTCTAACCACAGCACCTACATGGTTCTGAGTTTCTGTGTGTCTTGAATGTTGACTTTGAATCCCACAACTATTTTTGGTTCTGACAAACTTTCTGTGATGCTTTGACCCTTGGGCCTCCCCCTGACTACTCTTTTGCCTTCTACTTCAGACTTGGAAACTTTGGGATTTGATTAAGAAGAGCTTCCGTGACTTTAGGAAATTCTCTCCAATGTTTGTATATGTGTATGGTGCTAACCACATTCCTGCCATTTGGAGAGTTGTAGTAAATAACCAACAGTAAAGTTTGCATTACCTGTCTGCTATGTTTCTGTACATTTGGCCTAGGACAAGACACCCTTCCAGAGAAGGGCTGGGAACCAATATAATAATAAATAACTAGGTCAGTGATGATGAATGTATGATATGTCTGTCAAAAGAGACACACCATGATGTTTTGGCTGACATGCCAAATTCACCAACTCCCAACAACAATTATTCTTGAAAGCCGGACTCCAAAAATGAATTTGCTTCACTCATATTTCTTTCTTTCTTTCTTTCTTTCTTTCTTTCTTTCTTTCTTTCTTTCTTTCTTTCTTTCTTTCTTTCTTTCTTTCTTTCTTTCTTTCTTTCTTTCTTTTTTGTAACTATTTGACATTCCTTTATACAATATATGGCACCATTCATGATTGGACCTCATTTTTTTTTCAAAGGATAAATAAACATGTCTGTCTTTTGTGGTGGGAGGCAAAAATGACACACCAGCAGAGTCCAGTTAGGACTTTCTGAACTTTTGACACACCTAGCCCCAAAGCCAGGGGTGGGCTGCTGGGGGTTCGCAGGGGTTCGGGAGAACCTCTAGCTAAGATTCTGTGCAGTTTGGAGAACCCCCAAATCCCACTCCTGGCTGGCCCCGCTCACCCCACCCCGCCCCTCCCAGGAGTCCCCACGCGGCTCATTTTGGATGCATGGAAATGCAGTGTACATGTGGAGGCTCGGGGAGGGCAAAAAACGGGCTTACCGGAAGTTCGGGAAGGCTGGAAATGGGCCCATTTCTGGCCTCCAGAGGGCCTCCAGAGCTTGGGGTGGCTGTTTTTGCCCTCCCGGAGGCTTGAAGATAGCCTCTGGAGCTCGGGGAGGGCAAAAATGCCCCCCCCGCCATGGTGCAGGAGGCCAACTAGGCTACGCCCATCATGGCCACGCCTACCCAGCAACTGGGCAGAGAACCCCTTGCTAAAATTTTTGAAGCCCACCCCTGCCCAAAGGCTCCCCATCACTGAACTAGATCTTCCTACCTCTAGGAGAGAGGATGCCTCTAGGAATCTGTGGGTCTTACCAAGGAATTATTTTGACTTTCCCAATTGTAGGGAAGCCAGACCTTCACTTCAACACAACGAGAAGAAGAATACGTTTCGGCCATGAGAAAAATGTGTGTTCGTGGGATTTCTGGAGACAGAAAGAAAGCAGGATCAAAAGCAAAATAAGGACAGTTTCCATCAGGTAACAAGGAGCTGTAGTCAAGAAGGCCCTACTCACTCTTAGGGTGTCCCTTGGGCTGCTCTCTGATCTTGTTGGCTCCTCCATCTTGTTTTGCACCCAACGTAGGTGGCTCTAGAAAGAAACAAAAGGAATGAGGCCTTGCTTATTGGAATGCATCTATTTTGCCAAAGATAACAGATGAAGCAATACGGTGAAACCACAGACTCAACCGTCCTTGGCTGCAACAGTCCAAATGCTTAGAGCAGTTTATGAGTTATCATACAGATGTTACAAATCAAAGATTGCAAAGACAACCTTTCAAATTCAATGGATATTTGTGAATAAAAGATCCCAACTGATCTATTAATTAATATTTTTTTGCAGATTACATAGGGCTAAAAGAATGCAAAATGCAGAACAAAAGATTTATAGTTAGCTAGCAATTATTTCCTTTTCCTTTTTGAAAGACACTAAATGCCTGTCAACTTGTTCCTCTGGTGGCTGGTTGTGGTTTGAGATTGCTGTTGATTTTTTGGGGTGGGAAATTGAAATAAGGAAAAAGAGATCTAATGGCAGAGAGACTTAGCAAGGCTGGCAAGGATGAGATTTTAGCTTCCTTAACAGCAAGAGGAGAGCTCTTGAATGCTTTGTGAAGTCTAAGGACTAAAGAAGTCTTCGCTGATTTAGTGTCTGCCAGCTGGGTTGCACTACAATGTCCATCATTGCTTGTCAGCAAAGTCAAATGGGAGAAGACTGCTTATGGAGGGTATCGGACATAAGGAGATGCCTCTTACCAACTCAAATAATTGGCCTGTAACATCAGGGGTGGGCTGCTAGGGGCTCACAGGGGTTTGGGAGAACCTCTAGCTAAGATTCTGTGCAGTTTGGAGAACCCACAAATCCCACTCCTGGATGGCCCAACCCAGGAGTCCCCACGTGGCTTGTTTTGGATACAGGTAAGTACAGGTAAGTGCAGGGCGTGTGAAGAGGCTCGGGGAGAGCAAAAAAACAGGCCTACCAGAAGTTCGGGAAGAGAGGGCCTCGAGAGCCTGGGGAGGATGTTTTCACCCTCCCGGAGGCTTGAAGAAAGCCTCTGGAGCCTGGGGAGGGCAAAAACACCCCCCTGTGGTGCAGGAGGCCGACTAGGCCTTGCCCATCATGGCCATGCCCACCCAGCAACCGGGCAAAGAACCCCTTGCTAAAATTTTTGAAGCCCACCCCTGTGTAAAATCCTTTCTTAACTAATGTCCTTCCACGTCAGTGGTGGGTTGCCCCCAGTTCACACTGGTTCTTTATAACCGGTAGTAAAACCGGCAGGAGGCCCCGCCCACTGACCCCGACGTCATCAAAACACTTCTGCGCATGCGCAGAAGAGCATGCCAGCGAGCGAGCGAAGCAAGCACGCTCGTGCGGCCCCGCTGTGAACTGGTAGTAAAGGTAAGTAGAACCCACCCCTGTTCCACGTGTCTCAGAACTGAAACCTCCAGAACCTCTATCCAATACAGACTTGGAGTGGACTATTTGGTCTTCATGTCCCAGCAGCCTTGAAAGTGCTATCTTTGGGAAAGCCTGGTCATATAGCCCAATATTGGTGACACTGGCTGGAGCCTAAGGAGGAAGCCTTTTCTAGCCTTATCACCTAGGAGGAATTTTAATGGAAGATAAAGCTGGCATTTTCTACCTGCAAAATTGATGTACTACAATCAGGTATCATCCATTCCTCTAAAAATGCTAACCTCGTGAACTAGTCTGAGAACCGAAGCCTGGATTTTTGCATCTAAAATGCAAGAATCTATTTATTTATTAGATTTATTTATGTCCCACTTTTGATTTAGAAGCTCAAGACTCCCCCTCCATCTCTTTTTCTCACCCCCAACACCGTGAAGTAGCTTGGGCCAAAAAAACCCCACAATTATATCAACATGAGCCACAGGCCCGCAGTGGCACAATGGTTAGAATACAGTATTGCACGCTAATTCTGCAGACTGCCAGCAGTTCGATTCCCACCAGCTCAAAGTTGACTCAGCCTTCCATCCTTCTGAGGTGGGTAAAATGAGGACCCAAATTGTTTAGGGCAATACGCTGACTCTGTAAACTGCTTAGAGAGGGCTGTAAAGCACTGGGAAGCAGTATATAAGTCTAAGTACTATTGTTATCACCTAGGCAGCTTTGTAGCATCTTTTCCAGTTACAGATAATCCTCAATTTACAACATTTCATTTAGTGACTAGTAATACAATGGCAGCACCAAGAAACCAAGTTCCTGGGCCCCTCCCACCTCCAGCATCCAATGCTAGCAGCTGACACAAATACACTTCCAAGAACAGATGCTTGGGTCACCTCCCTTACCCAGCAATCCAAGAGTTAACATCACTTGTACGCAGGGAGTGCAGTCTCCCTCCTCTGGGCACCAAAGAGTGTTCCTTGAATTCATCTGAACCAGCCCTAGGATTGGATCTAGTTCTGGATCTGATCTGGATTCACCAAGTATACACAGAACATCCTTCTTTTCTGAAATCAAAGTGGGGATGGAGAGAGAAAGTGAATGGGGGCAGTAGAGGAAGCTCCCTTACCCAACCTAGCTGTGCTTTGCAGACTGAAGGATAGGGGGCCCTTTAGCCAAGGTTGCTTTCCACATGGTTGCAAATCAATGTTCTGCAGAAGAGGAGAAACATTCTCAAACATTTTTGCCGCAGATAGTGGTGGAACCCCAAGAATTTAAGAGGTGCCTCCAAATGGCTTTTCTCCGTTAATGCCCGCCCTCCCCCACCCTTTCTTCTCTCATTCTCCAACATGTTTTATTCGCGTGAGAAGGCACTACATATTACTGGCATGAAATCACAAGGTATAATTTGTGTTCTCCCTTTGGGTATGTGAGTGTGCAGGATAGAAAGAGAAACTGCATGATCATCATCATAAAATGCAAGCAAACCATTCTTAAGAGCTTAATTAATCCTGTCTAACTAGTTTCCAGACAAGCCACATAGGTTGCTATCGTGAACCCTGAGGAACCACACAAAACTGAAAAATCAGTTTTCGTCTCCTCGGCACCATGCAGGTATCGTGGACCACAACTCTCTCCATTCTTAGCCAGCACGACTAAGATGAGGATTGTCGTCTACCACAACTATAATGCACTAATTCGAGGAAAATGAACTTTCACACACACACACACACACACACACACACACACAGAGAGAGAGAGAGACAGAGAGAGAGAGGGAGAGAGAGAGAGAGAGAGAGAGAGAGAGAAACATATACTTACTTAGCTGACAGCCCAGGCCCTGCAGAAGGACAGAAAGGAAGGAGCAGGTTCAATGACCAGGATATATATATATATTCAAAATAAACCCATTTTCCCAGCTCCCATTACACAATATAGCCAGCCAGGCTAATATTAAAACAACTGATTGACCTTACTGGTTTACCATCAAAGATCAAAAAAATGAGGAAAGGAATTGGATGCACTAGGGAAAGTGGATAAAATCATCTAGTCCAGCTGAGATTATTTTTACAACCCTCCAAAATTTGGCTTGCCTGGGTTGAACTGAGTGAAGAGGATTTGTCTTGGGTTCTATATAAAATATAGCTAACTTATTATAAATAACAAATGTTAAAATATTTTAATAAAGTATTTGTTGTGGCCCGCCAGCCGCCTGCGAGGATCATGGCTGACCCCGACGACGAGGAGGCTGGTGTGGTGTCGCGCCAGTAGCCTGTGCAGCCGGCGCTCGCATCGGACAGCGAGGAGGCTGAAGAGGATGTGGTGCCAGAGGCAGAGACTCAGCCAGGGCCTTCAGAACCTCCAGAGGCTCCTTCAAGTGGAGAGAGCGAAGTGGAGGAGCCTCTTCTCAATGCTCGAGCACGCAGGGTTGCCAAAAGGCAGGAGTGGCTACTCAGGAGGAGGAGGTCTGCTCGAGAGTAAGGCTTGAGGATAATTGGCCACTTCCTTAGCCTATTTAAGTCACATTTAGTAAGTTTCTTGCTAGAAACAACTTGTAATTACCATCAGAGCATTTTTTGGAAAAGTCTTATCATATCTTGCTTTCTGGACTGGTTGCCAACCTTTGCTGGACTTTGGTTTATTCTTGCTACTTAATAAACTTGATAAGGACCGTTGGTGTGTGTCAATATCCTCGGGAATCCAGAGCTGGGGCAGAACAGTATTGTGAGGCCGCATTATTAGCTTTCCACAACCACATGCAATCCATGGGCTGCCGGTTGGACACACCTGCTCTCAAGTAAAAGCTAAAGCCATTTGTGTAAAATAACTTGAGTAAAATTTGGCAACATCCCATGTAATGTCTGCCAAAAACATTTTAGCTCCTTGCCAAATGAGCGAGGAGACGAAAAGTTCTTAGTCTCTCTTGGAAAAACAGTTAGTCCTTGACTTAAAACCTAAATTCATTTAGTAACTGTTCAAAATTATAACGGTATTGAAAAAAAGCATCCCTATGGTCGTGTGATCAGAATTCAGGCGCTTGGCAACTAGCGTGTATTTATGACGGTTGCAGCATCCTGGGGTCATGTGATCAGCATTTAAAATAAATCAGAATAGAGCTGGAAGGGACCTTGGAGGTCATCTAGCCAGGTGGCTGTCCAGTTTTTTCTTAAAAGCCTCCAGTGATGGAGCATACACAACTTCTGGAGTCAAACTGTTCCACCGGTTAATTGTCCTCACTGTTGGGAAGTTTCTCCTTAATTCCAGGTTGCTTTTCTCCTCAATTAGTTTCCATCCATTGTTTCTTGTCCTGCCAAGTCAATGGGGGAAGCCGTATTCTCTCCACTGCATGATTCACTTAATAACTGCAGTGATACATGCAACAACTGAAGTCTTTTTTAAGACTCCACATAAATGTCATAGAATTGGGATGACTCACTTAACAAATGCATTGCTCAGAACGGAAATTCTGGTCCCAACTGAGGTTGTAAGTCATGGACTACTTGTAATCAGTGTTTCCTACTGGAAGTACATCCTAAGCATATTAATCTGAATGGAGGAGTGGCATTCTATTTGCCATTATCCAATCCATTTGCTGACATGATGGGAGATTTGGAGAACCAAGCTGAAAAATTCAAAATGTGACTTTGCTTACTGCCACTTAGCTGAATATAAGAGCATTTGGAACGAGTTTCAGATCTTTTTTATGACAATTGAGAGTTGAGTAAATATACTGCTCAAACAACTAAAGGGAACACAAAACTACTGTATGTAACGAACAAAGTATTTAATAAGGCTATTTCATTCATTCAGATCTCGGATGTCTTCTGCTTGTGTTCCCTTTATTTTTTTGAGCAGTGTATATTACTGGCTGTGCTGCAGCATATGTCAAAATTCAGCAAACAAGTATTTTTTAAACATTTTAGTACCAGTGCTCCTCCATTTATAACCATTCATTTGGTGACAGTTCAAAGTTATGATGACATTGAAAAAAAGTGACTTAATCAATCCCCACCTTACAACTCTGCAATAACACACAGCAGTGAGATCTCTAATAACACACAGTGATGTAATGTTGAGGAGGCTACCCAACCCATGCAATTCAGAAATGTCATTTTTTTCAGTTTATTCTGTTCCATTTCCCTCTCAATTTCGTCTTTCATCTTGCCACAGCAATTAATTTGTATTTCCAGAAAATGTTGCTTATGGAAGTCCTCCCCCACCCCAGCTAAAAACATGTTTTCCCTTAACTTTTCCAAACCTTGGGGGCTTTTCTAAAATGCTGATGTCACTTTGAGGAAGTTGGAGGAGCTATTATGAATAAAAATTCAGTAATATCTTGTATTAAGTTTAAATCTCTTCCACTTTTTCATATCTAGTAACTACTATTCATTAGAGTCTTCTTTTCTCTTTCTGCTCCTGAAGGAATTGAATTGGGGAATACTCCTGTTAGATATTAACACTGAAGCAATAGGCTTCATTCGGGTCCATTGAACAAGCGGGAAAAATACTCAAACCTGACTGGTTAAGCCTCCTGACAGCTCCCTATATAAAGGCAAGCTGTCAGGCAGACAAATGCTGGATTGTACATAGTTAGAAATAAAGAACTGTTGTTTGAACCTGGTTTCCGTCTCTTCAATCACCCTACTTAACAACTCCTATTTTGCCACTGATTACAAAGCAAAGCAGGAAAAGATTTATCTCATGTGGAAGACTTAAGATTTTTAAGAAATGCTGTTTTTCCTCAACTACTTTCTACCTAATCCTATTGAAACAAATGATCTGTGTGTCTCTAGTGGCTACACTCTTGGAAGCACCTTCACACTTATGGTGATAGGGTAATTTGTAGTTAATTTACTTTATTGTCATTGCACCTGGTACAACAAATTAAATATCATCTTCAGTGTACAGTATACATATAAAAACACACATCCTCCACATTCTATACAATTGAATTGAAATATTGTATTAATATTACACTATATGGTAGAATTCAATATAGTTTCTGCCCTGGGATAGAAGCTGTTTTTTTTTTTCATTTGATTTATATGCCGCCCTTCTCCGGAGACTCAGGGCGGCTTACAATGCGTTAAGCACTTTTCAGCCTATTTGTCCTTGTTTTTATTGTCCTGTACCGTCTGCCGGATGGTAATAGTTCAGAAAAAAGGGTGCCCAGGATGAGATGGATCTTTAAGAATGTTTTGAACTTTCTTAAAGCAGCGGGAGCTATAAAGCTCTTCCAAAGAGGGGAGAGGGCAACCCATGACCTTCTGTCTGGGCAAGGATGTTAACCCTCTGGAGCGCTGTACTATCTGCCACTGTCCTTCAAATACAGATTTTGTCTTCATTAAGTATTGCAACATCACTGCAACACAGCTCCAGTTTTACTCATTCTTCCTTGATATGCCTTATCTTGTTCCCAGGAAATAACTTGTCCAGCTTTATCCTGCTGTTTCCTGTATTACTAAATCTCTGACAAACGTACAAATCCAAGACATCAAAAATAGTTGGGATAAGGCATTGTTAGCCAACAACCCGTTCTAGCAAGAGCAAAGGAAGAGAATATTTGTAGCTCAGGGCTGAACATAGAACAATAGAGTTGGAAGAGGACCTCAGAGGTCTTCTAGTCCAACCCCCTGCTTGGGCAGGAGACTCTATGCCATGTCTTCTTTTGGAAAGCTTCCAGTGATGCAACAACCATGCAGCCCTTCACAAATTATTTAAAACAGCTCCTTTAGTCCACAAGGGAATATTTATTTATTTATTGGTTCGATTTATATGCCGCCCTTTTCCGGAGACTCAGGGCGACTTACAATGCGGAATATAAACATAGCATGTCCCTACAACTCTTTAAAGCAACTGTGTCATTTCTTGGCATCACATGGCTGCTACCTAAACTCTGAAAATGATACTGCTGTTCTAAGGAGTTGCTGTGGGGTCCTTGATGCTCTCTGAGCTTGGTTGTTTGCTTGTAGGCGTTTCATTATCCATTTAGGTAACACCTGGTTAGCTAGCACTGATGATGTTACCTAGTTGGGTAATGAAATGTCTGCAAGAAAACAATCAAGCTCAGAGAGCACCAAAGACCCTACATCACAGCAAGTGTTGATTCTGCTAAGGAATGCTGTTAAGTAAGGTAAGGCTCCAAAACTTTCATATCATGACACAAGGATTCTTTGGCCGAGCTGAGGCTACTATAATCCTTCTTATCAACAATCCCTCTTCCACTAGAGGGACAAATATGCTATGCTAACACGGTATAAACATGCTTCTCCACAGAGAACCAAACTGTCGGAGGTCCTGATCAATCTCGGATGCCAAAATGCCAAGGGCAAATTTGCAACGCAGCAATAATGCAAAATACAAGCAGGCTAAGGAAAAAGGAAGAGAACAACAGATCCTAGAGATTATTTCATCCGATTCTAAACTTCGCTGCCTCCTCCCACTGCTATGACAAGACTTTTACTTACTGGTGAGCAACTGACAGTGTTCAGCGAGGTTGCAAGGGGGAAGCAGGCAGAAATCAGGTGAGTTAGGAACAGCACCAAGGCAAGTAGCTGCATCTCAGGGAGCCAAGCAATCGCTCCTCTTGTAACTCATTACCAGCGTGATACAGATCCTGTGCCTCCCATTTCTGCCTTTCCGCAGAATAAATTTAAATCCTGCCTTGGTACACAATTTCCCCGTTTTTTTTCTTCCAAGGAATTAGTGTCTTCACAGCGTTTCCAACTTTTGGAGTTAGGCTGACAAGCAGAGTAAGGATCCAGTTGACTGAAGTTAGCCCAAAATCTCTTCACGACCCGCAGGAACAAGAAGATCCGAAGAGCTGCCAAATCCGAGAAGATACTTCCTAGGTTGGCTTGCCAGATCTGACTTCGTAAATAAATATCCTCCCTTTTTTGCAATTACTACCAGGGTTACGTCAAAGGAAAAAGATCAAGAGGTGGAGCAAGAACTTCCCCTGGAATCTAGGGGATGTGCCAAAGAACCTAGGCTGAGTGCCAGGGTGCCAGTAATGAGAGCCTAAAGCGTTTCAAAGAAGACAGGAAACAAAATCACAGCCAAACTAAATCCAGCATTTTCCCAAAAGCCACCAGAGCAAATCCAGATGTTACAGTATCTCTTTGGAAAGTTTCATATTTTGAGCTGGCAAAAAATGAAGCTTTCAGGTGTGGACAAAAACTGACAGAGTTTATGTATCGGGGTTTTGTTTTAGTCCTAGTTGTCATGGTGGAAGGTCACACCACATAGTAAGCCCACAAACAAAAGGAATCACACAGTGTGACTTGAAACCTTCAGATCGAGACCTACCTTAGCTTAGGAGAGGATCCCATTTTCATGATATAAAAAGAATGATGTTAAAGAATATAAAAAGAATGATATAAAAGAATGATAAAAAGAAACATGCTGTTTCGGGCAATTCATTGTTGCAACTGCTATGTGTTTTAGGCAAAATAGAAGAAAGAAAATTGTGTTCTCAAATTTGGTTAAGTAACCAGATAGCTATATGGTCATCCAAAGCCGCTTTGTGGAAAACGGTAAGTTCTTTTATAAGACCGGTAAACTTTTGTGGACTTTTTGCTGAAAATGAAAAACAAGTGAAATGATGACTTATGGATTGAATCAGAGGTGGGTTTCAGCAGGTGCTGATCAGTTCTGGAGAACCGGTAGCAGAAATTTTGAGTAGTTCGGAGAACCGGTAGTAAAAATTCTGACTGGTCCTGCCCCCATCTATTCTCTGCCTCCCAAGTCCCAGCTGATCGGGGATTTTGCAGTAACCTTCCCCTGGATTGGGGAGGGAATGGAGATTTTACAGTATCCTTCCCCTGCCACGCCCACCAAGCCACACTCACAGGATCGGTAGTAAAAAAATTTGAAACCCACCTCTGGATTGAATGATTGAAAAAGTCTGAACAAGTTGCTGAAGGAATTTTTATATTAATGTGGGAGGAGGGACAAATTATGGGCAATAAATCCACAAATCAATAAGTTTGTTCATAATTGTTAAAAAGGATTCAGAAGTTGCCAATCTCTCTTTCTTTCTTTTTCGTTCTATTTTCTACTGTTTTGCTTTCTGAACTTTTTCTTTTTTTTCCCTCTGTCTCTCTTTATTTTTCCTTCTATTCATGGTGCAGTTTTCCTTCATGTTTGTCTTTTGCCTATGTAAAAATTCTTAATAAAAATTATATTAAAAAAAAAAATTCAAAGCAGCCATTTTGTGTGAGTGCCATGACCTGAAGTCAGCATTTCTAATGGGTCCTGTAGAACCAGAAGCTACCAATTTCTGACATAAATTCAGTAGAAAGGCCTACCCTGCTGTGATCCTGTAGGACAGTGATTCTCAACCTTGGTGGCTTGTAGATATGTGGATTTCAATTCCCAAAATTTCTCAGCCAGTGGTTGAAGTTCATACCTGTTAAACTCAGGGGTGGGCTCCTGGGGATTCAGCAGAGTTCAGGCACTCCTCTAGCCAAGGATCACTGGGGTTCGGCGAACCCCCAAATGCCACCCGTGGCTGGCCATACCCACCCCGCCCCTCTCAGGAGTCTCCACGCAGCCCGTTCATCATTCCAGGTAAGTACAGGGGCCACGCGGAGGGTCTGGGAGGGCAAAAAATGGGCCTACCAGAGATTCCGGAAGTCTGGAAACGGGCCTGTTTCCGGCCTCCAGAAGGTCTCCGGAGCCCGGGGGAAGCTGTTTTTACCCTTCCAGAGGCTCAAGGAAAGCCTCCGGAGCCTGTGGAGGGCGAAAAAGCCCCCCCCCCACAGTGGTGCAGACAGCTGACTAGGCCACGCTCACCATGGCCAACCCACTCAGCAACGGGGCAGCGAACCCGTTGCTAAAGATCTGAAGCCCACCCCTGGTTAAAGTTGCCATGGTTGAGTTACATTGCTATAGGACCTGGATTAAATTTGTAACAAATTTATGGCCCCGGATTGATCTTCATTAATCATTAGCTAAAAAAGCAGAAATTCCTTTCACTTTCAAAATCAAACAAAGGTAAGCCTTGACATGGAACAATAAAAAACACAAAAGGAGGTAGGAGACGACCAGCACTTATAGATAAGAAATTCCAACAGATCATACTTATCCTACCACTATCAGTGCTTGCTTTGGAAACGTTTATGCCAAATGCCCTTTGTCCTATAACAGAATAAAGCAATTTCCTGCCTTGTGTGTTTGATTGGCTTTGTCAGCCCTGGAGGCCATCTTTTCTTTTGGATCTTCAGGGCTGCCACGCTTAGTGCTGTGGGAAAGTGGGAGGGGGGTTGCATGGAGTTGTAGAAGTCTTTAGCCATAACAACATTCTTTTCTCTGGGAGTCAAGGACATTCAGCCTGCACCTGGAGTGGCGTGGTTGGGAAGCATCTCCAGTTGGGACGGTGGATTGATTGGACCATGTGATGGACATGTGGGTGCAGGGGAAGGGACTTTGACTTTCCTTTGGGTGGAGAAAACCTGGGAGCTTTCAGATTCGGGTTTTCCCAGATGTGCCAATATGACATCTCTATAAAATGGAACTTTGAGGAATTGCTTGCCTCGGAGTCTTATTTGGTTGGGGCTGTTACTTGGAATCCTGACAGGCTTTGTGTGGCAGGTGTAAACAAACCCAAAACGAAACCCAGCATTTCTTGGGACAGCACTTATGTAATTGATAGTTGTGGATTGAAGCTGTTGGCTTCAGAAGATGTACAGGTAGTCCTCGATTTATGACCACAATTGAGCCCAAAATTTATATCGTTAAGTGAGTTTTGCCCCATTTTATGACTTTTCTTGTCACATTTGTTAATGGAATCACTGCAGTTGTTAACTTAGTAACACGGTTGTTGAGTGAATCTGGTTTCCCCATTGACTTTGCTTGTCAGAAGGTAGCAAAACCTTGATCACATGACCCCACGACACTGCAAACCGTCATAATGGGAGTCAGTTGTCAAGTATCTGAATATAAATCACATGACCATGAGGATGGGATCAAAATTTGGGTGCTCGGCAACCAGTTCGTATTTATAACGGTTGCAGTGTCCGGAGTCGTGAGATCATCTTTGGTGACTTTATTATGACAAGCAAAATCATTGGGGAAGCCAAATTAACTTAACAACTGAGTTAACTAACAACAACTGCAGTGATTCACTTAACAACCGGGGCAAAAAAAGGCAGAAAATGGGGCAGAAAACTCACGTAACAGCTGTCTTGCTTAACAACAGAAATTTTGGGCTCAGTTGTGTTCATAGGTCGAGGACTATCTGTATAACAACAAACTATTTAAAAAGCCTGACTCTTATATGTAAGATTTCCTCTCTCACTCCCTTGTGCCTTTTTGGGTAACCTCATATTTTTGTAATGACTCCTGCTTCCCCTTTTCAAGACAATCTCCTCTATAGGGTTCTCCATCTTGCCTTATTTCCCACATATCCCTTTTTAGGAAACTAGGGGTTCCATTGGAGGTTCACCCAAAGAAAATTAAGGAAAAAGCAACAGGGTGAACGAGTTCAGACAGGAGATAATTTCCTACCTATTTCTGTAATGATTCTTATCCCCACCCTCACTTCCGTACGCACCCTGATTTTGGCTGCAACTATTCAGAGAACTGAAATTGCCTTGGACATGGGCCTCTCTAGGAATTACTGGTAGTGTAATTTCAGGGGGGGGCAGAGAAATCTTTATGAACCCCCCCCCCATTAGATCTGATGGAAAATGTATGTGCATGATTGGGGTTATCTCAAGTTAATTTAAATCACTATGGCTTGCTTGATTTCTTCACTTCTTTACACTACCATGCTTCCTCTCTTTGTCAATGAGGCAGTGAATCAATCAGAACAGGAAATTTTAGCTCCATTCTTCCATAGACCCATTCCAAAGTTAGCTGGTTTTTGTTTCTTTAAGAAAAGAGAAAAACAGATGGCAGATCTTTGACTGTAAACTCTGGAACTCCTTCGACATTATTCGAATAAGATAGAACAATGACTCAATAAGGATCTTTACTTAAAGGCCACCATCTCCTCAGAGAATAGCTATTGGCATTGCCATTGGCATCCTTCAGTCTCGAAAGACTATGGTATCGTGCTCTGGAAAGAGGTCCTAAAACAGCATCTAGTGTGACTAAAAAGGCCAATTCGAGAGTGGCAATCCCTTCCACACTGAGGGCAGATACATTCTGTCCTCTGCCCAGCCCCCAGATTTCGCTGGTTCTGGGACTGCCTCTTTGCCTCAGCCTGCCGAACAAGTGTCTCTTCGAATTGGAGAAGGCCATGCTGCGTCTTTAGCCTCCAAGCTGAACGATCGGAGGTCAAGGTTTCCCAGTTGTTAATGTCCATTCCCAGGGCCTTTAGGTCCCTCTTGCAGATATCCTTATATCACAGCTGTGGTCTCCCTCAGAGGCGATTTCCCTGCACTAATTCTCCATACAGGAGATCTTTCGGAATCCGACCATCAGCCATTCTCATGACATGCCCCAGCCAGTGTAGACTTCGCTGTTTCAATAGTGTATACATGCTAGGAATTCCAGCACATTCCAAAACTGTGCTATTTGGAACTTTGCCCTGCCAGGTGATGCCAAGAATACGTCAGAGACAGCACATATGAAAGGTGTTCAACTTTCTCTCCTGCCGTGCGTAAAAGGTCCAAGACTCACTGCAGTACAAGAGTGTGCTCAGGGCGCAGGCTCTATAGACCTGGATCTTTGTATGTTCCACCAGCTTCTTATTAAGCCATGTTCACTTTGTAAGTCTGGAAAATGTGGTGGCCGCTTTACCAATATGTTTATTCAGCTCAGTATCTAAAGAGAGAGTGTCAGAGATAGTTGAGGCGAGGTACACAAAGTCATGGACGGCCTCCAGTTCTTGTGCAGAGATTGTAATACAGGGAGGTGAATCCACATCCTGACCCATGATTTGTGTTTTTTTTCAGGCTGATTGTTAGCTATTGATCAGATATGTTTTATCATGAAGCAGAAGTGTGCCTTTATTTATACATTCATTATATTGGGTCATTTGAACGATGAAATGAAAAGACATATAAGGAAGTTTAAAAAAACAAACCTCAAGCCCTGTATGGTATATAGGTAGTCCTTGGCTTACAACCATTTGTTGTTACAACAGCACTGAAAAAAGTGATTTAGGACCATTTTTCACACTTATAACCTTTGTACCGTTCCCTGTGCTCACCTGATCAAAATTGGGATGCTTGGTAACAGGCATGTATTTATTATGACGGTTGCAGTGTCCCGGGATCACATAATCACCTTTTGCGACTTTCAGACAAGCAAAGTCCATGGGGAAGCCAGATTCACTTAACAACCATGTTGCTAACTTAACGACAGCAGTGATTTACTTAACAACCGAGGCAAGACAGATCATAAAATGGGGCAAAATTCACTTAACAAATGTCTCACTTACCAACAGAAACTTTGGTCTCAATTGTGGTCGTAAGTCAAGTCACCTACCTGTATATGTGAATGGATTTGCATGTGAATGTGGATCTAGAATTAGATCTAAATAGAAATAAACAATAATAGATCCTGAGGTACAAAACTATTTTAAATGGAAGAGCCAATTGTCCAAAGTCATTAGGACAGTTTTCCCCAATCTGTTGTCTTCCAGATATGTTGGATCTAATCAGAATTCTAAACCAACATGGTTAGGTCTGGAAGCTGTAAAAACGATGTATTTGAAAGGCCACAAGTTGGCCTAAAGCTGCATTATGGAATGACACTGACAGCCCTTCCATCAGGGGGTTATTCATCGAAAAGATTGGCAAGCTTACTTTCAAAACCATGAGGGCCACAGAAATACTTTAAAATAAGGCATGGTGACTTTAGTTGATCAAGGTTTCTACTTTTTAAGAGACCATCAGTACAGTGTTGTAGATACCTAAAGCAGAAAAGTGCCCTTTGGATTTTGGAATTTTGGAACACCGACCAGTTCGTTCTCACAGGGAGGGACTACTCAGGGTACCGTCAGTCAAATTATGTCGACTGGCGACTCCCAGGGGGAGGGCCTTCTCTGTGGGGGCTCCAACCCTTTGGAATGAACTGCCCCCGGAGATACGGAATATCCCTGATCTCCGTGCTTTCCGCCGTGCCCTCAAGACCCTGATGTTCCAACAGGTGGGGCTAAACATACGAACATGTGAATGATTTTTTAAATGTTATCTAATTCTGGGTTTTATTTAATTGACCAAACTAAGTAATAATTTTAATTAGCAATTTTACGATGTTTGTGTGTCTATATTTTTCTTGATTGTACACCGCCTTGAGTCCTACGGGAGAAAGGCGGTATAGAAATATAATAAATAAAATAAATAAAATAAATAAATAAATAAATTTCCTTTAAAAAACATTTTTATTATTGTATTTCAAGATAGCAGCACCAAAAACAGATGTAGGACCTGAGCAACAAACCTCTGCAGATTAAGCACACAAAACAAAATAAAGATTTCTTACAATTCTCCTAGCAACATGCTTGTTTTGCTGGTTTGGAAACAGAGTTGTCAAAAGCGAGGCAAGTGGGTAGCGGATTACATTTAAATTCACCTAATTGTACGACTTTGTAAGTCCTGTTCCCACTTGCTTGCACACCGCAACAACGCACTCTGAGAATACCCTTTTGTTCTGTGATATCCCCTTGATGCTGCCATCATCTTGTCCTCAGCTTAGGAGGAAAAAGGCTTATCTTCTCTAGCTAGAAGATTCTTCTTCAGATGTACCGGTGTTCAAATAGTGTTTTCCCACATATTCTGACTCTCCCTCCAGAGCAGTTCTAAGGGGCATAAAATCTGTTGGGTCACCCCATTTCCTTGAAGGAAGTCAGGAGGCTGCATTGACGGATGACAGAATTCGGATAGGTAATGGGGACAGCTGACTCCCTGCTGGCATAGCTTTTGGCCAGCTCATAGGTAGATCGAGAGAACCTCTACTCAACAGTTGGAAACAACCCTTAGTGTACTATCTAGGACCGTGATGGCGAAACTATGGCATGAGTGCCAGAAGTGGCACGCAGCACCCTCTCTGTGGGCACATGAGCCGTCACCCCAGCTCAGCTCTGCCATGCATGTGCACGTGCCTCCCGCCATCCAGCTGGTCTTCAGGTCTCTGCTGTGCATGCGTGGGGGGTGGGGTGCATGCAGGGGGGCCACATGAGCATGCGCAGGGGGTGGGGCGCATGCAGGGCTTGAGGGTGCATGCGCAGGGCACATATGCAAGGCCATATGCACATTGCATTTTGGGGGTGCATGCACACGCATTCGTGCACACTTTGGGCATTAAGTCCGGAAAAGGTTAGCCATCACTGATCTAGGAAATCACTATCTGCAGGCTTCTTTGTGCTGGTCTTTGCGTCTCTACAAATAGAAATGTTAAGGACCCATCATGTTTCGAAAAGAAAAGAAAAAAACCCCCCGAACATTCTGAAAAGTGTCAGAGATGTTCTCTACCTTCTGTGGGTTAGGAGTCCTGAAATGATGGACGTTGAACAAAGCAGGGAATTTAGCCTCTTCGTTTAGTCCATCTAGCTTTGCAACAAGATCCTCTTCCCTGAGCCTAACCTAGCTGCCTTTTGACAAGCTTACTATCCTCCAGGAGGAATTTGCTAGGAAGCAGCCCCTGTGAATCACTCACACGACTGCCCACAACATTCATATTGCACCATCCTGCTTTCAGCAGCAAGGCCACGACCTCTTCTTCGCAGTACTCTGTCATCTCTATGGCAACAGATGCCATGACCACCAGGTGATGTGGGGGGGGCGGTCTCTAGCACACCCAGAGAAATCTCTCTGCTTTACGTTTAGCTGAGCTGGCCCCCTTCCTTTTTTTTTTTTTGTGGCATTGGATTTACCGGCCAAGATGATTACAGATGCCATTTCTTAGGCACCATAAGGAAGCCAACTCTTCTGAGGCCCAATGAATACCTTCTGCCTACGGATAACCAGTGGGATCAATCCCATTTTGCAATACACCTTTAGTCCACAGCCCTCAAGCGCAGCTTGGCCCCTGCACCTTGGGTTGAGCAAGGGGGAACAGGGATTCTTCCAGTCTCCTGATGTTCTTGTTCCATGGCTGATTCCGCTGTTTCCGTGAACTCCTCTTCTTCTCGGCTTTGAACAGATGGCACACAAGAGCTTTGGCACTAGCATGGAGCCAGCTGGGTCCTGAGCTGGAGTTGCCCTGCAGGAGCCCAACCAGATCTGGCAAGTCCTGAGGCAGGCGGTAACGGGGAAGAAGGCGCAGAGCACGTGGAATATTCCGCCGGTCACACAGTTTACTGAAATAAGTAATTACCCAGTCACATCGCTGGACCATTCCAGCAGTACCCTGAAGTTCACCTTGTAAACAGGCCATGGCTGCCCCAAAGAGGTCATAGGGCTCTGGAGCTTTCCTATCAGGGCTACTTGCTTCTCCTTGCCAGAGTCCATAAGCATTGGCACTGCCCGCGCTCCACAGCAGTAGCACCTGGCCCTGCTTGCGACTCACGAGTTCCCGTTGGGCATACACCCAGGGCAAGATACCCAGTCGTCCCACGTGGCCCAACTCCCAGAGGTCCAATAGCACAGGGCAGCCCAGCGCTGACTGCAACAATGCGGCAAAGGAGCAGACCAACTGTTTGTGTTCCTCTGAATCAGGAGAATAGATGAGCAGGATGGGACGGGAATGGTGACAGCAAGGTGCGTCTGGAAGAGAAACAGAAATGAAAGGGATGAGAAATGCTTCTTACAGGATCTTGGGTCTTTGCTTGTTGGAATCTAATAATCAGCCGAGGAAAAAAACTGATCTTCCAAAATTTTTAATTAGCTAGGTTGTTTTAGGTAAAGGTAAAGGTTCCCCTCGCATATATGTGCTAGTCGTTCCCGACTCTAGGGGGCGGTGCTCATCTCCGTTACAAGGCCGAAGAGCCAGTGCTGTCCGTGGTTATGTAGCCGGCATGATTAAACACCAAAGGTGCACGGAACACTGTTACCTTCCCACCAAAGGTGGTCCCTATTTTTCTACTTGCATTTGTTTATGTGCTTTCGAACTGCTAGGTTGGCAGAACTTGGGACAAGTAACGGGAGCTCACCCCATTACGCGGCACTAGGGATTCGAACCGCTGAACTGCCGACCTTTTGATCGACAAGCTCAGCGTCTTAGCCGCTGAGCCACCGCATCCCCCTAGGTTGTTTTATTATCCTATTATTATTTTTTCCTTCCGCAACAACAAACTGATGTGCTAAACTATTTCTCTTTTTTTACTGTACTCTTATTGTAAAGGCTAGTCAGAGACCATAATAAAGATATTTGATTGGATCTTCTAAGATTAAGCTACTTGGCATGTTGTATGAGAAGAAAAGAAAATATAAATCAAAATACTCAAAGAAGCAAGTAGGAAACTTCCCATGCATTTGACATATTTATCTCAAAGACAAGACAAATGGTAAAGGTAGAGGGTTTTTTTAATAATCCACATTTGGAAGCCTTAGAAATAATTCCTTAAAGTAAGTTCACCTCAATGCACCTGAATCAACTTAAATTCACTTCTTTTTAGCCTTTCTCTCTATGCCATCTTCCCCAGTACATGTTCCATTTTAGTCTGCTTGAGTTTTCTTTAATTAACACTTAGATCCATGTAGATACAACATTAAACCAGAACAGTGATAGTTTTAAAATATGGATTATTAAACAAGTTAGTGTGGACTGTTCTATATGTAATACCAAGCAAATACGGTGTACGTGTCCCAGGATCTTGAAATATTGAGCCCTGATTATCAAATTTGCATACAGATAATCCTCAACTTACAATTGTAATTATTGCAATTTTGGTTGTAAGTCATCGTAGTGATTAAGTGGGTCATGTGATCACAACCAATTTTACAATCTTTTTTGCTGCAATCATTACGCAAACACCACGGTCATTAAGCCTAGTTTGCTATGTGAACTTTGAATGCAGGTCGTAAGTAGATTTTTTAAAAGGATCTGTTATAGCTTCAAACGATCACTAAGTGACCAGTCATAACCCAAAGACTGCTGCTTGTATTGTGCTATGAGGAAAACCAACAAACCAACCACATTTAGCATTAAATGTGTATCAAGTCTATGCATTTTGCAAAAAGTTATTATCCTTCTGGCTGACTATGAGACTCAAATTTATCATGAAACTGACAGGTCTCTGCTGCAAAATCATATTTTCTGCTTCGCTGCTTGAGATTGGCAAAAGTATAGAGTCATATCCACCCACGCCCATTATAAATCAGTTCTTCTGATGCTTTTTTACCTCTACGGAGTCTGTGCGTATTCCAGTGAATCAGGTAGATTGCCAAAGCCAGCAACCCTAGGCCCAAACCTACCGCAAAGGCCAGCAGTCCCCAGCGTCGGTGAGAAACTAGCAGAAAAAAGAAATTTGAAGGAAAGTGATGTAAAATCGCTATAGAAAGTACAGCAATTCTTGATTACTTATGCATTTCTGCAGAAATGTATTCATGTGATATCTCCTGCTTATCAGTTTTCTCCAATCTGGGCTTGTCAGATGTATATACAGTACAGGTAGTTCTCAACATGATACAACCATTCATTTAGTGACCATTCAAAGTTACAACGGCACTGAAAAACGTGACTTACAACCCGTCCTCACACTTACAACCAACATAGCAATCCCAAGGTCATGTGATCACAATTTGTTTGCTCGGCATCCGGCATGTATTTACGATGTTTGCGGTATCCTGAGGTAACGTGAATGCCATTTACTATCTTCCCAGCCAGCTTCTATGTAGCAAGCAAAGTCAATGGGAAACGCCAGATTTACTTAAAGACCGCAGGATTAACTTTTTCCATTGCAATGATCCGCTTAACAACATTGGCAAAATGGTTGTAAAATTAGGCACGATTCACCTAACAACCTCTTTACTTAACAATGGGAATTCTGTTCTCAGTTGTGATTGTAAGTCAAGGACTGCTTATTTTTAATATCTTTTAATCTTCAAAGTTTAAATCTGTTTTAAATTGATTGGGGTTTTAATCTGTCTGGGCCAAACTATTTAATTCAATTTTATTTCTGTTTTTTAAATTTTATATGCATGTATTTTATTGTTGGCTGTTCACCGCCCTGTGTCCTTCGGGAGTAGGGCGGTATACAAATCAAATAAAAGTAAAGTAAAGTAAAGTAAAGTTCCTTGGACCATGTATCTCAGGGGTGTCAAACTCAAGGCGGTATACAAATCTAAAAAAAAAAAAAAAAAAGGCCTGCAGGCCGGATTTGGCATGTGATGTGGTCGGACTCAGCCCGCGGGGCCATCCTGGAAAATGTAAGGATCTGACCCGTATCGCTTCGGTCCAATCTACCACCTCGCTTTGACCCAGTCTACCCAATGCGAAGAGGAAACATCGGGCCAGCGTGGCTTCGGCCCGGTCTAACCAAGGCAAAGAGGAAACATGCCAGCAGTTTGGGGAGTGGCGTCAAGCTGACCACGCCCACCCATCTGACCACACCCACCAGTTGGCCACACCCAGTCAGCCCTCGAGGTCAACTACAGCCCTGATGTGGCCCACAATGAAATTGAGTTTGACACCTCTGATCTGCCTGGTCCTGTGTGGTCGAACACTTCTGGAAGACGTCAGGTTGAGGAAAATTTAAATACTACAGTGATTTTTTTTTTTAAAGAGTTTACCCTTGTGTAACTAAGACAGCACCGTCCACATAGACAAGGAAACCATTAGCAAGTTTAAGGAAATGGCAACATGTCCCAAATTGAACCCAAAAGGGAAATAAACATCTCAGGAAGGAAAATCCTACAAATGATGACTGAGCATGTTCAGTTTGCACTAAAATTCTTTTGGAAGTGGGAAGGAAAATTAGGCTATAAAAAGCACGAGAAAGGGAATTGATGTTTTTTTCAAACCTGGCGATTTTAAGATGTGTGGATTTCGACTTCCGGAATTCTCCAGCCAATTGAAATCCACACATCTTAAAGTTGCCTGGTTTGAAAAACACTGTGATAACCAAAGAAAGAATGGTTGATTAGCTGAACACATACAGAACTCAGGCATGTTTTGAAAAGCACGCCTCTGAATTTTGCAGCATAATTATTTTCCTTTCCTGTACAATATGTCAGGGGATTACGTATTTTTCGGAGTATAAGACCTACTTTTTCCCCCCTAAAAGAGGTTGAAAATTTGGGTGCGTCTTATACTCCGAATGTTGCTTTTTCGAAGCTTTTTTTCAGCCCTAACAAGGCGCTAACGAGTGAAGCGATCTTCCGCACTTCGACTGCTTTTCTCATTGCTTCTCTCTCTGACGATCAGCTGTGTTTGAGAAGCTGTTTTTTATCCCCAACCAAGGGATAAAAAACCATTGCTCAAAACCAGCGAACTAATATGCTGGAGTTGAGCACATTAGTGCACAGAGTAAGGACGCTAGCCAGATGAATACCTGGTAGGTAGAATTTTTCCCCCCCTATTTTCCTCCCCAAAAACTAAGGTGCGTCTTATACTCCGATGGGTCTTATACTCCAAAAAAATACAGTATATCTGATTCATTATTTTCATGCTAGGCAATTTTTAATCAATTTTTTTTAAATTTTTGTAAATAAAATATTACAAAGTCATAAGGAAAGAGGATGGACTGAATGTAAGGCTGGAAAAACACGAAAATGGAGAAAATGGATCTGCTATCCACATTGCAACATTGTTGTCTGTGCTTTCCCTAAAGATATTAATCTTTAATTGGAATTATCATCTTATTTCTTCTTGTTCAAAAGAAGGAAAGGAGTGCTAGTAATAATTCCTCAGAATGCTGTAACTAATCTGCTTTCTCAAGAATGCCTTAATGCTTTTCTGAGTCATTGGCTTGAATCACCATTGTCGGCCCTTCCGTACGTCCTCTAGCTTGTTTCTTTAAGATCTGGATTTTTTTTTCCAAATATCTGAGCAAGACATAACTCCAACCGTTGGCGAGAAGACCCAGGGTTGCTGTCTCTACCTTCCAAGAAGCACCGCAGAAGACACAATATAATGGCCATTTTTCACAATAGGATCGCACAATCTCCTCTTTATTCACTCTATTCCTGACAGAACAATCTTGTAACTTACCATCCGGACACAGGAGTCGCTTCCCAGCGAACTGTACATCAGAACGCCAGACCTAACAAGTGAAAAAAAAAAGAAAAAAGAGGTGGAATAGGACAATGGAACTCAGTATAGATAGTCCTCGATTTACAACAGTTCATTTAGTGACCATTGAGTTACAACGGCACTGAAAAAATGTGACTTTTTTTTTGAAAAAAGTTTTTTATTTTTATTTCTCATAAACACATTTACATGTACGGTCATTTATCCATCATTTTTCATTCATCTTATCTTTTAACTTTCATTTTTCATTTTTACTTTTTCGGGGCTGCTCTTTTACCATTTATCTTTACTCCAACCTTTCTTCTTCTCCTCCCCTTCTCTTCCTTCCTGTTTCTCCTCCTACTTCCTTTGTTCTTCCTCTCCTTCTCTTCCCTACTTCCCCTTCCCTTTCCCCACTCCTCTCTTCTTCCCCCCCTTCTAACCTTCTCTTCTACTCCTCTTTCCCCTCCTTCTTCTTCCTCTCCTTTTCCCTTTCTTCTTTCTCCTCTTCTCTCCTCTCCCCTCTTCTCCCTTCCTCTCTCTCTACTCCTTCCCCTCTCTCTTGTTGTTTCCGTTTTCAGTTCAATCTAAAGTGGTATTTGAGCAGCTGCAATTTTCTAATTATCTTTATTCTCATTTCAATTTCTTATTCAATTAATATTTATTTTTATTTCATCATTTGAGTACTGTCAGGTTTCGAGGTATGTTTTTATAATATCTCACTTTTTTCCCCTTTTACCCCCACCCCGCTTTCTCCTTTTACTTGGCATCATCTGGGTATCTATTTTTTTTAATTGTTTTCTCCCATCTGTTCTCTATTTTATCTCTATACTCTTATTCATATTTCCTTTCTAACCAATCATAAATTTTTTCCCATGTCTTGGAATACATTGACTCCTTTATTCTCAATGTTAATCTATTCATTTCTGCACACTTTAAAATTTTCTTTATAATTTCTCCTTCCAATGGGATTTTATCTGCTTTCCAATTTTTTGCAAATACAATTCTAGCCGCTGTTATTATATGAATAATCAAATATGTATCTTCTTTACTATAATTTTCTGGTAAGACTTATGACTCTTTTTCACAGTTATGAGCTTTGCAGCATCCCCATGATCATGTGATCAAAATTCAAGTGCTTGGCAACTGGTTCATATTTATGACCGTTGCTGTGTCCCAAGGTCATGTGATTCCCCCTTTGCGACCTTCTGACAAGTAAAGTCAATGGGGAAGCCAGATTCACTTAACAACTGGGTCACTAACTTATCAACTGCACTGATTCACCTAACAAGGTGAGGCAAGAATGGTCATAAAATGGGGCAAAACTCACTTTAACAAATGTCTCACTTAACAACAGAAATGTTAGGCTCATTTGTCGAGGACTACCCGCATAATGATGAAGTGTGTTAATGGACACCTCTATGCTCCTGTTGAACTGGCATTTTATTCTTATCAACTTGTTGGCTAATTTGCAGGTACAAGTAGTCCTTGATTTAGAATAATTTGTTCAATGACCGTTCAAAGTTAGGGCACTGGAAAAAAGTGACTTACAACCGGTCCTCACCAGTTGTATAACTATTACAGCATCCCCACCGTCATAGGATCAAAACCATTTGTCTGAAGTGGTGTAAGGGTTTCCTGCTTAAGCAAGGGGTTGAACTAGAAGACATCCAAGGTCCCTTCCAACTCTGTTATTCTATTCTATTCTAAAAGGAAGAACGGAGCTCTGGTGGCTCAGCAGACTAATTAACATCCACTTACATCTGCTGCCTGAAATTACTGCTGGTTCGAATCTCTCCAAGGCTCAAGGTTGACTCAGCCTTCCATCCTTTCTAAGGTAGGTAAAATGAGGACCCAGATTATGGGGGCAATAAGCTGACTTTGTATAAATATACAAAGTATACTTTGTATAAATATACAAAGTATACATACTAAGTATGAAGGCTATTGCTTAACGCATTGTAAGCCGCCCTGAGTCTCCGGAGAAGGGCAGCATATAAATCAAATTAAAAAAAAAAGAAAAAGAAAAAAAAAAGAACGGAAGCTAGTCCTTACCAGCACACAACTTCTCGAGACTGTCCAAGGAAGAATGAGGTTCATTTCACCCAAGGCAGATCCCCCTGTCTGCAAAAACATAACCTTGAATTAAATCCAGGATACATTCTTCAGCTACCGTCCAGATCAGTGGTGGGATTCCAAATCTTTTCCTACCGGTTCTATGAGAGCGCGCTTCACACGCATGCGCAGCACTCAAAGACCGCCTTCGGTGTCAGCGCTAATGAGCTGAGCCGTTGTTTAGCTCAGCTGAGGCGCAGCAATCTACTCTGCCGTGCGAATCAGCTGAGCTAAAAAACAAAGGACCATAGGACAGGGAATGGCGGGGTAGGAGGGCGGGGCCAGCCAGAGGTGGTATTTGCTGGTTCTCCAAACTACTCAAAATTTCCGCTACAGGTTCACCTGAACTGGTCCGAACCGGCTGAATACCATCTCTGAAATACAACATCATTTCTTAGGCTTTCCTCACTCAACAGTCATGATTGAGTTATTTCTGGAAACTATTCCAAATCCCTCCTCTTGAGACAAGAAGTCACTTACATGGGTGATGGTATAGACAGGAGGTTCAGGTTGGCACTGACTTGAAGATACCGGCTGGCATAAGGCGGAACTAAAGGAAGCCGGTGTGCGAGAATGGAAGTTTAAGTGAAGTTGCAGAAATTTCACACTGAGAGATACATTCCAGGTAGTATCTAGAAAGAAAGAACAAAGTCAGTTGTGTTCATTCTTCAGCCAATGCTCTTGTCAATCCTGGAAGCCATCTTTTCTTTTGGATCTTCAGGGCTGCATGTAGTGCTGTGGGAAACTGGGAGGGGGGATTGTATGGAGTTGGAGAGATATCTAGCCATAATAACATTCTTTTCTTTGAGAGTCAAGGACATTCTGCTCTGCACCTGGAGTGGTGTGACTGGGAAGCATCTGCAGTTGGGACAGTGCATTGATTGGAGCTGTGTGGACATGTGGGAGATGCGGGCAAGGTCTTGAACTTTCTTGTGGGTGAGGGAAACCGGAAGCTTTCAGATTTGGGTTTTCCCAGATGTGCCAATATGACATCTCTAATAAAATGGAACTTTGAGGAACTTCTAGCCTCGGAGTCTTCTTTCGTTGGGGGTGTTACTTGGAACCCTGACAGCTCTTTTATTTCCAACCTTTTGAGGAGAAATATGTTACCGCATATATGATAAATGATATGATAAGTATTGAGATCATTCACAAATTCACCTACACTGAGGATTCTGAGTCTTTTCATCTTTTGTTGTTTTGCAGAATTCATGATGAAGACTTTGTATGCGCGCAGAATTAATGTAAATACAGGTAGTCCTTGACATACAACCATTCGTTTAGTGATCATTCAAAGTTACAATGGCACTCAAAAAGGTGACTTATTACCGTTTTCACACTCACCATCTCCATGTCACATGATCAAAATTTGGACACTTGGCAACTGATTCATATTTATGACAGTTGCAGTGTCCCAGGCTTACGTGATCACCTTTTGCGACCTTCTGACAAGGAAAGTCAATGGGGAAGCCGGATTCATTTAACAACGGCGTTATTAACATTAAAAGTGCCATGTTTCACTTAACTACGGTGGCAAGAAAGGTCGTAAAATGAGGCAAAACTCATTTAACAACTGTCTCACTTAGCAACAGGAATTTTGGGGTGCATTGAGGTCATACGTTGAGAATTACCTGTACATCCCATTTATCCAATATTTTTTTCCCATATTTAAGAACTCCCTAAAACACAATGAGATGACGTACAAAGGATATGACCCATGTTGTGGAGTAGTTGTGCGCCAGATTTGAATATCTCCTGGGAAAAGAAATTAAGTTTTTTTTTAAGAGGGCTGCTGCTGCTGCTACTTGGGTAACCAATTTTCCAAACCTAGGATAAAGACGTGATATGATGGAATTCAGTGGTGGGTTTCAAAAATTTTTACTACTGGTTCTGTGAGTGTGGCTTGGTGGGCGTGGAATGGCTTGGTGGGTGTGGCTTGGTGGGCGTGGCAGGGGAAGGATACTGTAAAATCTCTATTCCCTCCCCATTCCAGGGGAAGGTTACTGCAAAATCCCCATTTCTTCCCGATCAGCTGGGACTCGGGAGGCAGAGAATAGATGGGGACAGGGCCAGTCAGAATTTTTACTACCGGCTCTCCGAACTACTCAAAATTTCCACTACCAGTTCTCCAGAATTGGTCAGAACCTGCTGAAGCCCACTTCTGAATTTAACTTTCCGTATCTGTAGGTAGACCCTGCTTCTTGGGAATTAAGAGAATGGACATTCAATATATCTGGAGGACAACTAGTTGGAAAAGTTGAAATAGGCTAGATAGATGAAAGATGCAGGCTCATTATAAGGCAGTGTGATGGTTACAACCAAGGATGTAGGACAGATTTGGCATTTTGCTTTGATTTCTAGAAGATCATGTTTTCCAAAGGTTTGAATATTGACAAATCAATGCTTCTCAGTCATTCTGGCCCAGATTATATTGCTGAAATGAAGAGATACTTCACAACAGAGGAAAGAGGCAAGTTTAAGACTTGAGCAACCAGGTCTGCTTTTAAAAACAAATAGCTGTTATCTGTTCCCTATGACTATCATTAAGTGTTGTACCTTATGATTCTTGACGAACGTATCTTTTATGTATACTAAGAGTGTATGCAGCAAGACAAATTCCTTGTGTGTCGAATCATACTTGGCCAATAAAGAATTCTATTCTGTTCTGTTCTGTTCTGTTCTGTTCTGTTCTGTTCTGTTCTGTTCTATTCTGAGCTCATCTTAATGCCTAGATCTTGGACTCTTCTTTTTTTTTCTTAAAAAAAAAATTAAATCTTTAAGTTTGAAATCTGCCCTTCTTTGATTCATCACTTCTATACTTTTTTCCATTAGCAAGTTTCCTTGCAGTAACATCTGAGCTAGTGCTACCTGCCTTTCTGATAACATTAATTATCTTCTGCTGCTATTCAGTTGTAGCTGTACATACAGGATGCATCTTGAAGACCAAAATGCCTTTTAAAGCAAATAAATAAGCATTCATTTTATATCCCTTAAAGTTTCATGTCAAAGGCGACTATCACATCTAACTGGAAATTGTGAAAATGGTAGTCTTTCTGCTTAGCGTCCTAGCGCTGGATTCAGATTACAAAATACTATTCATTGATTGCAACTTGCAATGTACACACAGACCCATCTGCCCCCACATCTGGTTGTGGTATGTACAAAATTGACAGATCTGTAGCATGACCCTATTCATGAGGTACTCTATTTTTTTCCTTTTACCCAAGATTGGAAGGAAATCCCAGAGCATTCTCCTAATGTTAAGGCTGCACCTTGGAAGCTGTGGTTGTAGTTAAATAAAAACTGTCTCTATTAATTATTGCAAAAAGTTACTTAGGAATAAACTCTTTGAGTTGCTCTAGGCCAGTGGTTCTCAACCTGTGGGTTGGGACCCTTTTGGGGGTCAAATGACCATTTCACAGGGGTCGCCTAAGACCATGGGAAAACACATATTTTCAATGGTTTTAGGAATAATTTTATTGTTGGAGTCACCACAACATGAGGAACTGTATTAAAGGGTCGCAGCATTAGGAAGGTTGAGAACCACTGCTCTAGGCATTTGCAAAGGAAACTTGAAGGGGCAGACCATAGACTAGAATCAAAAAGAATCCAGAGAGTAGCAGCTTACAAAACAATGGTTTGTTTCCCTGTAGGAATCATAAAAGTTCATTAGTACCAATTGTGAAGATATGATGCTCATTAAGAGATTATTCAGAAGAAGAGTATAAAGAGGTCGACATTCCTGAACGAGGGACTTGGTATTCTGAGAAACCCATTCAATTCAACAGGTAGAGATTAATCATTAATCCCCTGGTCTCCCCATGAAACAAAAATGGAGGTTCGCATAGTGACTTAAATAGACTCACCTGTCTGGTGTGGGCACTCCGTGTGGCTGGTGTTCATGTAAGAAAACTAAAAAAAGATAAATTGTTGGGTTGTGACTCATCATATAAAACCCTGCAGTTAATACTTTTGCAGATTTAATACTTAAGAATATTTAAGTCCCCCAGTTAACCTTGTACCTTTCTTCATTAAACATTTGTCATACAAACTGGAATGAGGAACTGCCCTAAATTAAAGGACTGAGCTATATTAAATCTTTTAATTATTGCCTCAAGGCTGAAGCCTGATTATCTCACTTGTTTTTAAGGACTTTCAGAAATAAAGATATACTAAAATTTATGGGGTGGGGAGCAATCTGTAATTCAACCAAGAATAATACAATTCTTTTAAAAATTAAACTTTGCCAAAATCTCATTGGGCCTCCTGTATTTAACATAAGCTCGCGTGACATCTTGTAGAAGATCAAAAAGATCCTACGTGATTTGCCATCATTTCTATTTAAATTCAATATGGGAAATCATAGGGATGCAGGCAGAGCAGAGATACCTTGCAGATACCATATTAGCAATCCTTACATTAGATAGAACAATTAACCAGTGGAACAACTTGCCTCCAGAAATTGTGAATGCTTCAACACTGGAAGTTTTTAAGAAGAGATTGGACAACCATTTGTCTGAAATTGTATAGGCCAGGTCCTGCCTGAGCAGGGGGTTGGATTAAAAGACCTCCAAGGCCCCTTCCAATTCTGTTATTCTATTCTATTCTATTCTATTCTATTCTATTCTATTCTATTCTATTCTATTCTATTCTATTCTATTCTATTCTATTCTATTCCGGATTATTCCAGATTATTCTTTCTAAGGACTGATTCATTTGTAGTCCTGCAGACTACAAGTAACCCATCTAGAACTACTACATCATCATCTTCTGACATTACTTGAGATATTCCACAGAATTTTAAGTAAACATGCATCTCATATGCTTTTCTTGGAGAAACTTCGTGTGCTTTTTTATTTTTGTTTATTTAAAAGACTTATCTGACCACCTTCTTATACAATATAACCCGGGGTAGCTACAACAGTCAGATTACTATCCTGTAAATGTATGAAAAATACATTTTAAAAGAGTTTTTGATGACTGTTTACTGAATCTCAAAGAAGTAGTTTGGCCTGAGTAATTTTCCTTTGGAATGGCGCATTTTGCTCTAGAGGTGATCCTCAATTTGCAGCCCTAATGGAGTCTGCCCATCACAAACTTAAGTCGCGACTGTCCCGATTTTATGACCTCTTTGCGGTGATCATTAAATAAACCAATGATTCATTATGGCCTGTTTTTGCTGAAAAATGGAAGTAAATGTCATTTTTTGCACAAAATACTCATAAAATGAGGCCACGTGACTGTGGGACTCTTCAAACAGCTGTAAATGCAGGCCATTTGCCAAGTACCCAAGATATGGTCATATGATCACGGTGGGTATGGTCACCTTGGAACTTTGGAACCGGGTCGTAAGTCCCCCACAAGGAGGTTCACCGTAACTTCAAACACTTACTAAGCAACAAGTCATAAGTCGAGGACTCCCTATCTATGTTCATCTTAGCTGTGTACTTTCATAACAGCACAGATACAATCTACTTCAACAACCTCTAAACTAAATAAAATTCATTGCTTTCACTGCACGCTTCTACCTTCAAAATTCAGGAGGCTTCATTAGGCTTGTAATAGATCGTAGTAACCCAGTTCTTAAGAGGCAACTACCTTGTAAGGATGCGATGCGTGTCTGTGTGTCGATGTTTTCTCTTACCTTGAAGCAGAGCTGTGGATTCACATCTACGCTTTCAACGATGTACGCCTAGAGTAAGAACTCCATGTTAGGACAATGGAAGGGAGCATCTCTCTCTCTCTCTCTCTGTCTCTTTCCCAATATAGTCTTTGTGCCTCAAAATAACCCTGATAAAAAAAACAATCAGCAAGTCTTCCTATTATTATATTTACAAGGACTAATAGGAATAGGGACCATGCTGCCTCCAGATATTATTATGCGCCGTGGTGACGCAGTGGTTAGAATGCAGTACTGCAGGTTATTGCTGCTGACTGCCGGCTCCTGCAATTTGGCAGTTCCAATCCCACCAGGCTCAAGGTTGACTCAGTCTTCCATCCTTCAGTAAAATGAGGATCCAGATTGTTGGGGGCAATACGCTGACTCTGTAAATTGCTTAGAGAGGGCTATAAAGCACTGTGAAGAGGTATATACCCTCTTTCCCCCAAAATAAGACATCCCCTGATACTAAGCCCAATCGGGCTTTTGAGCACATGGCAATAAGACCAAGCGCTTATTTCAGGGTTAAAAAAAAATATAAAACAGGTCTTATTTTCGGGGAAACACGGTAAGTCACGGTAACATGCCCATCGCTCACGCAGCCCAGTTTCGAACAGGCTTTGGGCTGGTAGTGGGTGGCAGCCTAGGGGTTTGGGGATCCCTGATATACATGACACCTCTACTACAAGAGCTGCATTTGGTACTGGTTATCTCTTGGGTGCAATTTAAAATGCTGATTGTTACTTTTGAAGCCCTATATATGTTCAGGCCTGGTATTTCCAAAACTGCTTGCTCTGAGTAAATCTACCTATCCAGCAAGATTGGAAAGAGTCCTGCTTTTGAAGGAATGTGATCATCAGGGACCTGGTACACAAGACTCAGGGCCCCTCTTGTGGAACAGGCTCCCCCACATATAAACTCATCCTCTTCCCTCATCTTCTGCTTCCATGGAACGGTTTTTTTTAAAAAAATCCATCTATCTATTGGAGATTGGCCAAAAAGATTATTTTGCGCCAACATTTCCAGGCACTATGAACTGAATGTGATTGTAATTAGCTTTGGGGGCTTTAATCTTACTTACTGCAATAGGAACTGTAAGCTTGTCAGGGTCTTCAAACTCGAATGGCATAGAATTCTGAATAAATAAAGAAAATAAGTCAATGAATTCCAGAGGTACAATGTCCAAACATCTCAGAATGATCTTTCCCCCCCACCTGCTTCTCTCTCATTTCCTCAGCTAGCATGGCTGGTTGGGATAGGCTCTCTTGTAAACTGCCTGATAAGGACATTCCCTTAACAAATACCATTCTGCCTTCCACCTTTTTCCTTCCATCTGTTCAAGAGATGGAGTGTACAAGCATAAGGCCTCCACTAAGGGAGCAGGTTCCTAGAATCACTTGGCCTCCATTTTGCTACTTGGCCACCCTTCCCACAAAACCTTGTTATTCTCATCCTATTCGGTATGATCTCCATGTCTCTTTACCCAGTTGGCTACAGGGACTGTGGAATTGGGGATATCTTGACAGGTTGCCTCTGGAACGGAGTTTTCCTTCCAACAAAGTGAGACAGTGGGGTGAAAGGAGCAGCGGCCGCTCAAACATATGGCCATTTCGGTTTTGGCACTGGAACTGAAGTGTTGAAAGTGCGCCGAGGACCAGAGATCTGCAGCATCTAGCAAAATAAATAAGGAATATGAATGAATGAATGAATGAATGAACAAACAAACCAATTTCTATGTTTTTATGCTATTTGTATGCTGCCCAGAGCTGCTCTTTCAGGGGAATAGGTGATCTCTAAATATGATGAATGAATGAATGAATGAATGAATGAATGAATGAATGAATGAATGAATGAATGAAACATTTCTAAACATATAATAGTTTCTCACAGTTTTTCAATCCTACCTTTTTCTTCTGACACTATGACATTAATATCGTATTATGTTGTATAGTATTTTCCTAATGTTTATTTTGTTAGGAGAAACAGTCTTTTTCCAGGAATTCCAGACAATCGCTCTCTTTTGTTTAGAAATACTCTTTTCTGAATCCTGTCTGCATGGTCTATAGTAATCAGTTTGATCTGTCATAAAGTATAACCTAAACTGCAAAGGCAAATATGAATTTGAAAAATGGATGTAGGGTTAAACAAAAGCTGCAAACACCTATTGAAAATAAATATTGGTTTCTACCATTGCATTTCCTACCTACAGGTATCCCAGCTGACTAGGTACTCTGTTGTCTCAGGTAGAAATAATTATGGAAGAAAACATAAACCTTCCTTCCTTCCTTCCTTCCTTCCTTCCTTCCTTCCATCCATCCATCCATCCATCCTTTTGAAATGTTATACGTAAGGCAGATCACAAAATAAATAAGTAAAATACTTTAGTTTCCCAGAAAAATTAAAATATTACAACATGTTTGAAATAGTTCTAATGTTTAACTATAAAACAACAGTGAGTTGACACAGAGGATGTAATTCATCCAAGAAATGCAGACTGAAATTGTGCAAAGTTACCCTGTTTTATCTTCATAAAAGTCCCATGAATTCTGTTGGATGTAAAGAGAACAGCTAAGCTCCCACATGTATAATAGCTACAATTTTGTTAAATATAAACTGGCTGGGTTCACAAATCGCAGAAAGTCTAAACAAATAAACCATGCTAAGGCTGATGTTTAAACCTGGCCAATGAGAGCCAACTAATCATTGATGAGCCAACTAATTCTGCAAACATTTGCTGAGCACGACTTGGAAATAATTGTTTTGAACACCACAATCTCTCTTGTTTGATTGGTGAATCAAACAAGCCCCTGTCCCTTTAGCAGAACAAAAAGGAGCATTTTCAGACAACATATGTATTCATTAAGCAAGTCAGAGATTCATTATGACTGAATGATCAGGCAATGATCTGGAAGAGTTTAAGTTTATCTGTTATGTATAGTACATAGTATTGTGTTTGTCAGTGTGTGTGCTTTGACGTCATTCTTGACTCCAGGCAGCTTCCTGGACAAGTCTATGATGTTTTCTTGGCAATAATTTCAGAACTTCATTTTTCTTCTTCTTAGAGTTGAGAGAAGGTGTCCAACCCAAGGTCACCAGGCCGATTTCATTAAAATGTTATTACGCAAGACTAGAACTTATGGTCTCCCGGCTTCTAGCCTAGTGCCTTAAACTACTACTCTAAAATATTTCTTTATGTAGAAATTAGGTAATGAATATTTTATGGCAACGAGATAAACAATGTCTGAGCAACAAGATACTGGTAAAAAGGTGAGGTTAATAAAAACACAAAACAAAAACCTGTTCTCCATATTGATCATTATTATTATCTTCCTGGTTACATTCCAGATTACTAGTTTCCTGCTATCACATCAGTCTGTTTCTTGCCTCCAAGCTAACTAACAGACTTTCTGAGTAGAGAAGAAAAAAACAGCAGGGCTCTAAAGGCCACCGAGGTATGGGCATGAACCAGGAACACCTAGAGATAATCCACATATACCCACCATTGAAAAGAGACAATAAAAAAGCTAAAAAGGAAACAAGAATATTCTCTTCAGTAGCCAACATGCAGATAAGCAGGGATTAACACCAGACAAAAATCAAGCAGACAAACAACCAAGCAGAAAACAATACCTTGATCAAGGAACTATCAAGATCACACACCCCTCAACAATGGCAGGGTAAGCTATTGTATATAACCAGGGAGCAAATCTCATACTCCCTAGCACTGATGATGTTACCTAATTGGGTAATGAAATGCAAACGACCAAGCTCAGAGCACCAAGAATTCCACAGTATGGGCATCAGATATTTGCCATTTGTGAGCCACTGACTCTTCCCATAACCTATGAAATCCCAGCTCCGGATCAACCAATTATTTTTTTTAAAAAACCCACTATCATCAATCTTGCCTAAAGCAGAACTCACAGGCTTTTGGCTGATCCTGGAAAGGACACACCATCTTGCGTAAGCTGTCTTGGTGGTTATGTGATGCCTGCAGAAAAAGAAGCTAAGTCAGAAAGATGCTAGTTGATTGCATCCCATCCTTGGCTCAGTGATTAACTTCAGGTGGGGCCAAGGATGGAAATTGCCAAGAGCCCTTCAAATAATATCTTGCCACCTTTTGAATAGATCAACAAAGGCATTTATAGAGCTGCGGTGGCGCAGTGGTTAGAGTGCAGTACTGCAGGCTACTGCTGATCACTGGCTGCCAGCAGTTTGGCAGATCGAATCTCACCAGGCTCAAGTTTGACTTAGCCTTCCATCCTTCTGAGGTCGGTAAAATGAGGACCCAGATTGTTGAGGGCAATAGGCTGACTCTGTAGACTGCTTAGAGAGGGCTGTAAAGCACTGTGAAGCGGTATATAAGTTTAAGTGCTATTGCTATTATGTTTAGCCATTCTATCTTTAAGTTGTACGGCAGCCAGAATCACTTTTTTTGTGAAATGAGCAGCCATATAAATGTCATGAATAAATAAATCAATTAAAATATACAAAGAAATCTAGTGAAATCTGTCAGGAGACTGAATTTCATAGGGTTCTTTAATCCCTCTCTCCAAATTTTGCATTGTCCCCCACTTCAAAAAAACCACACTTGGAACCTCTTGAGGTGCCGCACCCACCTCTATGCACAGACAGGGAAGAAGGAACTCGTACGGCAGCACTGCAGGGCGATGTTTGGAAACCAGTACCTGGCAGGTAAAGAGAAAACAAGCCATTAAAAAAAAACACAAACAAATAAGCAAAATTCAACTCTTGAGTTCTACATGAGACACCAGGGACAACCAAATAACAGCAAAATAAAATGAGCATTAAAAAAATAGTGCCTCCGAACAAATCCAGAGTTCTAGAATCTGAAACTCATCACATCTGAACTATTACAGATGGTCCTTCACTTACAACCATAACCATAAGTGAGACAGTTGTTAAGTGAGTTTTGCCTCATTTTACGACCTTTCTTGCTAGTTGTTAAGTGAATCACTGCAGTTGTTAAATTAGTAGCACATTTGCTAAGTGAATCTGGCTTTCCAATTTATTTTGCCTTTCAGAAAGTTGCAAAAGGTGATCACACAATTCCAGGACACTGCAGCTGTTATGAATATGAGCCAGTTGCCAAGGGCCTGAATTTTGACTGTGGGGATGTTGCAACGGTCATGTGAAACATGGTCCTAAGTCACTTTTTTCAGTGCCACCGTAACTGTGAAAAGTCATTAAATTAACTATTGTAAGTCGACGACTACCTGTAATACAATTTAATGGTTTAATAGTTTAATAATTTCTATGTATTGGGGGGGGGGGGGACCAGGGAGGAAACTAGCCATCAATTGGCCATCCCTAGATGGTGCAGTGGGAAAAAGCTTGGAGGGCAAGGATGAAGGGAACATCCTAAGATGCCCTTTTGCGTTCCTGATGCCAGACCAGAAAGATTTGTTCCCCACAAGGCTTCCAACATTTACTTCTGCCAACATTGTTTGCTTTCTGCAATGCTCCTGGCCTCAGTTTCTCTTTCTTCTCACCCCCCCCCACCACTGCCATCATCCATGGGTGTTTTCCACATTAGTCTTTTTTCCCCTTTATGAACCCACCTCCTGATGGAAAGATTGGTGCAGTTCTGTGCATACCCTGCCCAGGTTATGACACAGGCGTGCAGTGATGGCCTTGGGAGCAGACACCTCAATAGCCCGGGAAGCTGGTACCCATTTGTACTGGAACTCAGGTGCTGAAAATTAAGAAAATTAAGTCTCATCATATGACAAGTTTCTTTATAGGAGGGGGGGGTCAAACTCAAGGCCCACAGGCTGGATCCGCCCCCCAATGTGGTTGGATCCGTCCCTTGGGGCCGTCCTGCATCGCACCGGCCCGGTCTACCCAACTCAAAGAGGAAACATCAGGCCAGCATGGCTTCGGCCCAGTCTACCCAATGCAAAGAGGAAACATGACATCAGTTTGGGGAGTGGCATCAAGCTGGCCACGCCCACCCAGTCAGTCACACTCGCCCATCCCCCCAAGGTCAACCACAGCCCCGACGCAGCCCTCAATGAAATTGAGTTTGACAACCCTGCTTTATAGCAACAGTCTCCCCTGTAATTATAATTATAATATTTTATTTGTTTTTCAAGTTTCCTGAAAAAACAAAATTGTCTTTTGTTGTCAAGAGGCTACAACCACAAAGCCTCCTTGCCACGGCACACTAGTTTTTTCCCCAGGACATGAGTTCATGGCAATCGCTGTACAGCTAATTTGACCCCCAAATTTCCAATGCTAAGCAAAGAAGTTGTTTAGTGAGTTTTACGATCTTTTTGGCAAAGTTGTTAAATATATCAGTGCGGCTGTTAAGTGAATCATGCGATCATTAAGCCAATCTGTCAGCCTCCGCTCTTTCATAGCTTACTTGCTCGGCTGCCATGAAATGGAGGAAGGGGGGGAGCTCTTGGGATTCTTGGGAGGGGGAAGCGAACTGGAGGAAAATGAAAGTGAATCTTTGCTGAAGCGTCTCAAGGTCAACGGTCGTGGCATAGCAAGAGGATGACCCTGCCAGACGTTTGCTCCCACATGACCCCTGGAGAACCTGTGGATTGGATGATTTACGCTGGACAGTTGGGGTGGGATGCTTTCTATATGTGATTTTCGCGCCTTTGCTTCAGACCTTGCTTTTCTTTGACTGCATTCAGTTCTTATCCAGTAAAAGTTACCTTTCTCTATGAAAATGGAGTCGGGGTTTTTCTTTATTGGATAATGAAAGGAGGCCGTCCTGACAGAGGGTTCCCCTTCTCCGCCCGACTCTGCTTGCCAGAAGCCACCTGGGAAGGTTACAAAGGGTGATCAAATGACCTCAAGACAAAGGAACTGTTTGAAATACATGCCAGTTGCCAAGCACCTGAATTTTGATCATGTGACCAGGGGAATGCTGCAACCAGGGGTGGGACTCAGCTGGTTCGTGCGAACCGGTAGTTGTGACCTGTGGGTGGACCCGTCCACCCACTCCGGCAGTATGCTGTCCTATTTAGCTGTGTTTTTTGAGCCGCGCACATGAGTGCAAGTACACACTCGAGCAAACCGCATGCACAGAAGGCCCCGCACATGCGTGTTCACATTTTCAGTGCTGGGACAAACCGGTTGTTAAATTATGTGAAGCCCACCTCTGGCTGCAATACTCATAAGTGTGAAAAACAATCATAAGTCAGTTTTTTCAACGCGATTATAACTTTGAACAGTCACTAAATGAATGGTTGTAAGTCGAGACTACCTGTGTTTTGTTATCAGCTCACACTAGAGGGCGCTCAAAGATGGCTGGAACTGGTGTTTTCCCTCTTATCCCAGTTTAAAACCTTCCAACGATCTCCTGACCATTTCTCTTCTTCACTTAACTCTCTATGCTGAGGTTCTTGGTGTCCAGCAGAAGTAGTTTTGGGATTTTCTAAATACACATTTGAAGTGAGGTGACGCAAGCATGGTTTATGTGCCCTGTAAAAGTGTCTTACCTGATTGGTTATTAGTGACTGTATAGTTCTGGCTGAGTTTTAGCTTCCCGGAAGGAATGGTCTTCACTGAGACAAGTATCTGATCACGACTGGCCACCTGGAAGCTGCCAAACTGCATCTGCCACTGGAAAAACAATGCTGGGGTCAGAAATGTTCCTTTCATTATTCCCAGCGTGTGAATCATGATGGATCTTCCCAAGCCTCCGAGGTAGGGCAGATTAGAAACCCAAAGTCATGCAAACCCATACTACTTGTATTACAAGCATATAAGTTACATAATTGCCCAAGTCCTAAGGTAGTCCCAAAGGTGCTTTTTCAAGAGGCAACTGGACTTTCTGTTTTTGCTTTGAAGATGTTTTGCTTCACATCCAAGAAGCTTCTTTAGCTTCACATCCAAGAAGCTTCTTGAGCTTCTTTAGCTTCACATCCAAGAAGCTTCTTGAGCTTCTTGAGCTTCACATCCAAGAAGCTTCTTGAGCTTCACATCCAAGAAGCTTCTTGAGCTTCACATCCAAGAAGCTTCTTGAGCTTCACATCCAAGAAGCTTCTTGAGCTTCACATCCAAGAAGCTTCTTGAGCTTCTTGAGCTGAAGCAGCTTCTTGGATGAGAAGCGAAACGTCTTCAAAGAAAAACCGGAAAGTCCAGTGGCCTCTTGAAAAAGCACCTTTGGGACAATCATGACCTGGATGACTGAGAATCTCCATAGACAAGTCTGAAGGTACTTTTCCCCTCCCCCTCCCTTTATCTTTGTGAGAACTAGCGATGGTTTTGTCTAAAATGTTTACTCAAGTTATAGGTCTTGTCCAGACTCAGTTTAATTTATCTGCCCATTGTCTCGGTTGTTTGTCTTCTTCCTGTTTCCTTTTGCCCATTGCAGATCCTTGGCCTAATTCAAGAACTACCACCATTTGAATTCTCTGGGTTTTTTTTTTTTTTTTTTTAATTTGATTTATATGCCACCCTTCTCTGGAGACTCAGGGCGGTTTACAATGCATTAAGCAATAGCCTTCATCCTTTTGTATATTCATACAAAGTCAGCTTATTGCCCCCACAAACTGGGTCCTCAATTTGCCTACCTTAGAAAGGATGGAAGGCTGAGTCAACCTTGAGCCTTGGCAAGATTCAAACCTGCAGTAATTGCAGGCAGCTGGTCTTAATAACAGGGTGCTTTAAACCACTGTACTACCAAGGCTCCTATTCATCGATTCACACTGATAAGATTTATATTCCACTTTTTCTCCCGGAACTGAAGGAGGCATATGCTCTTTTGAGTTGGGCTGAGAGAGATGACAAACCATCTGATAAGCTTTTGAGGGCTGAAGATGGACTTCAGCCAGTTCTCCTACAGCCTACGATACAGCCACGCAATTGCCTAACTTCAGCTCAATGATGACTCATGAATTGCTTTTTAAAGGAATGTGCTGATGATGCAGCCTTCTTCTCACCAGCCCTGTGAATCATCTGCAGCATCTATTCCCAGTGTCAGGATAACCGTCTATCCCCCAGCCTTGTGAATCAGGTACCACTGGTGATCCAAGAAGTGAACAGAGTCTAAATCAAAAGAGGAGAGCCCTCTTGCTGTACCGGGCATGCACCTGATCCATTTGGTGGGAAGGGGCTTCTCAGTTGAATAGAAAAGGACAACTTCTCCTGTAATAAGACTCAGTCATAGAATAGAATAGAATAACAGAGTTGGAAGGGACCTTGGAGGTCTTCTAGTCCAACCCCCTGCTTAGGCAGGAAACCCTACATCACTTCAGGCAAATGGTTATCCAGCATCTTCTTAAAAACTTCCAGTGTTGGAGCATTCACAACTTCTGGAGGCAAGTTGTTCCACGGATTAATTGTTCTAACTGTCAGGAAATTTCTCCTTAGTTCTGAGTTGCTTCTCTCCTTGATTAGTTTCCACCCATTGCTTCTTGTTCTACCCTCAGGTGCTTTGGAGAATAGCTTGACTGCCTCTTCTTTGTGGCAGCCCCTGAGGTATTGGAACACTGCTGTCATGTCTCCCCTAATCCTTCTTTTCATTAAACTAGACATACCCAGTTCCTGCAACAATTCTTCATATGTTTTAGCCTCCAGTCCCCTAATCATCTTTGTTGCTCTTCTCTGCACTCTTTCTAGAGTCTCCACATCTTTTTTACATCGTGGCGACCAAAACTGGATGCAGTATTCCAAGTGTGGTCTTACCAAGGCATTGTAAAGTGATATTAACACTTCACATGATCACTTCACATGGACTGCATCTCATCACTGGATCTACAGGTTTATAAAGATCCAGGCTAGAAGAGGTTACAAGAGGCAGAAATTCTACACCTACAGTTTTCCCTGGATGGAACAAAGTACTTAACTCACTGAATTTCTGCCTGTTATACAACTTGTATTGATACAGGTAGTCCTCAACTTATGACCATAATTAACACACACACACACAGAAACTTCTGTTGTTTGTAATGGTATAGGGTCTCCTGCTTGAGCAAAGATTGGACTAGAAAACCTCCAGGGTCCCTTTCCAACTCGGTTATTCTGTTATTATTAAGACAGTTGTTAAGTGAATCGCTATAGTTGTTGAGTTAGTAACAACTAAGGACTAGTTGAGTTGTTAAGTAAATCTGGGTTATAATAACCCCTCCACCCACACCCCGGCAACAACACACATTCATACCACCCATTTAATGGTCTCAATCCCACTGGGTTCCCCAGCTCCGCTGGCAGAATCACATCTTTAGGGCCTTCCAAAAAAGTGTTAGAGCGGGGGCCAGTCTAATCTCTTGGGAGGATTGTTAAGAGTTTGCAGCAATCCAACCAGCACACAAGTAAATAATTCAGCAGGATTCATGTATAAAAGAAACTTCTTTATATACAGTAATATGAAGCATGATGCATGTATACAATACCCATGCAGCAGAAGCCAGAACCAGAACTCAGAATCCAGAAGCACAGAATCAATAGAAGCAATATTCACAGAATCAATATAATACAGAAGCTATATTGCAAGGACAAAGCAACTCTTACATACAAATCAGTCAAGCTAAACCACGCCCAGGCTCTGAGCCATCTGGGTCACCAAACAGTTCCCATTGGCTGACCTGTTAACATGTCTATTCCAATTTATGAACTCTTATATACTGTTCCAGAGAGAGGGAGCAACCATGGAGAAGGCCCTTCTTCTGGGTCCCGCCAGATATATCTCCTTAGGGGATGGGATCCGTAACATTCCTTGCCTCCCTGCTCTAGTGGGTTGGGTAGATCTGACCGACAAGAGATGGTCTCTCAGATAACCTGGTCCCAAAATGGGTCAATCTAGAAGAGCCTTATGTTTTTGTGCACTTGGGTTACCTTAGCCCCAGTATTGTTCTGATGCTCTCGCGTTTTCACGACCCGAAGCTTGCCGTAACGGTTAGAATTTAGAACGAGAAAATCCAGTTCTAAGCCTTCAATACCTAAAGTCAAAACAAACAAGAAGGGACGATTTTATATCTTAACTTTCCCAAACAGGGTGACTTCCGTGTGTTTTATATTTATTTTGCATGATTTATATACTTATTGGATTTACAGGTAGTCCTCGACTTACAACCCCAATTGAGCCCAACATTTCTATGGTTAAGTGGGATATTTGTTAAGTGAGTTTTGTCCCATTTTATGACCTTTCTTGCCCCAGTTGTTCAGTGAAACCCTGCAGCTGATAAGTTAGTAACCCGGTTGTTAAGTGAATCGGGCTTCCCCATTGACTTCGCTTGTCAAAAGGTGATCACATGACACTGGGACACAGCAACGGTCATAAGTATGAACCAGTTACCAAGCCTCTGAATTTTGATCACATGATCATGGGGATCCTACGAAGGTTGCAAGTGTGAAAAAATGATCCTCTAAGTCACTTTTTTTTAGTGCTGTTGTAACTTTGGACGGTCACTAAATGAAAGCATCATAAGTCAAGGACTACCTGTATTACCCACTGCAAACCCAGCACTCTGCAACTGACAATTTTATTTTATTTATTTATTTTATTTTATTTTTATACCGCCCTTCTCCAACAGGACTCAGGGCGGTGAACAGCCGAGATAAGCCGACAATAAGGCAGAATTTTAAAAACTCGCCCACAATAATAAAATAACATTATGTAGCTATAAAATCATAAAACAAAACATGAAACAAAATACTCCGCCCCATCCTAAGCATCGTGTAGAGGCCAGCTTCCATTCAAGCAGGAGGCGTGAGGCTAGGCCAAAGCCACCCTACTTAAAAGTGGTGCAGGCATGTAACCAGCGTGGACCAAAGCCAGGAAAAGTTCCTCAGAGAAAGGAACCAAGTCATTAAGGCAACAAAAGGACAAAAGTTGGATCTGAGCACATGGCAAGCCTCTCCCCAAGTCTCACCAACAAAGGAGTTGGGCCTGCATGGGATGCCACTCCCCATCAACTCTGGGATAAAAAAAGGTCCTGAATCTGCCCAGCCTTTGAGTTGTTTTGGGATCCCAGGTTAATGCCTGGCAGCCTAGTAGGGGACACTGGGTAAGTGTGGATGAGTGTGCGCGTGTGTTACAGTGGTGGGTTGCCCTCGGTTCAGATCAGTTCTATAGAACCGGTAGTAAAACCAGCAGGAGGCTCCACCCACCGACCCCGACGTCATCAGAACGCTCCTGCGCATGCACAGAAGAGCACGTGCGTGAGCGAAGAGCGCACAAGCAAAGAGCGCGCGCACAGCCTCGTTGCGAACCGGTAGTAAAGGTGAATAGAACCCACCCCTGGGTTGTTGTTGTTAAGTAAATCGGGTTTCCCCATTGACTTCGCTTGACAAAAGGTGATCACATGACCCTGGGACACAGCAATGGTCATAAGTACGAACCAGTTGCCAAGCCTCTGAATTTTGATCACATGATCCTACGAAGGTTGCAAGTGTCACTTTTTTTTAGTGCCAGGGTTGATTTTAAGATGGGCAGCTATACAGATGTTTTAAGTAAATACTGTAATATTAAAATAAATAAATAAATGCATAAAATAATGTATTCGAGCCCGTTCCTTAGAAAGGCATTCCCATTTCCAACTTGACCTACTGTATAAACACTCCAAATATTCTATCAAGATTCCCCCAAATATTGCACCCTAGACAACTTGGGCTGCTCTTCAGCAAACTAATCCCCATCTTCAACACCTGGGCCCCATCATACCTGTAGAGTTCAGAGCCACATAGACCTGCAGACAGGTCTGTCTTTCATCCTTGCAACACTGAACTGTGCTTAGGAGAAGGGCTGGCAACAGCTGAGATGGGCTTTCCTGCCTCTTGTGCTGGCATTGGGAACAGAGGCTGGGTAGATCTCCCTCTCCTGTTGAAGAGAGTAAAAAGTGAGAATGAAAGGCAGAGACAAATCATTTTTTTCTAATGTCAAGGGGAGAGGGATAAATAGGGACACGGGAAATCAGGGAAGTCACAGAAAAGAAGCAGACGGGCCCAAGACAGGGATTGACCACAGGGATCCAAAAATTCAAGATGGTGGCCGCATTAAACGACCCGTGTAAAAAAAGCTGGAGCTTTGATCATATGGTTACAGCCCTAATGTTCACTTTTTCAACCTTTTTCTTTGTAGACATCCATGATCCATAATAAAAATGAACCCCAAATTAAATTAAAAAGACAACGCCTTCAAATCGATCTTAAATCTTAGTGACTCTAAGGTATTTTCTTAGCAGGAGTATGGAAATGATTGGCCATTGCTAACTTCCGGGCAGATTTTTTTTTTTTTTGTTGTTGTTGTTGGTTGGTTTCTTCCTAGTCTAACCTTCAGGCAAAATGTTGCTTGGTGGTCTCCTATCCAGGTCCTAACTCGATCCAGTCTTGCTTAGCTCCAGATTGGGTCAAGCAGATACAGTGCTATTATAGTATATCTATGCCATCACTCCTCTCTTTCATATCACTGCAACAGCAGTTGTGGAAAAGCTCTAGAGACAAACCCAAAGATTTGAGGGCCACATATACAGTAACTTAAGTCAGTACCTTCAAATACAGAGCAAAGAACAGCAAATCAGGTCCTTAATAAATTATAGAAGAAGGACGCAAATTTGTAGAACAGTGTTAACGTTGGCCATGTTGAGATGTGGGGACTTCCAGAATTCCTCAGGCAGAATGTTGATAAACAATGAATTAAAGCATCAAGCTAGAAAGTGGGAGACGTGAGTTCAGTTGTGGAATTCAGATTTTTTTACTACCGGTTCTGTGGGCGTGGTTTGCTGGGCGTGGTGTGGCTTGGCTTGGTGGGTGTGGCAGGAGAAGGATACTGCAAAATCTCCATTCCCACCGCCACTCCAGGGGAAGAACACTGCAAAATCCCCATTCCCACCCCCACTCCTAGGGGAAGGATATTACAAAATCTCCATTCCCACCCCACTCTGCAGCCAGCCAGAGGTGGTATTTGCCGGTTCTTCGAACTACTCAAAATTTCCGCTACTGGTTTTCCAGAACCTGTCAGAACCTGCTGAATTTCATCCCTGCGTGAGTTCTAGTCTTGCATTACACACAAAGCTAGCTGGGTGACCTTGGGCCAGTCCCTCTCTCTCTCAGCCCTAGGAAAAAGGCAGCAAGGGAAATCTTGACAAGAAAAACCACAGGTACCTGCCCAGGCAGCTATCAGAAATGAAAAATTGACTCAAAGGCATACACACACACGCATTTTTTTAAAAATCCCATTGAGCTTCCTAGGGGGGGAAAAAACCAGAAATATTTCAAAGCTATAATTAATAACTGTGTAGTAGAGCGGCCTGAATCCCATCGCCTGATCTTGAAGCCACGTTGGGCCTCAATTCAAATTTTTAAACTGTTATCTTCTTTGGTTGCTGTGTGCCTCAATCTTTGTATTTATGATAGGAATCATTTTTGATTTTGCCATCCAGAGTTATTTTTGAGATGGGCAGCCACACGAATTGAATAATGAAATAAATAAATATGCAAACAGGCAAATTGAACTGGTTCTAGGGCAGGGGTCAGCAACCTGCGGCTCTGGAGCCGCATGTGGCTCTTTCATTCCTCTGCTGCGGCTGTCACTAAAAATATGAGTCACAACCGGCAATTTGCAACACCCGCTGGCATGCAATTTAGTGAGCTTTTCAACCCCTGGTAGGCCAACCATGGATAAATCCAAGAAAAGAAAAGTTTCAGAAGAAAACAGAATGTTTAATTCAACTACATATGATAGTTTTGTGGCTGCTCAAGAAATAGTCAGGCACGGGAAGGGTTTTGTGGCTCCCGGTGTTTTCTTTTCTGTGGAAACGGGTCCAAGTGGCTCTTTGAATGTTTAAGGTTGCAGATCCCTGTTCTAGGGCAAAGTTTACATTAACCCCCATGCAACCTTTCTCCCTGAAGGTGTATAAGGCAACAAAGGTGTAAGGCAATGCATATGTCTCTATAGAAAGAGAACAGACAAGAAAAACCTTCCAGTAACTCCCACCAAAAACCCATATATGTTTACCTACTCCCTGGTAAGTGACCATAGAGGAGTGGTCCGTTTGAATGCTCTTGGTGACACATTTGCCTGGTTTATAATCAACCTATCATTTGTTTGATTATGTCTTTGCCTGATGTGCAAACTCAGCCATTATCTTCCTTTTCATGTAATCCTCAAATAAACAAATACATTTACAGACTGGATAAGGAAGCTTGTTTGGATACCTAACTGGCATTATGTAGTGTCTATACAATAGCCGATTGTTAAGTCTATTTACAATGGCTACTTGCACATGCTCCAAAGGATGGAGGACAGAAGTAAAACAGGGCAGGATTTCTGCAATATTAGCACTTAACATAGAAAAGAACAAGTCATCTGTTACGGTAAGGGCATGGATTTCTTCTGAGTTTCTCCAAAGCAACCAGCATGCTTGATTGACTGCATTCACACAGTGCCACGTAACAGGGTGAACTCTCTTTACTTGTCCCAGCTTCTGCCAACCTAGCAGTTCGAAAGCATGTAAAAAAAAAAATGCAAGTAGAAAAAGAGGGACCACCTTTGGTGGGAAGGTAACAGCGTTGCGTGCGCCTTTGCCATTTAATCATGCCGGCTACATAACCACGGAGACGTCTTTGGACAGTGCTAGCTCTTCGGCTTTGAAATGAAGCAATACAGGGAGACAACTAACTTTGAAATTCTCACTGCATTGTTTTATAGACACGGCCACTCCTTCAAAGGACCTTGGCTTTAAAAAGTGCCTACATAGCACTCAAGACGTTCCAGTCAATCATTACCAGGGGTGGGCTGCTGGAGGTTCGGAGGGGTTTGGGAGAACCTCTAGCTAAGATTCTGTGCAGTTCATAGAACCCCCAAATCCCACTCCTGGCTGGCCCCGCCCACCCTGCCCCGCCCCTCCCAGGAGTCCCCATGTGGCTCATTTTGCACGCAGGTAAGTGCAGGGTGCCCGCGGAGGTTCGGGGAGGGCATGCAGGAGGCCGACTAGGCCACACCCACCAAGGCTACTCCCACCCAGCAACTGGGCAGAGAACCCCTTGCTAAAATTTCTGAAGCCCACCCCTGGTCATTTGCTGGGCAGAAACTACTGCAGAAGGCCGGGGTCAGATCTCCCCAGCAGCCCAAGCCAAGGTGACCACCGAGGGTCATGCTTACTATTCAGTGTGGAAGGAGCAGGTTCAGATTCAAAGCAGCCTCAGGTAACCAACTGGAGCTGGTTCAAATCCCAGCCCCTGAGGATATCATCAAAACTTTTCAACAGCAAGAGAAGGTGGAACATCTAACTTTCAAATTTAGCTGGGCAGCTGGGAATAACATCAAGGTAATATAATTATGATTGTTTTTTTAAAAAAAGTCAACACGGTATCTTCATGCCGTGGGTAAAAGGATATGTTAGAATAGCACTAAAATCAAAAAGCTATTCAAAATCCATGAGGGCAAATTTAACAGTTTTTGTGGTGGTGCACTATTGCTCTCAAGTCACCATGCCTTGCAATCAAATCTGCATTAGTTGCCTACCAATAAAGGAGAATATGTTTAACTCAGAGTTGAAATGAGAGGTCCTTGGTGCTCTCTGAGCTTGGTTGTTTTCTTGCAGACATTTCATTACCCAACTAGGTAACATCATCAGTGCTAGTCAACATAATCAATCAGATGAGAGCACCAAGGACCCCTCATTGGTTGTCTACTCCAACCTCAGCCCAGTTGAATGCAGTGAGATCTCCAGTCCTCACCCACCCAATTGCTATCTCCATCCCTCTGGGCTCAAATTTAACACAGAGTAAGTTCCATAAAAATGTTAATTTTCTTACCATAAATACTGCAATCCTGCAAAACAAGAAAGAAAAATAGAATTAGAGGGCAAAAGTTAAATCAAAGGCCTCTCTTTATAAAACAGAACATTCACAGAACAGTAAACAAGCTGCCTGAGGCCTCTTCAGGAGGCCTTGAGAATGTGTATTGAGTGTGTATTGGAAATATTTACTGGCTTTTGGCCAAACCTTGTTGAGTCCCGGAGGTGACAAGAGATAAAGGAACAACTTCTTCACACAACATCTAATACAATTTGGGGACTTTCGTCACCACAAAGATACCATGGCTGCTGATCTTGAAGGCCATCTACACTCTTGAAGGCCATCTACACTCTTGGAGGCCATCTACATGGCTGTGTAAAAACTGACAGTTGAGAAATGGATGCAACTCCATGGTATCAAAGCACAATTGCTGACATAACCTTCGTATGGGAGTTTCCATTCTGTTGGGAAGCACCGTACCAAAGGCTCTTCTTAAATTCTTTTGAAAGACACCGAGATTCTCAGGACTTGAGCAAATCCTAATTTTTCTAAGAATGAAGGGATTGAGGAAAACACTGCAGCTGCCCACATGATCCCCATGTAATGTAATCACGTTACTTCGTTTACCAAACTCTGCAATGACTTTAATATGGCCTAGTCAAAAAAAAAAATCCACCAGATGATCCTGCTTCCCCCACCTACACAATCTTCTATTAGTCATTTGCGATCTAAGACAAAATGGAGATCAGGGATAGGAAAGTTGGCTTTCTTTCGATATTTCTCTCTGCGGTTGTTGACAGATGATTCTTATCGCAGGAGACTGGCAATTGACAAGCCAGCTTTTGCTCTCATTTCGTTTCTCAGTGTGGGGAGATTTGGCTTGATGCATTTAGTGTGCCCACAGATGTGGTTTTCTGTTCCTGCATGAGGGCAACCTCTGCTCTAACCAAGTGGATGCATAGAGAGAGGCACACCTTCGATTGTGTAACACTTGCCAGTAACAAATCACTGAAAAACATTTGAGCTGCTGTGTGTTTTCGCTGCAGCAACATTACTCAATCAGTTCTGGGTACAAGGGGAAAGCCAGGGATTTAAAGCTGGGATAGACAACCAGATACGTTCAAATTATAAAAATCTTAATTAGGAGGCAAAGTTTTAGTCATAGAAAACTGGCTGAATTCATCCGATTTTTAGGTTTTTTTAGTTTTTACAAAACTCTATTAAGTTCCACCAAACACAGTTTGAAAAAAAAAAAAACCCAAACCTGTTTTGTTTTGGGACTTTATTTCTATCATCCCCAGATAGCTTACCCAAAGCAAGGGAATATGGGAGATGTAGTCCAAAAAAATCTAGAAGGCCCCAATTTATAGGTCAACAAATACAGACTTCTATAAGTAGTCCTTGACTTACGACCACAATGGAGCCCAAAGTTTATGTTGCTAAGTGAAACATTTGTTAAGTGAGTTTTGCCCCATTTTACGACCTTTCTTGACACAGTTGTTGAGTGAATCATTGCAGTTGTTAAGCCAATAACACTGTTGTTAAGTGAATCTGGCTTCCCTATTGACTTTGCTTGTCAGGAGGTCACAAAAGCTGATCACAGGACCGCTGGACCCTACAACTGTCATAAACACATGCCAGTTGTCAAGCATTCGAATTTTGATCATGTGACCAAGATCACGTGCAAATGTCGTAAATGTGAAAAATCACTTTTTCCAGTGCCAGTGTAACTTTGAACGGTCACTCAATGAGCTATTGTAAGTCAAGGACAACCTGTACTTACTATGAAGAATAAATATCTTACAGCAGACAGTCAAGTTTTGTTTAAAATTGTCTCTGAGAGTTTTGCAACAGACTGAGACATAAAAAGCAAGCTTATCTCATCAACAATGGTAAAGACAAGGTGCCTTTGATTTCCTCCTTCCCCCAATATTGTATCCATACCAGTCAATCATCATCATTTTCCTCTTCCCTTCCCATCACTATTTCCTTTTGTGTCATGTTATTTTATTATAAAAATGATGGCAACGATTACGATGATTGACGCATATAACCAGTGGTGAAATCCAATTTTTTTTACTACCGGTTCTGTGGGCGTGGCTTGGTAGGCATGGTGTGGGTTGGTGGGCGTGGCTTGGTGGGCATGGCAGGGGAAGGATACTGCAAAATATCCATTCCCACCCCACTCTGGGACCAGCCAGAGGTGGTATTTGCCAGTTCTCCGAACTACTCAAAATTTCTGCTACCGGTTCTCTAGATCCTGTCAGAACCTGCTGGATTTCACCCCTGCATATAACCCCTTAAGAGTTTTTTCAGCTGAAGAGGAAAGGAGTGTAAAATACTTAATAATTATTTTTGTTAATAAATAAATGAAAACTGATGGGTTTTTTGGCATGGAAAATAAGATGAAGGAAAAAGTTTCTTCTGCTAAAGGTCCAGGTGTTGCATTAATGTTTAGGGCACAAATATTTGGCTGGAAGACAAAATATCTGGAGGAAAACATGAAAACCAGGCCCCTGTGTAGAATTGTGAGAAAAGAGCCCACAGGTAATATTGAGAATTTACCCTGCATTAATACCTAATTTAGCTCAAGTGAGTACAAATTCACTATTATTACATTACATTAATCCATTTTCGGTAGCAATACCTGCATGAAAATAAATACAAAGTCTTTGAAGTTCTAAACCTGTTATGGGGGGGGGGCAGTATGATATTATATAAGCAAGTAAAGTAGAGAATGGGCAGAAAGTCAATAGTTTGTTTCTCTTTGCTACAGAAAGTGCTAACTGAAAATTGTCACCTGTCATATTTAAGTAGTCACAAAGTGATTAAGAGCTTTGCAAAGGAGGACAAAATACTAAACTTCTAGGTGAGATTAACAAAATAAACAGCCTTAATGGGGTAAAAGTGTGTAGCTGTCAAGAAGGAGAAGGAAAAGGAAAAGGAGAAGGAAAAAGAGGATGAGAAGGAGAAGGAAAAAGAGGAGGAGAGGGTGGGAGAGGAAGTGGGGGAGGAGGAGGAGGAAGAGGAAGAGAAGGAGAAGGAGGAGAAGAAAAAGGAGGAGGAGGAGAAGAAGACAAGTAGAATATAAAGTTATCCCTCCTCTCCAAAGGGAATTGTATTTTGGGAAGAAAAACAGCTCTTACATTTCTTTGCGCAACACAGGAAAACAAAGCAATGGAAAGCTTTCCCCACAATCCTGAGAACAGCTGCATCTGCTAAATATCTCCCGACACTGAACTATTTTTTAAAATAGAAGCCCTATATGCACCATTCCTTAACTTATCTGCAAACTAAACAGAAGGATACCTTCCGTAAAGCCCTGAAGACGTTTTTATTTCATCAAGCCGGCCTAGCCTAAATGGTTTTTTAATTGGGATTTTAAATTTTATGGATTTGGGGTTTTAAATTTGGGTAGCCAATGATTTAATTCTTTTAATTATCTTAACTTTTGCATTTGTATGTTTTTTAATTTTGGCTGTTCACCGCCCTGAGTCCCTTCTGGGAGAAGGGCGGTATACAAATTAAATTAATAAATTAATAAATAAATAAATAAATAAATAAATACTAGAAAAAAAAATCTACTTCTGTTAATAAATATACCCTGTTTTCCCGAAAATAAGACATCCCCTGATATTAAGTCCAATCGGGCTTTTGAGCACATGCACTAAAATAAGGCTCCCTCCTAAAATAAGCCCTCCCTGAAAATATTTAAACGCAGAGCTAGAAATCAGGTAAGACAGCAAGAGGAGCCCCATCTTGCTCCACGCACCCCAAAATAATAAGACCTCCCCCAAAATAAGGCCAAGTGCTTATTTCGGGGTTCAAAAAACATAAGACAGGGTCTTATTTTCGGGGAAACATGGTACTATTCATAGGTTAGACGTTATCTGCTTCAGTTGATGCAGGAGATGATACTTTTCTGAAGCCAATGGCAGCTTAGCCCTCCACTCCAGTGCAATCCCATCATGAAGTTATAACAGTTTGGAAGTTTGCCCTTCCATCATTTCCTTCACATTCTCTATGTTCTTCTCTGCTCTTCAGTGAAACTTTATAAGTCGTAGAAAATCCTTCTTAACTTTATTACAGGCTCTGAAAGTGATAAAGTTAAGAGAACAGGCTTCCCATTTCCCATTGATCAATTGTTTTTTAAGTCTTATTCTTTTGGGATGTCTCTTCCTTCCTCCCCTTTTCCCCCCTTTTTGAGTTTCTGCATCCCTTGATGCACCTTAATGACGGTGTGTATGTATTGCCAATCCCTGTCACTTTCTCCAGGGTTGAGAGTTGGAAAATTAAAAGGAAGTGGGTGTTTGCGCATGTATGTGCATGCAAGAATTTATACTCTCTCACACCCACATTATGAGAACTTTATTAGGGGGGAAAAAAAACCTCTTATCTTTGTTGAATGCATAAATTAGCCCTAGGGATCTTGAGTTTGACGATGTAGTATATAGCTCTTGGAAAGTTGCTGTTTGTAGGTTACAATCTGGATATTAAGACTGTATCATTATCATCTGAACTGATTTCCCATCAAAGGCATGGGATTAGATGCAGGGATTAGGGAGATATTTGTTTACTTAATTTTGCCATTTTTTAAAAAAACCAATCTACAAGTCAAAGCTAAACTGTCATTCAAAATTCAAAATATTTTGGAATTGAATACTGTAATGTTGTTCATCGGTGTTCTTAAACACATTAATTAATTATTATTATTAAGGAAAGCCTTGTGAATTAAAATGCATATATGCGTGAAAATAATGTACAAAAGGCATTACAAAGGGAATTATTTGCAAAACTGTGAACTTGTAGTAAAATTCAAAGACCTGCACATTAAAATACATGCAAATTGTAATACTAACTCTATAAACAGTCCAGTTCAATGAAATCAACTTCACAGATTTGCCAAAGAAGAGAGGTGAGGGGAAAAAACAGCAAATGGATAAATTTCTTTATTGCTGCTGGGTTGCACATCTTTCATGAAATGCTCAGAGAAATGCAAGCATATTTAGCAACAAATTCGTGACATAACATGCATACCCTTTAAGGCTAATGTAAGCATTTGAAATTCTCCAATTCCCTGTGATGTTTAAAAATTCCTTAACTGCCTCTGCTGCACAATAACATACTTTTAAATGTTCAGGTATTTCTACATAGACAGCCATTCTATCAATCACCTGAGATTTTAAAACTTTATTTATTCATTCTTTTTTTGACTGTAGCTAGTGGGGAAGGTTTTTTTTTTTTCCCTTTAAAATGCCGGAAACCTCATTCCACTTCTTCTTCTCCATTTTCTCTGCTCTCTTTCCAATACACTTGTCAATTTTGTTTGGACTGTTTAAGGAATTATCAACAATAAATGGATAAGTGATTGGTTGTCCACATCATACTAACTAAGGGATAAACTGTTGCACCTTTGTACTGTTTGTGAAATCAATTATTTCAGCCATGGACAATTCTGCCCGGAATCTGTGTCCTCTGAGCTTTGAGCCCTACTCTATCTGGTATTCTTTAAAACTAACTCAGCAATGAACTAAATACACCCTGCACATATTCAATCACATGTCCCACTTATATTATGATTTTACAGCATGAAGCTGAGCTTTAACCTGCAAGACACATTTAAAGGTAAGGCTGGTCTCCGTTACTAAGAGGGCAAACAACATACCAATAGAAGAGGGATCAGATTCCATCAAAGGTACATTTTTTTAGCAGCTTTGTTAAAGACGGCCAATGTGCCCGTGCCAGTGTTGCTAACGCCATCCGCTAATCACATTCATGATGTTGCTAAACACAAAACCTCCAGCTCTTGGATGGGCCACTTCTGACCACATGTGACAATGTCTTTTCCTTCAAACACATCCACAATCAGCCACAAGTTAGCCGAGAGGAGGTCAGAAGGATATCCTTCCTTCATAGTTCTCACCTCAGAAACCACATGGCCTCAGTCTCTCCGCTGCCTATCATGCAATGCACAGGGCACTGGAGAAGGTGCCCGCTTCATTACTCCTGGTGGCTTTCATATTCCCGTCAACCAAGAAGAAATCAACTTCCAAGGTTTCGGCATCCTCAGCATTTGAACCCTTGTACCATACGAGAGGAAGATCTCCACCAAGCCACCTACCCACCCCCCTAATTCTCTCCCCCCCCCCCGCAAGAAGATAATCTCCTTACAAAGTTGGTGAGGACTTCTCCGCAGGGACACCGGTGGTGGGTCTGGAGTGCAGCAGGCTGGAGGTTCAGCAGGAAGGAGGTGAGGAGCAGCAGGACTCTCAGAGTGGGACTCCCCATGGGGTGTGGGGCTAGACCTCAGCTGGGCTGGAACATGGCTGTTGTTAAACAGTCCAAGAGTCAGATCTCTCTCGGCAGCATATCTAGGCCAGGGTAGCTGCCAGCGTGTCTCCACCCCTTTCTTCCCTTGCACACCGCGCTACCCTGCCCTGCCCTAACCTAACTAATCTTGCTAGGTTGCATTCTTTGGCTGCTGCTGTTGTGCTGCTGCTGATAAGGACAGCCGGAGTTGTACAGGGCTGTCACTGGGAGGCGGGGAAGAGGGGAAATTTCTCCCTCTCTCTCTCTCTCTCTCTCTCTCTCTCTCTCTCTCTCTCTGGTCCGTCCTACCAGGAGGACACGTTAAGTCTGTGGTAGCTCACGAAAGCTGCTGTTTTGGTGTTGTTTTTTTCAATAAAACGTGCTAGCTGAGGGGAAAAAATGAACTACTTGATTTATTTACTTTTCCCCTCAAATCCATCTTATCTCGACTTCTTCACAGAAGAAGCCCAACTGAGCTTTTCAGAATCATTGCCAGTCTTAAATACTGGAGCAAAAGGGGAATCCGTATCCAGGGAGCAATTTAAAAGAACTGTCTTCTCCAGAAGACAGAGGTTGTCCACAAGGGAGGAGAAACCTGAAGGAGTCGCAAATAGATCTGAATCTACAAATCTCAGAACGATTTGCAGATACACTTTTCCCGCCCCAGGTAAAGGTAAAGGTAAAGGTTCCCCTCGCACATATGCGCTAGTCGTTGCCTAGCAGTGCTCGTCTCCGTTTCAAAGCCGAAGAGCCAGCGCTGTCCGAAGACATCTCCATGGTCTTGTGGCCGGCATGACTAAACGGCAAAGGCGCACGGAACACTGTTACCTTCCCACCAAAGGTGGTCCCTATTTTTCTACTTGCATTTTTATGTGCTTTCGAACTGCTAGGTTGGCAGAAGCTGGGACAAGTAACGGGAGCTCACCCTGTTACGCAGCACTAGGGATTCGAACCACTGAACTGCCCATCTTTCGATCGGCAAGCTCAGTGTCTTAGCCACTGAGCCACCATGTCCCATCTCCCTCCCCAAAGCATTGTAAATACTGTATTGTATATTGAGTGATGAATTTCAGGTTGGCATTCAGCGCCCCTACCTATCTCAATATATCCTATCCTACTTCATCTGTCTGCCACGTATTCCACTTATGTTCTTCCCCTGTGCACAGTCAGTGTGGTATATGAGCCCACTGTAATTATGGAAGGCCTGTGTTTTGTCCCCAATGAGCAGGCAGTCATATAAATTGAATAAATAAGAATATCTCGTAGTTCCCATAGTAGAACAACATCCAGTCCAGAACCCAATTCTTCCCTCTCATCTATCTGTTTATCCTCCTTCAGACACAAACAATACTTACACTTATGGTTGGTAGTCTTCCACAATTTCATGCTCTCCAGTTCAGCAGAATTTAAACAGCCCAAATTTTCACTGAGTTTAGCCCCAGAGCATGAAAGACTGAAATTCAACATGTCTGGAAGATAATAAGTTATTAAATATGATGCAGTGGTGGGTTCCTCCCAGTTCGGCCCGGTTCTGCCAAGCCGGTAGTGGTGATGATATGACGTCACCGAACCGGTTCTGCCCCCCCGCCCCCCCATGTTATTCTTACCTTTTATTTGGCCCCACCCCCAAGCTGATGGCTAGAGGGAAAAAAACTGTTTAAACTCTTGCCATGGGGCTTCAAAGGGCTGCCCTAGAGCTGATCAGTGTTAAAAGAAAACAAATGAGTAGACCGGTGCCTGCAAAAATAAATGGGTAGACCAGTGCCTGCAAAAATCCATGAGTAGATCAGTGTCTGCAAAAATAAATGGGTAGATCGGTACAACTCTGCAAGCACTTAAAAGCCTGGTAGACCAGTACCTCTACTAAATCCTAAATAATTAAAAACAAATTTAAAACTTGGTTATTCGAATCCCCCGGCCTGGACTGATGGGGTTTTTTACGAGTTTTTAATAGTATCTGATCTAATTAGGCATTTTAACTTTGCATAATGGATTATTGTGGTTTTTATTGTTGTGAGCCACCCTGAGACCATTGGAGATAGGGCGGCATATAAGCTTAATAAAATAAATAAAAAATAAATAAATTGTCACATGACCACCAAGTCACACCCACAAAATAAGCCACGCCCACAGAACCAGTAGTAAAAAAATTTAGAACCCACCCAATATGATGGTTACTATTTGTTAGTTAAGAATACCGGTGATTCTACTGATTGGCGGCGGGGGGAGACTCCAATGTCTTCTGATTGATCAGTAGAAAAGTTTTAAGAATATGGATTTATTTTGTTCTTCAAATCCACCATCTTGATAAAGTTAAATGTGCCCTCAATCAACTACAGCCCTGATGATCATAAAGCCCATAAGGCAATTTTCTTAGCAGCTGTAATAGAAATGTTTGTCATTGCCTTTTTAATGCTTTACAGCTAGCTCCCCAGTCTGGTCTACATCCTTGGTACAGGTAGTCCTCAACTTATAACAGTTCATTTAGCGACCATTCAAAGTTACGCCATCACTGAAAAAAGTGACTTATGTCAGTTTTTCACATGACCATTGCAGCATCCCCATGATCACATGATCAAAATTCAAATGCTTGGTAACCGACTCGTATTTATGACGGTTGTGGTGTCCTGGGGTCATGTGATTCCCTTTTGTGACCTTCTGACAAGCAAAGTCAAGGGGAAAACCAGATTCACTGAACAGCCGTGTTACTAACTTACCAGCTGCAGTAATTCACTTACTAACCATGGCAAGAAAAGTCATAAAATGAAGCAAAACTCACTTAACAAATGTTTCACTTAGCAACAGAAATTTGGGCTCAATTATAGTCGCAAATTGAGGACTATCTGTATTACCGTATTTTTTGGACTATAAGACACACTTTTTTGTCTCCGAAAAGGGGGGGAAAATGTCTGTGCGTCTTATGGACCGAATATTACTGAAGCCCTGCCCACCGGCCAGCCATTTTTTGGCCTCCGCACGCCCTATTTTCAAGGCTTTTTTTGGCCCATTTTTCAGAAAAAACGGGCCAAAAAAAGCCTCAAAAATGGGCCAAAAAGGCCTGAAAAAAGGGAGGTCAAAAACTTTTCGTTGTTGTTTTCCTTTTCTAAATTTACGTGTGTCTTATAGTCAGGTGCATCTTATAGTTCGAAAAATATGGTAGGTGGTCTTTCATCTAAATTCTAACAAAGCCACCATTGCATACATTCCCAGGTCAAATCAGGTAAGCTTACTGCTTTCTCCTCCTGAAATTACATAGGTCAATTTATTGTTATCTCCTTCTGAAATACAACAGCCAATATAAATTACAATTTGCCTAGCTCTTTATATTGCATGCTATGCACTCAACTGAAGCGTAGCAAAGGGAACCAAGAACATCTGACTGAACACAAATTTTGTGGGTGGAATACACTGATAAGTATACATTCAGATAAAGATAAAAATCAGATAAAATCTGAGTCAAATCTGAATTTCTTTCTATTAATCCAATGTACCTAATATAAAGGTAGTTAGACTTAGCCTATTGTGATTTTAAATTTTTTTTATTCTCTCTCTCTCTCTCCCTCTCTCTCTCTCTCTCTCTCTCTCTCTCTCTCTGTGTGTGTGTGTGTGTGTGTGTGTGTGTGTGTGTGTGTGTGTTTTACCAGAATCTTGAGATCCACCCACCAGGATCTACCCATCCACAAAGACATTCACAGTTTTCAGAATTAATAATTTTGAGTCAATCATCTGTACCAAAATTGAATGGAGCTCCCTGTTCTTTCATAGAAACATCTCCTCCAGATTTCCCCAAATGTTATAAATTCTAGCAATACATATTTAGAAGACTGGGCAGTAATAAAACCACTGGAAATCAGAATTCTGGCTAATCTACCTGTGCAACCAAACACAGAAATCATCAAGGCTTATTTGCAATGTTTATGAAGCAGCACATAGTGGTGGGATTCCCTCCAAAGAATATTGAAAGAGACATCACCTCACAAAGGGATACGCTAATATTTGTATGTCGCTGAAAGATGGGAAAGACAAATGAATAAGCAATGTACAAGACCGCCTACATATTCATATATAAAGGATCTCAAGTTACTCAAGGATCTCAAGTTACTACAGATCTCACGTTATTTCCTGCTCCTGTTTTCCTTCAGAAACCAAAAGGGAGGAGTAAAACAAAAAAATGGAGAGGAAAACAAGAGCAGGGGTCAGTTTGGGAATGACAGATGCCGAAAGAAAAACATTTCCCATTGCAAATTTTAATTGTCCCAATAAGAACTAGCAGTGGCTTTATATCTCTATATACCTAACCCGATTTGATCAATTCCACTCATCTAAGAGTTGGTTTTTCCCCCCCACAGTCTCCCAGATCTACCAGTAGATTCTCTTTTAATTCCTTTTAACCTCTTCTTTAATATACACATTCTTCACCAGGTAGGCTTAGAGTTACTCGGTTTCTAATTCTCTCTTCTCACAGCTCTTTCAAACCGGTCCCCTTCTTCTCGCCTTCAGAAAGTCTGTTTGAAGAACTCAAGTGCGAAATCTAGGCCATGCTGTGGGTGACCTGTTTTAGCTGAGGTTTCCTGTAAGGCTGGCTTGGTAGATAATAGGGACGCTGTGCACAAACACAAAAGCCACTATAGTGAGAGACACATGCAGCTCTAAGTGAGAGACAGAGGAAGTCTTACCCAAACCTCATTCAACGCCAACCATCTTCACCTAGTTCAAACGCCCTATGCTGCCATTGTTGGAACAACTTCTTTAAAGCAAATAATACCAGGGCCAAAGGAAGACCTCCAAGGTTCCTTCCAACTCTTATTATTCTATGTTCTAAACTCTGGAGTCTTCATTGAGTCAATGAGAGAGATTTTGGAGTCCTAGTGGACAACCATTTAGATATGAGCCAGCAGTGTGCAGCAACTGCCAAAAAAGCCGACACAAGTTCTGGGCTGCATAAACAGAGGGATAGAATCAAGATCACATGAAGTGTTAATACCACTTTATAATGCCTTGGTAAGGCCACACTTGGAATATTGCATTCAGTTTGGTTGCCACGATGTAAAAAAGATGTGGAGACTCTAGAAAGAGTGCAGAGAAGAGCAACAAAGATGATTAGGGGACTGGAGGATAAA